TCTTATATTCAATTTAATCTGAACAATTGAACACTACACAAAACATACCCAAAGCTTTGGCCAAGTCCTTTGTTGATTCTGTCTTTCCTGTTCCTGCTGGTCCAGCTGGAGCAGCTCCTAATTTAATATTCAATGCTCCAGTAATTGTCATCCAACATCTATCTGTCAAATTAGTAATAACCAACCTTGTTGTAGCTCCTAAATACTCATATCCATAATTTAATTTAGCATTAACTTACCTCACTATAATTAGATCATTTTCATCCATATAATATCTTAATTGTTATTACCATGAGAATTCACTGATTGAACTAACATTTTCATCAGTTAATGCATCCACAATATCCCTAGCATGAACATCTTAGGTAATCAAAGCCACAATGACTTTGTGTTGAAGTGGAGTCAATGTACCTCTGACTAAAGCAGTCAATCCATTCAAGGATTCGTACAACAGATTATAGTGTTTAGATAAAGCAGTGGAATCATCAGTCATACTGTTAATGGCTTATTCAGTATCATATGTCCAGATCAGATTGGATATTGTGGCAACTACTTAAGCTGGTTGATTCAGTAACCAGTGATTTCTCTCTTGGGTTTCACTCTCTACTTTTCCTTGCTTCATTCTCTTCTTTAAAGATTCAATCATCTAATCTTAAACTTTCATCAACCACAATTCAACTTCTTCTTTTGTTGAAACAGCCTTAACAAATGGAATCTTCTCTCCTTCCGGTGAAATCATTCCATTTACTGATCTAGCACCTTCCTCAGGTTACTCGAGTCTATAAATGGCTTCAAAGCATTTCTTTAGATTTCTTTGAATGGCATCAAAGTCTTATGATTTAGCCAATATTTCCAAAAGCTCATCGTTTGATAAGAAATAAAATCTCGGGAATGACATTCTCTTTTCTTCTAAATAAGATTCCAATGCCTTTTAAATTCTATTTAAAGTTTCTTTGTATTCTCTAAATTTATCTAGTAATCCACTCGCTCTATGAACCTATTTCTATGAGTTAGTTTTCTTCATTATAGTCTTAAATTGTTTATCAACATTTTCAAACAAAGCATTTTCTTCCTTCAATTTTGTCTTGATATCCTGACTGGCAAAAATATTTTCCAAATAAATCCAATTCTTTTAAACTTACAACCAATCATCCAAGGTTTCCTAAGCAATCAACACATCCTTTTATAATTTTTCAGCTCTCTTCCTCAACATCTTCAAGTATCTACTACCCAATATATTATTTAAACTTGCCAAGAAATCATCTAAAGCTGCTTGTAATTCATCAATATCAGTGAGCACATAAACCTCCTTGTTCCTGAGATTTTCAGGTTTATAGTTAACACAGGTAAACTCTAGAGCCTTCCACTTTTACTCAATATCATTAAATTGGGCATCTAAGACAGCTTCCTAAGTAGCCTAAGTAGCAACTTCTTATATCTATTCTTAATAGATTCCAACCTTCATGTCCATCAAATTTCTTAATGTAAATGTTTCAGTGATCTCAAAGTCTTATTTTAGAATCTCCTGTTTGATCTGCACCCAATGATAATCTTTTAAATTTTTATTCCTTAATGCCAAGACAACAGGCATTGTGTCTTTGAATGAAAATACCTTCTCTTTTAGTTCATCTAAAACTTGATTAGCCGGTAATCCTTTAGAACACCTATTGACAATCTTTGTGTAATATTCTCCTTTGGCTTTAATCTCATCTGTGTTGATATCTATAAACTTTCCATCAATCCATGATTAAGTTAATTCAATCCACTCCTTTGTGGACTTCCACATTGAATACCTGAGATTCAAATCATTTCTTAAATCCTCTAAACTCTAAAATTAAGAAGTAGGTAATCCCAAAGTGCTTTCATAATGTCTGTATTTTTTAGCATCTGCTTCTAATTTCTTACATTGTTCATCACATTCTCCCAATTCTTTAATGGCTTACTCTAAACTCAATCCAGCATCAATGTATTTTTTATCTTAGATTATTCCATCCAAAGCACCAATCTACTTCTCCAATTAAGGTATAAGGATATGTTGGACATCTCTTGCAAATCTATCAAGTTTAGACTCTGCTCCTTCTTCTGCATGATGAATAGCTTATTCCAATAGATTTTATGCTTAAATGATATCAACTACATATGCTTGTTTGTCTTCCTTTTTCACTTCTATCTTGTATTCATCAAGAATATTATATATGTGACCAACAAGAGAAATTTTAGATTTGACTTTATTTAATTATTTTTGAATCAATTTCAATGAATTACTTTGCTTAACAAATTCATCAATATTTGAAGTTGCTCCTTTCAAAGCTGCTGTTGATGATTATAACCATTCCTTTAATTCTTTGCATCTAGCTCTTAACATTGGTTATATAAACTAATCAAATTATTTCAATAATTCAGCAGGTAGTGGTTCCAACTTCTTTTTTAATTCAATAGAATCAATCTTAAACAACCCTTGCATACTTTCAATAGGAATGTCCTTCTAAAATTGCTCCTTCTGCATATTAAGTACAGCAATTGTGTACTAGAATGTGTCTCCAGGATGTGCCAATTTCTCATCTTTGAATATATCTATATTAATCTATTTGTCTTCCCAATAGGTTAATAAATGTTTGTTAAAATACTTTTCGATATATTTATCAGCTCTTTCAAATGCTTTCTCTAAAATGTTTTTAACAACGCCTGTAAATGTTTCAAGGGGTGCTGAATCCAACCAATCTGAAGGATTCAAATAATTAGATTCTGGATGTCCCCACTCTTCACCAACCATGTCATCCCATTCTTCTAATACAGCTACGTATTATGTCATATCATTGTGTCTGCTCCATCTCTCAAAAGCTTAAATTGCATTCAATCCTTCTCCTATACACTTTACGATATCTGCATGAAATGTATTCAATTATGGTTTCTTTAAAATCCAATGCTTAGAAATGTTGGGGATCACTGTTCTTTTGTAAATTTTATTTTCATCATAGGTTCCTCCATCAGTCTCGTCTTCCTCACTATCGTCTTCAACCTTGCCCTTCTTACCTCCTTATGGTTTTTCTGCTTGCTTTTATTCCTCAGTCTTCTCTTCTTATAAATGAGCATGATAAAGTATATGAAAATCATCGACAGTGCTATTACCAAAAGGTTACGGTATAAATTCAGGAATGTCTTCAGTTTACATATCTTCTGCAGGAATTTAGTCAAAGGTGCAATCTAACTTAATTACAAAGAGGGGTTCATCAAATCTGATTGGGGGTTTGTTGCTTGCTTCGAATGTTACATTGAAATCATCAATGGATTCTAAAGACTTTAGTTTTGATATCAAATCTCTCACTGAGAGTGTATAGATATTGCTCAGACTTTCCATTGCTAGGAAATCAACAAGATAAGAAAAGCGCAAGAATTTTGAACATTCCTTTCTTAACTATGATCTTTTCTCATAAGTCATACTATCTGGGAATTGCAAGGTTTCATATGCAATTTCTCTTGTCCTGAACACATTTGTTCCAGTATCTCTTGGTGCATTTCCACCGAATTATTCGTCATTTTAAGGCACGTAATTTTACTTCCTTAGTATATCCAATGATTTATCGTATCCACTTTATACAACCTTTCGACATGCTTGAGAGTACGATCTAATTTTCCCACTCACTTTATTCCTGTATTGATCTTATAATTATTTGAATTATTCTAAAGTAAATGTGCTATCACTCATGGTTAGTTGATGAGATGTTTCAAATCCAATAAAACGACAAGTTTCCATCATATCATACGTGTTTTTTCTTACTGTAAGTAGTGTTTCTCTCATGATGGGGTTCAATAAGAAGTATTTGTCCAAAAGGGCATTCTGAATTGTTTTGGTTTTATGTTTGATCACATTGCTCTTCCACATCTTAAGGGTTTTCCATTTTCTGAATTTGGTAAAGAACTTTAATGACTTAATTTAATGATAGGTTTATCTTTCTCTTAACCAATTTCTAAGTGGTATAAATTCAGTTGGTTTGCCATTAATATAATGACATAATCCTTTTCTTGAAATAGTGTAATATTCTTTAATTTCAGTCTTCTTATCATCACCTTTAATGGTTTTATAATCCACAACTGCCAACATGTAAGGATCATCTTAACCATCATCTTCTTCTCTTACAAGATAAATATATTCATCCACACTTGTTGTATTACTCAGAATAAGGTCGATGTATTTGTCTAACTTTGATTTAGTTTCTTTCTCAGTAACGCCAAATTCTTCATCGTGTGCCAATGTTTCTTTAAATGGACTTTAAATTCGTGGGTCAGAATCAAGGGGTTTAAGTTTGAAGCGAGATCCTAGTGAACTCATGCCAGTTTTTCGCATTAAGTAGTTGCGTTCCTCTTCTGGCATAATGGCCAAGTATTTTTAATCAATTTAGAACTTACCCGATAATTTGTCAACAAGGTATTTGGTTCTATAGAGCTCATCAACATTTTATTTAAAGGTTGTCCCCATTGTCATTCTAAGCGGGTCTAGTTTTTGTTTGCTTTATTGAGCAACTAGTTTGGGCACTAACTTCAAATAAATTGAATGAAATACTTATTGTTAAGTCCGAGTGACTGGCCTTTTCTGCTAACCTCCTCGATCATACAATCGAGATTTTAATTGCAACTGATTTGGCGATTTCTAAATATGAATATCACGCGTATTACCACATTTCGCAATTGTTCATGTTCGTCCTAATCTTCATATTCCTAAGACTAGAAGAATGACATTTTTTTAATATATTAATTATTTAAGTTATCATTTTTGTAATTTGTTTTTATTAGGAATTACCAAATAAAAAATATAATATTGATAATGGACACCCCTGATTCCCCCACAGATTTCCAATCTCAGAATTCAAAAAGAGCACTCATTAAATGTCTATAGAATAACAGATTGTTAACACTGTTGTGAGTTTGAGCCAAAAGAATATTTGCCTATGGTCTCCAAATAGAAATATAAGTATTCCATTATAAAAATTAATTATTTCGAAATGTATACTGTTTATACCTCATAAAATGGTTCAATTGCTCTTAATAACTGCTTAACTTTACCCCATGACACTCTACTGAAGGTTGTCCTGTGTTCAAGGAACATCTTCTCATACACTCCCGTGCTAATCACAAACATTTAAGCAACGCGCTCTCCTTCAAAGAAAGGTTCTCCCAATAAACAATGGAAGGGCTATAAGAAAATTCTAAGAGGAGAAGCCGAGGCCTAATTGCCAATGTCCTTCTATCCTGTGTACGAACCTCATCGATATAATATTTCAAACGATGGAGACTATGTGTTTGAGATCAAATGTCGGCAATTAGGTCCATGTTTTCTCAGAATAATTTGGTTAGAATTTGAGGATCGAAGGATTCATGAAATGGAATAGCCCTTTAATTTTTTAGTTTGGACTCCGTTGATGTTCAATCTCAAAGATTTAACTATTTAGACAGTATTACCAAATTTAGTAAGAAAATGGGATTTGGATGGGTTTTAAGCCTTTCATTTGTGTCCAATACAGGAAGTATCTCATAGTCTGTATGCGATCAAGGATCATTTGAGTATAAAATACTTCCATAATTTCGAGGAACTTCAAAAATTTATTGAATCATCTAAAAAGATCTTTTTTATAGATGTTGTGTTGAATCACGTAGCAAAGGAGAGTGAATGGTTGAATGATGAAGAATGTGTATACAACGAAAGAACTGTTCCGCAATTGAGATCAGCTCTGGAATTGGACTTGGCTTTGTCAGAGGTATAAAAATATGAGGACATCGAAAAGGTGATAAAGGCATTCAAAATAGAGGAATACTTTTAAATTGATCTACAGAAAATACATTGGGGAGAGTAGACAACTTAAAATGCTATTAATGGCGACGAAGATGATGACGATAATATATTTATGGAATCATTTCAGGAGAAAAACATAAAATTGCTAGAACAATATTTGTCGAATTTTGGAGTATCGAGATATGGAGTGACTTTTGATTTCAAGAGATTGTAGCAAGAATTGGGAGCACAGCAATTAACTATCAGTCAAATTAGGAAGAGTTTAAAATGTATTAATGAAAAATAATTCAAAAGGGCTAAGTAATATGAAACTGAATCTATAGTTAATAATCAAGCACACTATAGTAAGTATGGATATGTTCAGAAGTACTTCTACAAGTTAAAGAATTGGTATGCTGCCTATAATGGGTATGTTGATAACATTGATCCCGAAGAAGATTTCGTAACCAGCCAAAATTTCCATTATCTCAGGCACACTATTAACAAATGGAATGTTATTAAATTGCGGTATGGCAACAAACAAGACACCCCTCTATTGTTGAATCGAATGAAATAGTACATTTGTCAGATGGCTCGTTATTTTCATGGTATCCGATTAGATAATTGTCATGGAACACCTTTGAGAGTTAGTTAATACTTACTGAAGCATGCTAGAATTGAGAATCCTAAATTATTGGTGTTTGCTGAATTGTTTGGTTGTTCATATGAGTAGTAAATTAAGTATATGAGTAAATTAGGATTGAATGGATAAGTGGACGAATTATTTTATTGTAGAAATGCTCCCTCTATCGTTCATAAATTATAAAGTTGTACTTACATCCAACATATCTCAGGACCATAAAGACTCATATATGATTAAACACATGATAATTAGCCACCAATTGTCAAATCTTAAGGTCCAGGCTTTTTAATGTCTCTGGTGACAGCCTTATCTTTTAGCAATCAATTTAAAGGAACTACCAAATTAGTGGATGAGTTCCATGATTAACATATTAGTTGTGTTTATGAAAAACGATTGTACCCACAAACTAATCAACAGACTGAATATGTAGAAAGAAGACTTATCACTTTCATGTGGAAACATACTACTTCAATTTAATGTGGTTTGAATTAGCTAAAAGGACTTCCAAACATTGTTAAATTAAAAGGTTCATTTGATAACTGGTAAAAGGAATACTTTCTTAAAAATGAATTAGAAAACCCCAATTATTTCACTTGTCAAATAGAATTATCACCTGGAACATATGAATATAAATATATAGTAGACGATGTATGGATGATTGACGAAAATCAATTAACCAATCATATGAACAATATCATTGATATCAAACCCATAGAGGTCTACAAATCATTAACTTTCATCCGCTAACTTGCTTAAGATTATTATAAATACACCTATTTGGAATCAATACAAGAATAAATCATACTCATTACTAGATGTTAAGAGGATCATTCATTCAATCAAATCATTCTAATTTGCTTAAGACCTGTCTTCCATAAAATCAAGCTCTATTCCAAAATATCAAAAATCTTGTATCAATATTCATTTCAATTCAGTGGAAAAGAATCCTCGAATTTAGAAGATGAAATCAAAGTGAAAGAGCACTACATAGACATTACTACTTCATATGCCTCAATCAACGAGAACATGATATGCATAGACACACCAACTTCTTATGTAATCATTTTAAATTGTGAACCTTTAAAAGAGGTTCAAGAGTTGAATCTGTTTCTCTTAAGACCCTTTGAATGTGCTGATGATTTGAACCTTCTGTACTAGCCTCTGATAAATCATTATGAAGTACCAGGATGTGGAGTGCTCTCTTATTCTGGATTATATGGAGTGTTGAGATATATCAATAAAATTGAAACCCTCAAGGATCCATTCATCAGGCATATTCAAGAAGGTGATTGGCTTATCGATTATTTATCAAGTACCCATACTTGTTTGGTACCAATACTAAGAATAATCAAATCATTGCCCTCCATATTTAAACCACATTATTTTATTAAATGCATAAAGCACATCGTTTAAAGTATTGAAGATAAATACACTCAACACAGTGAGATTTTCTTTAAATAAATTGATATCTTATCTACTTATTTTACTCTCTATGATTTTGTTAAAGGTCGAGAAACCTTTATGAGTTTCAAGGGCATCTTAATTTTGACAAGTAAGACTCAAAATTTATTTTAGATAAGGCTGTTGAGGCCAAGGCTCTGATTGTTAAGTATGGCAATTTAATGTAACACGGTCTAATTCCTAATTCATTAAAACCCCTAAGGTATAACACAAGAGACACTTGTTTTTGGTGGATCAAATCTATCCGTGATTATGTAATATATACAGATGACTTTTCTATCATTAGTTTATTACAAGAATAAATTCAATCCATCTTTTAATCTCATGCTACAGGTATCTCATTTAAGGAAATACTTGCAAATGACGACACAGACAAAGAAGTATTATTATGCATTATAATAGGGTTTGCTTGTCGAGCTTAAACTGGATTCAGAAACAGGATTCATTATGGGAGGAAATCATAAGAATGCCTTAACTTGGATGGATAAAATAGGATCAGGCACCTTAAATAAAGGATATCCTGCTGCATCCAGAGATGGAGCACCTATTGAATGTACGGCCTTGTTAAAAGCTTGTCTTGATTTCATTGGGAAGATGCATCAAATGAACAAATATCCATATCCAGGAATCAAGTTAATGAATAGGATGGTTACTTGGAGAGCATGGTCAGATTTTATTTGTTAGCATTTTGAAAAGAGCTATTATATTCCTTTGGACTCGTGTTATTATAATGAGTATTAGGTTATTGAAAAATATGTAAGGAGAAAAGGAATCTATAGAGACATCTTTAAATGTTCCAAACCAAGATCTGAATACTAGTTGAGACCCAATTCTTGTATTGCCATTGCATTGGCTCCAGAATTGTTTTAAAAAAATCATGTGGTGCATCACTTAGCCTTGATTGAATCTACTTTGATGAGTCAGAACTCACTTGGTTTAAGCACTCTGGATCCTATTGCAAGTGAATACAGTGGTAAATATCTTCAATGGACAGAACATTTCAATGTTTAAGATGGATTCTCCATTCACAATGGATCTGAATTTATTTTCTTACTTGGATATTATCTGAAAGCATTACTAAAAATCCATAAGCAAGATATCAAGAAAGAAATATTTTATGCATATCTTGCTCCTATCAAGCAACACTTAAAACAATAGTAAATGCAATCTATTATATTAGTTATTCTTTACCTGACTTCACTGACCATAATGGCTAGATAAGTGAATTTGCTCATAAGTCTTCAATATTAAGCATAGCTCTTTTAAAAGAAGCCATATTTGACTTAGAAGAGTTTAGTTAAAAGTATTAAAAATGAACATTTGATCATGTTAATAATCTATTTCAAACAGAAAATTATACAGACTCATATATATCTTAATTATAATTGCAATAAGTTTAAAATACAAATAAATTTCCTTTTACTTAATTTGCACATTCCTGGGAACCATTGTAGATGAATCTATTAATATGAAAATTTATTAGTTAAGTAAATAAGGAATGTATATATGTTATATTCGGATTGTTTAAGAAATTTAATTAGTTATTCCTAATAATTTATAATAATCTCTCATATACATAATTATAGATTATTGTAATAAAAATATTTATTTATTGATGCGAAATGAGAATATCTAAATTAGTAGAAATTCTTTATGTGTTCATGAACCATTCTTTTGATTGTTTTCAATTTAGTAGTGATAGGAAAATTCCTCAATGAAGTATAATTAATAAATTAATATAATTATGCTTCTTGAAATTATTTTACTTGTAAGTTCTTCTTCATTTGCTCTTCTCTTTCAAGCAGATGAACTGGGAGAATAAATTCACGATTGTGCAAAGTTGTTTATATTCGGAACACTTATTACTGAATACCCTTGGATGATGGTAGGAATTATCACTTTTGTGTGGATTAAAGAATGTTGCAGATCAAAGGATTCTCATCAACAGGAAAACCATCAACCAAACCCTGCCATTATTATCCATCATGCAAGAGACGGAGCCACGGCCACATCAACTGAAAATGTACCACCTACCATCGAGGCTGTGTAAATCTTCGACTATGCTACTGGAGAAAGCCAATATGCATTTATCCAGAAAACTGAGAAGAGTTTATTAACTCAATTAGGAGTCACCATGAAGAATACCATTTTGTTGGAGAAGGGCAGACAATAGGATGCAAGTGTTAATTCCAAATTAATCTCACATATTGATCAACAGAAGAGGGCTAATGCTTAGAATATTTCCATCATTTATGAAGACAACAGCGAATACTAGCAAAACCAGCACAAACCTCTTGTTTCCATTCCATTTAAAATTGGGGATTTTGATAAGTAGATGGGCGAAATTATATAGGCAGAAATATTATCTGGGGAATATCCGATGGAGAGTAAAGTAGTCAATGCAAAATTAAAGTACGAGTAGGCTTTGATTGCGATTTTAATAAGTATCAATAGAATATTACAATTAAGTGTCAGTGATTCCTCAGGTTGAAGGTTTGGTATTCAGATTAGTTAATTCAACTCTATTTGGAGTTGTCCTTCATTCAGCAGTGCAAAGAAAAGAGATACTAACAATGTCTCACCTTATATATATGATTATACTATTAACTGGTTGTGTAGTTGCCTATATTCTCGGATTATATTATCAATCTATGAATATTAGATAAACCCTTTTGGGATGTCTGCTATGGTCATTTCAACACGTTAATCCAAACCTATGTTTATTGGTACTTCCTCTACCCACACTATTGTATTTAGAAGGCTTATGAATGTGTAGTTTCAATTACATTGCTTGGACTTGATATATATATATATATTTGTATATCAATCTTGATATAAATGATTAGATTGTATAACATTGAAATGTATGTATATATATATTATATATGAAATGGAATTTCAATTGTTCAACATTTAAATTGTATTAGCACTGAGTCACCCAATTTGATCCAATTCTGCAGTCCTTTCTGAAACTCTGACAAATTCAAGGAAATGTTATTCAAATTAAACGTTGTATCAATAGAGTTGACGATGTATACGTTTTTGTATGTGGGTGTTTGTCTAAGAATTTCAAGACCTGAAATAATGAATAGGCAGTACTTTCTAAGATGTATGTTGCTTTTTCCAATAATTGGTAATCGTTGGTAGATTTGGCTAATTTGATAACATCATATGCTCTTGATTATTTATCCATCCAGATTTATTCTTAGGTGTCAATGTTATTAACTTAGATTTCGTAATGTTGATTAATGAGATTGATAACTTCATCTTTTCTTTGCTTAATCAATTTGAAAATGGTGGCGAAGGTTTGTTCAACTTCTTTGAGTACTTTTTGTTTTGATTCCTCAAAGGTTAATTTTGTATGTCTAATGTCTACGAGAACGGTTTCTGTTTTTTCCAATCTCAAGATTCCTAAATAGAAGATAGTTGAATTACCATCTTTGGCTGCTTGATCCATGGACGATCTGATATCTTTGGTGGCTTTATCCATTTAATCAACTAGGTGTCCTTTATGATCTCCAAACATCAAACAAGTAGGACATATAAGACTAGATAAACTTAATGGGAATACACATGACAAGAGGTGCAGAAGGCTTCTAGTTGTCTTTTATGGGTGGTGCACTCTCCGACTCTGAGAGTGTCATCACTATTGAGCTATTTAGTAGATGGTCCTGATTTGAGTTATTCGGAAATCATAAATTTTATTTATAAATAAAAACGAAATCACATCCACATTTAATGAATTGGGAAGGATGCAATAAGGTATCTGATATGGAATTATTCAATGATTAATGTATTTAAATGTACGATATGTTATTATAACTTCACAATCCCTTAATTTTATCTTCGACGAATTGTTTCTCGTTTTCACTTACTTCAATTGCAAAATCTTTGAGTGCAACGGATGAGCACTTCCTTGATTTGATCTTCTTAGTCTTAGTAAGGAATTTAGAAATGCCGATCCATTCTCCCAACAAAGCACCTTTTTCTACTTTCCAAACTGGGATCTAGAATTATTTAGCCAAAGCGACAATCAATTTCTTGTATGTGTCTTCAGTGCAATCATCAGCCAAAACCACGAATTTTGCCTAGGAATGGAGAGTATTCATACTTGTTTGCTTTCAATGGCTTTGCACACTTCGTGGACTCCCTTAGCCAACAATCCTCTATGTAATGATGTTTAAACAACTCTCTTTAAGGTTGTGAGTTCTTCTGACAATTACTCGACTTCTGCCATAATAAATAATTTAAATCTTATTTAAATTAAGAAACCCCTCTCTTATGAAATATTACAAAGTAAAGTAAAAATTATACAATCACAATTATTTTCATTTCCTCCTAATAAAGCTATATCACATCAATATAACCTAAGAGTTATAGTGAATGTCTTTAACTAATTGAAATTTTAATTCATCAGAATGCTTGATTTTAATTGTACAAATGGGTTGATCCAAATCCTACAGGATTCTCATTTTGAATCTCAGAGACTGTCTCAATTCCTCCTTCTTCTATTACAATTTGAGTTGATGCTCCTTTCTCTGTTTATCAAATCTAACCTTCTGACATTCTCTCCTCTGCTAATCAATAATCTATTCCTGTTTCTAATTGACCTTTTGATAGTGAGCATAGAAGTGATCGAAATTAGCTCGAACTCCATCAAAGATTGAAGCTCTGTTCCGATCCACAAGCATTAACTTAACTTTTTTTTTGTTTTTCTTCGTCCTATCGGCTATCAATAAGGTCCTATTGTTGTTGGTGTAAATGAGTTATTTATTCTGTTGATGAACTCCCAATTTGGAGTAGATGTCGAGATCCCACTGTTGCAACATCGTGGGATTCTTAGGCCACACAACACTCTTCTCCTTTATCTGTTGGTATTGTTCATCCATAAAATCGATAAGTTCTGTGGATAGAGGGATTGAATAAAACTGATAGGAACATTCATTGTTGGAACAGGATTCAAATACTTTATTTCTGTTGTCTCTCTGCTGTTATTCCAATTGCTCATCTGGCCTGTAGAAACGCTTGAGCTCCTTCAAGTTGCCAAATATATCATTGCAATTATTGAATGAATTTACAAAATTAAACTCCTCCTCTTTGATTAACTGCAATTTCAGCAATTCTCTCTGTTTTATTTGCCTCACCAAATTAAGTGCTATCAGGTTCTCATTCAACAGGATCTCTCTGGCTACATCAATGGAATGTATATCCAAATGCTTCTATCGTTTTTGTTTGTACGCTTTGCTCGGTCTGAAAGCCACATTCATCCGATAACTAAGATGCTACAATAAGATTCATACTCATTCTCTTGAGCTCGCATGAAGACTCTCAAAAGAGGCCTTTATAATCGTTCAACCTTTTTGTTATAATAGGTTTCATCGTATTCCAAAGTGTTGAGTAACGAATATTGTTTAGAGTAATTGCGATTGGAAGTCAGATGACGCCTAAGATCCAATTGCTGCATTACTTTGGGGTTAATGGCAGCTTCCAAATCCTCCTCATCACAAGAGTACTCATTCTCATCAGGGTACACTATATTTGAATGAATGTAAACAGTGGGCAATTAGATTGTGGTCTGAGCAACAGTTGAAATGGGCACGAAATTGGGGACTTCAATTTGTTTGCAAGGGATTGGCTATGTAGAGTTGTAATGAGTACTTCCAATAGTTCGTAATCCCATTTATCCTTCTTTACAAAAACCACATTCGGATCAATGTTCTTCATTCTTTTTAAGATTTAATTTTGTTTAATTTATACACTCAAAAGTCAAGGAAAGCACAATTCAAAAGAGAACCTCAAGCGAGCATTTGAGTATTGAGAATGTTACTGATCAAATATCCAACTATATATAGTACTCCCTTCTAATTGAATGACATATTATTAATTTATTAAAATGTTTACAACAAGATTTGTGTATAGATTTGCTAAATCTGTACCCGTGGTCGATGTTACGGCCTTCCTCGCCAAAAAGGGGGACACCTCTGCACAATGTGCCCAAGTAGCAGAGGCTCTCCACAATTACGGTGCCATTTGCATCAAGGATCCCCGAGTTAATGACCGTCATAATGTCGACTTTTTGGATATGATGGAAAAGTATTTCGAATCCAGAGCTGCCAAATTCTATAACGATGAAAAGGTATCCGCATGGTTTTATTCAAGGTTGAAGATATCTTCCCAAATTATGCATATCAAGTTGGAGCTACACCAGAGTTCGTTGAAAAGGCCAGAACTCACAATAATATTGTCAAATAATATACCAAGGAAAATGAAGCCTTGACTCCATAACCAGCTCCTTATGTAATATCCATCTCTATCTCTAGGATGCCAAGTGGAGATTCTTTTGGCCCATCGATGACTCAGGCAAACGAACCAAAGATGAAGAGTATTAGATTTAGACTTATATTATTATAGTTTCAATCCTCCAAGATTCAGACCCAAGGATGTTCCTTAGTTTGGAGAACGAATGGAATAGTGGGGCAAGATGATGATCAATGGATGCTTGACTGTGGCTGAGATGGCTGCTATCGGTATGAGCATTCCTGCTGACTCTTTTACCAGTAGAATGTAAAATGGACCTCACTTACTTGCACCAACTGGTTCTGATCTGGATAGACATAAACCAGGAACCATCTTCGCAGGATTCCATTATGATTTGAATTTCCTCACCATCCACGGCAAGAGTCGTTACCCTGGTTTGTATGTGTGGTTGAGAAATGGAGAGAGAATCTCAGTAGCTGTCCCAGAAGGCCACTTACTCCTATAGGCAGGTGCCCAGTTTGATTTGCTCACTGGTGGGTATGTGACTTGTGGATATCATGAAGTATTTTACAATCCCAATCTAGGTCATCTATACTGAAGAGGCCAAGAAAAAATATGAAGAAAACAAGAAAGTCGGTAAGAGCACTTGGAGAGTCTCATCAACCCTATTTTCGCATATTAATTCTGAAGTTACTCTTTAACCATTAGATAAATTCGCTAAGCAAGGATTGCCACCAAAATACAAGCCCATCAAGGCATTTGATTAGGTCTAACAGGAATTGGAAGCCATCAAATTAAAGTTATGATGCATATAAATAGATTTGTATATGGCAATAAATATTAATATCAATATATTTCTATAACTTATTCGTTCTTTGAAACAAATTTATTTTCATATTTCTAATTTATATAATAAAATTTATTAATTAATATAGGACATATGGAATTCCATTTTTAACCTAAAATTGCAATATAGAAATTAAAATCATTTAATATTCCCTTGTTAGTGTAGGTAATCTAGTGCTACGTTCGAGCATGGTTGATTATGCGAACCAGAGTGGAGACTTAGCACAACACTTAGGGGGTGGGGAGGAGGAGGTAAAAAGAGTGGGGGATTTCAGGGAGAGTTTGAGAAGAGGGAAGCATTGTAAAATAAAATAAATAATTTGAATTTAATAATTAAATCATCAAAATGAAACGAATTCGAAGGAATTGAGGAAAGTTTAATTAAAGATAATGATGTTGTAATATTTTAACTAATTTATAATATTATTTATTAATTTTAGGAAATTAGAAAGAGTAAAATTTGTGAATGTGTAAAAAATTCTCATAGTTTTGAGATTGGGATAATTTTTATACTGATGTCAACGACAATAAATGGTTTTTATTAATTATTAATATATAAATATTTGATAATAAAAAATGTTAACTCATTTACCAAAATGTGCATCATTGATACAAGATGAAAGATCTCTGGAGTACGACCGATTAACAAAGAGACTAGAGAAGTCAATCATTGAGAACTCCCTCTACAGATTAGCTACCGATATTAAATTTTTGTAAGGCTTTTATTCTGTTCACTCTTTCAATCAGGAGGAGAAGGAGAAGCTTTTCGCTCTATTGATCGAATACAGTCTTCAAAAGTATGTGTATAGTACGAAACATTTATTCTAAACCCCTTGCACTCCAAAAAAAATTAAACTATTTCTGTCAGCATTCACCAAGAAGATATGCAATAACATTTAGATTAAATATGAAGATCTCAAACAAATTTACGACGAAGTCAATCAGAATGGCTTAGATACAACCTTCGACAACACCGATTAATAAATTAGGAGAGGAATTTAGTGCTTGCAAGAGTAAGATTTTAGTTTACAAATAGATTTTTCGCGTTATTTCGACACTTAATTCCACCAAGTTACTTCCCCTAATTGATAGAAAATTATTTGCAAGGCGAAAATCTCAATCAGAGGTTGTTTAGAGTAGTAAAGTCTGAGCCCATCTCAACCTACACAAAGAGTTTTGAGATGCTGATAGAATTTAAGAAGTCTTCGCATGTGATTAGACAATTGGATCCATTTTTGATAGCCTAGTTGATCTCGTAAAATTATAACACCCTACCTTTATAGATATCGTCCCGATTTGCCAATCGACAATTATTTGGACTTCATTTTGGAGGATATTTACAATAGCTTTATAGTGCTTTTGTTAAATATCTAAAATTTGTCTAATTAGGCTCCCATCTAAATTCATCATGGCGGCATGAGACCCTCAGACTTCATTTAACCATTGGTCTATTTGATTGGGTCATCATAGATCAGGTCTAAGGTGTGGGATACAATAGAGAGGATGTTTTTGGTGATTTCAGATTTGATTCATCCGAACAATGCAACATCCAATGATTTTGTTTTCTCCTTTTTCTATATGTTCGTTAAGACTTTTGTTGAAAGAGTGGAGGCTTAGAATCAATAGTAGGAGAAGAATCAGGAGCAGGAGAATGTGTTAGAAAGTATCGATGTTTATTTAAATTAGACAACATATTTACAAAGGACGAACAATTGTTTTTGTAGGATGAGGAGATGAACGATATGGATGAGGAGGAGGAGGAAGAGGACGATGATAATGACAAGGAGAAGGTGTTTGATAAGAAGGAATTCATGATTGATTAGGAAGGCATAGATAAATTTATATCTATTGTCAAACCACATTTAAAATATTTAATTTATCAGAAGAACAGATTCAAAATTTAAGTGGCAGGAATATACAAAGTAAATTTGGATAATTCATCGATAGTCTTTATGTAAATTGAGACCTAAGGAGATTTTACCTTATGTAATGGAGTAGATTTAATTGGCATTGGAGAGGGATGATATGAAACCATTACTCATAATACACATTATTGAGAAGATTTTTAGGCCAGCAATTCAATTTGATTAATATCCCCAAATAATCAACTACATCCCATTTATATTAAGACAAACGACCAATTTCATTTTGGATAGTGGAGAGCAGATATGGAGATTTTATGACATTCTGTTTCAGCATATTCCTATTTACGAAATCAAGGATCTGGAAGCTCAATATCCAAATCTAAATCTGCAAGATGGTATTCATCAATTCAATTATTAGAAATGAAGATCGATGACATCAACTTCTATTCGATCACCTAAGAAATCAGCGATTTGGCATTGGAAGCCTTCAGAAAATATGTTTCGACATTTGAATATAGTGATGTCAAATATCACAGCAGTCAAAGATGCTCAGAGATTATATTTTCAACTAGAAATAAATTCTATAATTTTGTATTCTAGAGTTCCAAATCAAATTACAAAGAAATAGTCAATATTGTTTGCAATTATTTGGACGATAAAATACTCAACAACCTTTCAGATAACTTTGTTTTGCTTCTTTAAGCCATTATTTTGAGGGATCCTACTGTTCTAAAAGATGTTTTGACTGTAATTTAGAATCAACTCTTGAGACAAACAAAAGATCATTATGAGTTTAATATTTCGAACATCACAACAATTAGAAATTATTTAATTATAATCTATGAAACTATTTAGTTTTCAGGAAGTGTGAATAAATAGTATTATCAAATTCTGAAATGTATAATCGATCTAAGTTTGAAGCATGAAGAGACTAAAATACAATAAGCAGGTTAAAATATATTGGCTTGTCTACTCATGAGTTAAGCAGCAATTCACATTAGAGACTTTTAATTTACCAATGATCCTACTATCTAATTGGATTGGTTGAAATTGAAGTAAAAGGGCAAGCAGGAGAAATATATACCAAAATGGTAAGAAATCGATGATCAAGAATTTATCAAATAAATTATGGACGATTATTATCATCCAGCTCTTTAATAAATTCGAGAGATCATTACATAAAAGGGAGACAACAAGTCTTTCCTAGAATATTTAAAGAATGATTTTCTATCACAATATGAATAGCAATATCAGTTGGATACAAAATAAAATTGCCAACAGATTGAACTTAAAATCAGGAAGAATCTGTCTCTGAATATAGACGTCATCTATGCATTTCTGAGACCACTCTATTTTAGAATGAAACAATACAACGAAGATTCAAGTGAGACATTCAAGAAATTCCAAGACCAATATTGTTTTGGTGTTTTAAATACCATGTACAATGAAGTAAACATATTACTATTATTAAGATAATTCAATTTTGCATTGATTTTGTGCCTGTCTATATTAATAATGGATTAGCTTTGGATGGAAAACTGGCTACCAGTTTTATCAATATCATCAAGTTGTTAATACATGAGACATCTGATAAAATTCAAAGATTGGGCAAGTGGTTGTAAGTGAAAACTAGATCATCAGATACGAACAAGATCAAATTTTATAATAGATTCTAATCTTAGATGTTCTATACATATTTATTAAATAATAGAATCGATTAAATCTATTACAATCAAATAATGAATCAATAAAATAAGGAGTACTTTATTGAAATTAATAATTTAGAATGCTTTTGATATCAATCCCATTCCTCTTTGATTCCAATGAATTTAGTTACAAAGTCAATTGGATTTGGCTATCAAGCAGAATGGAATTATTGGATGATCGAGAATGGCTATATGATTTGTTTAAGAAATTGTATGAGCAACTTAAAACAGTATTCAAAAATAAATGGTTCAATTAATAATACATTGAAAGTTTGAATGAAACTGAAAAATAAAAACTGTCACTTTTCCAGAATCACTTTACTAAAGGATTTGCTAATTTCGTCAGTATCGTATCCAATCTAAATCCTGGATTGTTCTTAGATTCCTATTAGATATTTGATTGCGCATATCAAAGTACAATTTGATTATTCTACTGTTAGATTTGATAGACAAAGTGAATAGAGCTGATTTCAATTTGGATGTGTTAAGTTTAGTGTAAAAAATATCCTAAGCCAGTGTGGAACTAAATCAAGCAGATTTTGATAGAAAGCATAGTATAAATAATAATAGATTGTAGTTTTGATCATAAAAAACTAGGAGGTCTAAAAATACGTTGATTCTATTTTTGAATAGAGAAATCAATATTGGTTGGAACAGTAAACGAGGATAAGCAAAAGTTTGGTATCTTTGAATGAGAAATTAAACTCAATAGTAGAATTTTGGTTGAGCATTCCAATTGATGCAGCCACATCTAGATAATTGATCACTAATGGATGTGCTCTATTATTGATGAGAACTGAAGAATTGCCTCAATTGAATGAGAAGGTCATCTTGAAAGCATTCCATTGTTGTATCAGTTAGGAATTCAATATTCGAAGTTTAGGAAAGCTGTTGCTGTATAGATTAATTTAGATCTGTGTTTTTAAACACAAATCATACAAATATATAACAAGAAAGCAAGAGGATTTCTAAAATGCCAATATCAATTTGGATTAGTACAATGTCTATAGATTTATATTGGCTGACGATTAGAAATATTACAAATTGAATGATTATCACAGGAAGGGCAAGATATTATTATACAACTCCCTTAAATACACTGAGATACAGAGAGAAGAAGCTAAGAAACAATTTAAGATTCTCAAATCCATCAGTCCAGAGTAATGGCATCAATTTATCAACTTGATGATCATTGATTAGAGTGTATTAGATTAGTAGCAATCATAATAGCCAATTATGCTATTCTAATTTAATTAGGATAAATCCTCAATAGCAAATCTATTCAACGATGTCGATAATTAAGCCAATGAACAATTCTTTTATAATTCCTATATGTAGGCTCCAATCAGATTTAGTTTGTTATATAAGAAAGTGCAGTTTATGAAATATCTATTTGCCATTACAGATTACGAAGTGTTCAATCATACAAAGCATTTGATTGATCAAAACAATTTAGATCAATTGTCCTTTTAGAGAATATATCTATCAGGCTTACTGTATTCTTTGCATTCCTCTTGGGATTGTCAATATAAACAGCAGATAATCGACTATTGCATAGACAAATTTGAGAAGATAATCATGGACTAATCCAGAGATGAATTTAAGACATTCTAGTATTACCTACACGTAGCCTTATCCAGATGCGACCTCAGAAAGCAGGAACAATTCTTGCTTTCTATTTTAGAAAAGGTGCAAAAAGAGAACGACAACAAAAAGTTGAGATGGATCTTCTTGTTTTATACTATTATTGAATCTAAGAAACATCAATAGATTAAACTATTAGACAACATTCTTCAGACCAATGTAGATTATTCGAATTTGAAGGCAGTTCAAACATTCATTCCACTGATCATTGATTAACAGAATAAATATCCCCATAACATTGAACTGTTATAGGAGTTTGGTTTGTTAGAGCAATTCAGATAGCAAACTGCAATTTTGGTGGAATCAAAGTACTTCATCTTTGAAATTTCGGAGTTGTTTTCTAAAGGACTGAATATCTTGGTGAATCAATTTTAGCAATAGAATATCAATGGGAAAATAAACATCATAGAAACCTTGTTTGAAGGTTGGAAGTCTAAGAAGTTCTTCATCAATCCATATATATTATAAAGAATGTAACCAATAGTTGAGTATTTGCTGACAATAAATGAGGAGAACAATTTATAACAATTAACTTAGGGATTGTAGATCTTTTCAAACATAAGAATTAAAGAGTGTACTATTACTTTAATTTAACTGACATTGAATTTATTGAAGGTATCCCAAAATGCTGTCAGAGTAAGACAATTGAACTTTTTAAAAGTACTATTATGAAATTATACCTAGATACTCACAAAAGAGATATTGCATATCAACAGACCTGAAATATTGGAGAATATTGCCCAGTGTTTGTTGGATGAAAATAAGGTAGTCATGTAATCATGTTTTGAACTTACCACCCAATTGATTTAACAAATGACTCTGCAAGAAGTCAATTAATAATTGGAAATCTATTTGAAATAAGTACATTTAATATATAGGTTTAGGCTACGAGCAAGGATACTGAACTTCAAGGCAAATAGGTGTTAATGGCTATGATAATGGCACATCCAAGATACACTTAATCATGGATCAATTAAGTGTTGAAAGTAGTTTTAGAGAAACAGAATAAGTTGCTATAATAGTAGAAGACATTTGCAGCCAACTATTTGAAACTGTACAGGGCAAACTAATTGATGGAGATCGAGGATGTATAGATTTAGATAGAGTTTATCGAGAAGATGAGTGAACTGTCAAATCCTTATAATTATTTTGCTTGAGACAAGATATTATCATAAATATATATATATAAATATTCTGCGATTTCATTTATAAACAATTAGCAATAAAGGTTTTAGAACTGTGATTAATATATTCCAATTAATATTTCAATTTAATGGACATATAAATAAAAAAGTTAACAACCGTGATTAATTAGCTATCCCATAAACTGGAGCAGCTGTAGGTCATTTAGAATTTTGAGTACAAACAAATATCAGATGTAAGGAAAGTATTTTAAGATTATCGTAGCTTTTATTAGAAATTAATCAAGTCAACGCTGAAATATGTCTACTCATATAGTCTGTGATGAATATTGATGTAAGCCAATTAATGGACAAGACCTTCAATTGTCTCCAAAATCTATTGGTTCATGTATTGAAGAGCAGAGAGCAATTGAATTCCAAGAAAATACATTAAAAGTCTTCATCCATTTAATTAGTTGATACGTGTGTCCAAAACCAAGTGACACAACAAAGTCTATTGGGAGGAGTGCATGTTTCAAAATAAGGAAATCCCTCATTGAAAGTCAAAAATATCACATAAGTACCTTGGTATGATACATCTTAAGTGATCCATGTTCCAAAGAAGTTTGTCGATAAATACACTTGTACGACTGAGGATTATTATTTGAACTGTTCAAAGGCAATATCGGAGTCTGGTAAGAGAGTATTGGAGTTTGAGAGCATCCTCTAATTTGCAAATGAATCAATAGCTCTTATGGGAGAGGCTTTATAGAATAAAATACTACGAGATTACAAGGAGAAAGGGAAACCAGAAGAACTGGAGAAATTGATGAATGCTATCAAGTTTAAAAAGGATGATTTAGAACAGATTATAAAAGGAGTTGATTTGGAGTTATTGAAGGATAAAGTTGAAAATTATGAATTTGTTGAATCAGAAATTAAAAATCATATCATATAAGTCTAAAAAGAGACAGCCGAGAGAGTGTTTCTCTATTGTAAATAGTTATTCAAGGAACAAATTAAAAAGGGCAAATATCAATTATAAGATTAATTGAACAGATAGAATACCTTTTCAAAAGGGGATGAGTGTAGATGTTCAATATATGTTGGGGAGATCGTTTCCCTCTAGAACAAGACTGAAGCTTAGTCTTAGTTGATAAACAAATAAGTGGGGGATCTGAAAGAAAAGGATAGAGTAATTTAAGATTTGGAATTGTAAATGAAGTTACTTGATGGTCAATTGAAGTAGAATTTATTAGAGAAATAAGATCTGAAATAAAAAATCGATTCCTAATAAAATATATAACGAAGAGGGTCAATATTGCAAAGACAATCCAGTTTCATGAAGAACATCCAATAAGGTGATGAGTAGAATTAGGATCAACAATAATCATCCATCAGTCCAAATAGAAAGATGTCAAGAGAGGAGAAAATTCCATTAAATAGGAATACAAAATCACAGATTTCATTGCCATTTTAGTAGATAGTAGAGAATTTGGATGATGATTAAATTAGCATTATAATTTAGAAGGATAAGATGCTGGAGAGATTGATCGTACTCACTAATGCCTTGGATAAAGTAAATAAAGACAGAAGATTATCACAACTACAATATGTAGTAGAATAGAAAGGAAATAGACAATTGACAGATTTGCTTGATTTAATTAAGGATATTGAAGAGAATGATTTGTAATTCAAAGACACAAAGTCATTCTGTCATAGTCAACAAGATTTTGATGATTCTCGATCGCCTATTAACATGCCTAAACACTATCATTCCTAACATATCGTAGATTAAGGAGAAGCACCTCCAAGATAAAAGTTTTAATCCACTCGGGAATTGAATTCACCAAGAGTCTCACATTTAGAGTAAATCAAAGAAATTGATGAGAACAAACACATTCTCCTTATTCCCATAGAGCAGAAAGTTGCTTAAAGGAAGCAATCGAAAAACACAAGCCAATCTAGTTTTAATGATAGCAATCAATAACTTGATGATGCATCACCTGAAAGTAAGTAGAAACACAGGGTAACAAGAACTTAATCGAATAATAATCAAAAGATATTTGAAAATAAAACTGAAAAAGTTAAAAGGACTAGTTCAATCAAATTAAAAATCAACAGAAAAATCTCTAATCAAAATACATCAAATGATATTCTCTCGAATCCTTATGGAGCTTCAACTGCTTAACCCATGAATTCAGGTAGTTTAACAGAAAGATTGCCCTTGCGACAGGGTACCTTGCAGGATGATCAATTCAAATTTGAAAAAAATATTGAAAATGACGAAACCCAAATGAAGTCTTCTACAAACAATCACAGTCTTCATGATAAACCTTATCACAATTAATTATAGTCAGGTTCAACCACTTAACATCATACTCCTAATAATTCTTCTCGATTAACCAAATTGAAATCTATCAATCAAAATAGTGATAACATTTCATCTAAATATGCATCTAACTAAAAGAGCATAGCTGAAACCAGTGTTTAAAATGCAATACAGAATCTTTAATAAACCAAATTTCAAGATATGTAAAGTTAGCCTTAAGAAACATTCCAAATTCAAGAAGAAAATGATAAATTAACTAAAAAGTAATCCCTAGCTACTCATAACAATAATAATAATGGTGTCTAATTAAAGTAAACTTCGCTGCAGAATACTTAAGTGTAACAATCATCACAAAGAGAATCTACATCCATTAATCTAAACATCATCAATGAAAATAAAAGATCTCAGAGAACTAATCAATATACAAATAATCCTAATTTCGATGACACTAATGGTGAATCCAGCAATAGATCATTAAGAAAAATGAGTCGATAAAATATGTCTCCTAATTCCAATTACAAAACTGTTGGAAATGAACCAGCAAATGTCTAATCTTATAAGTAATCACTTCTGGATCGATTGACTTAATAGAATGATTTGAAACCCTAAATTACAAATCATAAAACCCAAACCTCTATTGAAAATTTAGAATCCAAAAAGTAAGATGCCTTTATTAAAGATTATATTAAAAAGCAAAAAGAAGATTTCGAGAAGAAACAGAAGGAAGAACGAGTGATGTTTGATTAAAATTTGTTTGACATTGCTGAACAATAGGAAGAATAAATCATTAAATATGCACTTAATAATACTTAAGGCTATATGATCTCCCAAGATATTAACGATTCTATTGTTAAATAGATGTATTAAAACTTAAAAGAAAATGGAACACAGATCACCTAAACGATCAATAAATTTTATCAAAAACAAGAAAATTAAAATATTGATTTCTAAGATTTTCAAAATTTTGTCTCTAAATTCCAAAATCTGCATAAAAGATGTGGGAAAGATTGCATACATGTTACTAGGTATAAATTTCATAATAATTTTATTAAGATTTTACATGAGATTAGGATTTATACCGATTAAATATTTGAATAAAAGAAAAGCAATGAGATTAGCAAAACCAGTTGTATTACCAGGTTTCCCTAAAGTAGCTTGATTAATTATTATAAATCTAATCTTCTTTTTAATATACATATTTCTCAAGAAATATTTGAATTAGCTAATGTTTTGCTAACAATTGGACCTTATGAAGTTGTCAAAAGATGGCCTAATAAGTTAATATTCATCAATACCATCAAAGACTGCTTAAAGATTTCCATTTGTCTTTAAAAGTGGTGCCACCTTTTCCCATTGTCCCTTCTTTGGATTCAAGACTTCTTCTCTTTCATCCTTGAAAATGGCTTCATTTCCTTGGACCTTGACTCTCTCACCTACTTTGCTTCCAGGAGCTGGTCTCATCAATTCCACCTTTGTGTGAGTGGCATCAGATGCACATAAAACCATACCATTAGACATAAATCCTAAACATGATAGTAATGTATAATACCTGCTAATTTTCTTCCTTTGAGATTCACTAACACTAAGACTTATCCAGTCATCTCTTCAATTGGAACGAATTATTATAATCCTGAAGCAATTTGTCTGATTTCTCCTCCGATATCAATTTCTTCACAATATAATTTATCTGATTCTTCATGCTAAATTTAAATGATGAAAGTACCTTCCAAACTTTCTTTAATTCTCCAACTCTTATATCGACATTCACAAAATCTGTAAAAGGTCCGAGATCTTAAGGAGCTGGAGCTGGTGCCTTTTTACCTCCTTATGGTTATTATTATTATTATTATGGTTTTTTTTCTTTTTAGGGTTACTTTTCCTTTTATTCAGTTTATTCCTTCTTTTGAGGTTATTCTGCCTTTTTCTCAGGCTATTCCTTTTGCTATTGGGGTTCAGCCTTCTATTCTACCTTTGGGTTTGCTTCATTTTCCTATTTGGTATTAAGTTGAATGAATTCAGCAAATGGGGATGGTTTATGTTCAACTCCCAAACTCTTTTCCAACTAATGAATGATTGTTTCAAGTTTGATTAAGGTTGGTTTAAATTAGGATATTGTGCTCATTTTTAAAATGTACTTAAATTACAGAATTAAATTCATAAATATTTAGATATAAATAATAGTTAAATAATGATTAATGATATCATTTTGATTTTAATGGAGGTAGTAATTTTCTGTGTGATTTAAGGTTCGTTTTATTGGAAGCACAAAAGGTCTATTAAAATGAGGTTGGTATGAAGAATTTGTTAATCATTTGGTTTGATTTCTATTTTAAAGATCTTGCCGAACAATTCTAACTTTTTTCACATTTATCTTTTTCAAAGACTATGACATTCTCCATTGATTTCTTAAAATTGGATTTTTGGATTAATGAGAAATCTAAAAACTTTCCCTAACTCTCCACTCTGGCAGTAGTATTGCATTGATTCTTAATTCTGTTGTTTACTTGTAATATTTTAAATTTATTTTGAGACGGACTTGCACTCGTTTGATTCTACTCCTTCTTTTAATTTTCTTACTCTAACTCTTTTACACTATCTTAAAAGATCTAAGTTCTAGGTGAATTGTGATTCAAATACTGTAAGAAGAATAATAGCTTAAATTACTAAAATTAAAATTGTACATTCATACTTATCTTATCTGCTATTCTTTTAGGAATTAGTCTAATTGTTATTAATAAGTCAATGGAATTTTATCATGGAACTTCCTTGTGATCCATGGATGCATCAAGGCTTGACTTACATTGTATCTGTCTATAGGATTAACATTAATTAATTTAAAGAATAGATCTTGAGCCAAAGGTGTCATACTCTAGGGGATATCAATGGAAGGGTTGAGGATTTTGTTGATGAACTCATACTTGGTATCGTCTTTATTATAAAAGGGATGTTGTCCTGCATTTAATAACATGTATAGCAGAATTCCACAACTCCAGGCATCCACTTATTTGCTATACTAATTAATTTTAGAATAAGTAATCTACATATTTTTCAGTAAATTGTTCTGGTGCCATGTAGATGATAGTTCCGCATTTTTTATTCAATAATTTATGAAAAGTACCTTCACTAGATGAGAATCGAAAGCTCAATCCGAAATCAGCAATCTTAACATTTGTCCCTGTCAACATAATGTTCTCTGGTTTAATGTCTCTATGAATAATTGATCTATCATGCAAGTAGTTCACTCCTTCCAAAATGGATTTCATAATAACTGCTGCCTCCTATTCGTTTAAGTGTTTCTCCTTCATTTTCTACGCCAAAGTGCCGCCTTCCATGTATTCCATAATTATATAATAGTATTTTTTGTTTTCTGAAATCTTAATAAATGTTTTTTACTCATACTCTCTTGCATCTCACAATATTTGGATGATTCAATTGTAAATAGATATCCTATTCAGGAGTAGTACTATTGTAAACTAGTTTCGAAATAACCTCTTAATTGATGTCGGAATTACCTTGACTGCACAAATAGATTTGTCTGTTAAATCAATTGCTTTGTAGACTTTACCAAAACTACCCTCTCCTATCTTGCATATTTCCTTCAACTAATGTAATTACTACAGAAATTGGATGTTTTCACCTGTGAACATCTTTAATTAGGTAGTTAAAATAAAATTATCATTTATATTATAAAATAACTTATACATCTTATCTCTGTATCAATGTCTGTAATTTATTCAAATAGATCTCATACAAGTAATCGCTGGCAGATGAATAAAATTCAATTGCCTAGTTTCATATTCAACTGCAATATTACTTATTGATATAAATCCATCAGCTTATTAATTGTCTATTGATTAAATTTCTTATCAATCTCATTCTCCAATTAATTTAGATTCTTCATGATTGAGTTGATCTTCTATTTCTCAGCCAATTGCTAATCTCCAAATACCATATAAGAATTCGATGTCATTCGCACATGTTGATATTGATTCAATCTCCTCAAAAACAATCTTATAAACTTGTCATATTCATTTATAGTAAATATCTATTGTTCTTCTTGTTTGTTTTTGTAATTCTTCCAAGTGATTGACAATTATGTGCTATTGTCCTTCTTTCTTTTTAATTAGACACAACTCTAAAGTGGAGCCCTGAATATCAGTCGAACATAATCATCTTTCCCTTCTATCATCTCAAATAAATAAAAATGAGCATCACTCAATCCAATCAACCTATTTATTTATATGTATATTCTAACCTCACTTAAATATTTTAGAAAAAGGCATTCTATTATTGAATTGTTGGAAATCTGGCTAAATCTGGAAAATCCTTCAATTCATCTATTGAATAGGAACTACCTAAATAATATTGACCTATGTTTTAAAGATAGATCTTATCAAATCTATTCAATAGTACACGATCCTATGAATCATATTATTAAGCGGAATACTAAAAATGATGGGATCTATTTAATTATGGAAACCAAAGATAATTTGTAATTCCATGGCTGCAACAATACATCAGCTATCAGGTTTCTGCCATCTGCCAAGGTAGGTCTAACGAACTTCACTAAATAATTAAAATTACAGTAGTTTTGCACACTATTCTCACATCCTTTACTGGATATTGAGCACCAATTTATATTGTAAAGACAATCAAATCTACATTTTACAATTCATTATTTGCATAGACTTCTACTTTTTATTTGATCCCAATCTTATTATTTGATAACCATTATTACATCCAATTCTATCCATCTCTTTGATTTTGTATTTTGAACAAAATTCAATTCATATTTCTCTTTGGTACATAATGATACGACTTCATTCATTTCTAATTTTATAATTGCTCTCAACCTGCAGTGAATCTTTTAACTTGTCCTTCCAAACTAAACAACTCCTTAGACCATTAAATAATTGCTTCTATCTTTGAATTCTCCCCTTGATTATTCATTTTTATATTATAATTATATTAATGAATATTGATGATTAAGATGATTGGTATGACTCTAATCTCGATCAAAAAGAAATTGAAAGACAAATAGCATAAACAGACCAATAAATTATGATCAATTAATTAGAAAAAGAAGGCTATCGGGAAGGCTTAGTACGTACGACTGAGGAGGAAGAATAAAACTTAATGAACAAAGGTTTTAATGATGGATTCGCTGCAGCTAAACACTAATTTAAGGTCATATAGACTATTGATTTAGTGTTATAAAATTAGAAATTGTTTTCATAGAACATTGTACTCAAATGTGAATAATTAAAAACATTGTAAAATTATGATCAAGTTGATTTGGATCAATTATTAGGAAATTGATTTTGAATTTTTTGCTATAAAGTTAGAATATCAATTATAATATTAAATAAATAATTTATCGTTTTTAATGGGAAACATGAATGTTTGTTGCAATGCAAGAGAGGATTTCCCTCATGATCACTCTTAGAATAAATTAAAGCATAAGTAGGATACTGAAGAGAGTGAGTATGAACCTAATACTGAAGCATACAGAAAAACAATTTAAAGTGTCATCATTTAAAAACCTTCACTCACTTTTGGAGAATAGATGATATAGGATATAATTGACTTAACTGATGAAAATAAAGTCCCACTAACCAGTGAAAATGGGTGGAATTGTTTAATAGATTAAGCATCTATTAAATTGTATGCTTTTGAATGGAAAAAAGCAGAAAAGTCAATGTAAAATTAAGGTTGTATTTTAGTTAGAGTTATTGTTTTAAGAGCACAGTTTCAATTAAATTGTTCCATTTAATAATATCTCAATGTCAGTATGGATGAGATGAAATTGATTGATAAAAAAATAGAAGAATTCAATATAGTGGAAGAGAATACAGAGCATAATGAATCAATTCGGTATCTTGCTCATAAGGGTATTGGTGTATTGAAAAGTAGAGATTTTTTATATTTGAAATCTCAGCAAAAGATCTCAGAACAATTATATATAGAAGCTGCAAAGTCAATTGAAGATTAAACTGGGTTCATTGAGAAAAAAAGAACTAGAGGATCCATTAATTTAGCTGGATAAATTGTGGAATAAATTAACTTATCAACTATTTTGATTAAGTAATTCTTAGATGTTGATCTGAAAACTAATGTTTAATTAGCTAATCTGAAAAATCCTATAATAAAAGAATTCGTAAAATATCATGAGTCATTATAAAATCATGTAAATTTTTAATAATAATGATATTTATTATAACATTATACTAGATTTTTAGTTAATCATTTTAATTACAAATCTTGAATAGGATTTTCCATCATTAACTTTTCATTTCGATGACAATATTTAAAATATTAATTTCATTTATTGTCTGAATCATTAAATAATGATTTAATAACATAGCAGTGCAAGTATATTTAAAGAGAATGATAAATACCCTTTGAAAAAGATCTCAAAAAATATTGAATAAAATTGATATATATTCATTTGGATTAAGTTTTAGCATAATTGTCTTTCAAATCCTGCTGTTCTTATTTACTATTTTTGAAAAGCTATAATAATAATTAAGTATCTAATTTATTTTGGATTCTATGATGATATGATATATAAATACTCTTTGCTCTATGATAAATCAGAATCAGGCTTTATAAAAAGTTCAATATTTTTAAGTCTAGATTTGAGATATTTTTGAATGGGAGATTAAGGCAATAACATCATTAATCCTTACAATGATTAAATAAGAAAAGGGTGATTAGCAGATTCTAATAATTATAGTCTTAAGTATGCGAAGACTGGCGATTCTAATAGCAAGGTTAATCTGGCTATCTATACCAAGATTTCAACATTGGTTTCTTATTCTGCAATTGTTAAGATGATATTGTAAGTGAGCTCATACTCTTCAATTAAGAGAGACAATGATAATGCACTTACTTCATTATAACAAAATGTTTTATAAATACTGATGAAGAATTCATAGGTTGATTTAGCAGTTTTTTGGTTCTTTTCATATTTATAATTTTTAAGCTTCATTCTAATATTTTATAGACGAGGTTCTGTGATTAACAGATATTCTAAAGATTGAACTAATTATTATGTAAAGGCTAGATCTAGATTGTCATCTCCAACATAGACATAGTTTTCTAAAAGTTTATTACAAATTTGAGTATAGACAACTTCAGCATTCCAGAATTCACAGAGTTTCTTAATAATAATTTAACTCATTCTATTTAATAAGTTAACATTTTTATGGAATATGTCCAATATTTTTTCGATGACCATATCGAAATATTATTCATGAGATATACGAGCCAAAACATCCATCACGTTCTCTACAACCTGAGCTTCGGCATCTTTGAGTCTTTCAATTAACTAATTTATTAAATGACTCTTTTACATTTTCTAGAATATTTTCAATCATTGGCTTCAACTTCTCTGTTTGAGTGTTCAACAGATGTCTCATCCACATTAATGCTTTCTCTGCAGTGTGATTGTTCTTTTCTTTAAGCATATCTTAGATGGTTGGCATGATGTCTACAAATTCTTTGCCTGAGGCTTTCATTTTGTCCATGATTTGCAACAATAAATCATTGATTTATTGGGCTTGATTCACAATCTAAAGTGAATCAAGTGATAATAGGGAGAGTATTATCTTCAATATATTATTTAATTTTTCCATAATAACAGATTGAAGCACTGAATCTCTTCTCTGTTCAAAGATATTTGACATTAGGTCAATCCCTTTAATAATTTATCCTCCACTTAATTCCAATGGATTGAATTAGACCTATGGCTGATCTAATTCATTACTAACTATTTTCAAATATTCCATAATCCAATTTAAAACCTAAGACAACACATGTGCATCACTTTATTTATTTTAACATAATCCTAATAAGATGTCAATGATTTATCGATGAGTTTTCAATTCCTATGTTTGATTAAAGGATGATCTTTTTGAATATCTCTCCAAATCCCTTTGGAATTCTTCTAGTTATTTTCTAGCAGCCACTTTGACTTCATTTGTAAATGGATCCTTGTTGTTTGTGTCTGCAAGCATAAGAAAGAGTTCAACCAAAAAGCCTTCTATGTAATCAAATAATTCAATATGTGGAATGGAATTCAACGTGTTGATCCATGAAATCAGATTCAATTTCACTTATTGATTTTTGAAGACAATCTAATTACTAATTCTCTTAACAAATGATTAAATCTTGAAATTCTATTTCTCAGGAGCTGTGCTTGTTACCAAACTCTTTAAACAATTATCTAATTGGGATGCTGCCTTTCTCACAGATTCATCTGGATCCAGAAAACTTTGAACTAAGTTTCTGTAGATTTCTTCCAATTTATTCAAGACGTAATCTCCAAGTTATTTGGATGTCAGAAACAAATATTCAATTGCTGTATACCTGACTCTCTCTTCCTTGTCTCTCATACACTCGATCATTGGATCAATAATGTAATTCAAGCAGTTCTTGATGATGGTTTCCTGCTTTTAAATATTGAGTAAGCAAATACTTTCTTTGAAATATCTATAGCAATTGAATATAATCCATGTAGTCCTCCTTTCTTATATTGAAATTATTGTTGCGTGACGTATCTCTCTTTTAAATACTTAGCTATTTCTATGATAGTTTTCTCTGTTGCATTCTAAATTACTTTTATCAATTCTGCTCCTCCCTATTCTCTTTTCTCTTATGATCTAATATGATTTCAATTGTGGAGTACTTATCGAACAAATTCTTAGTTACTGGTTCTGGCAAATTGATGTTCTTCTCATCCATTTTAATTTAATATAAATTATTTATATCCATGGGTTAGGAGAAATTAGCCGCATTGTTGCTCTATAGATAATTGTTCAAATCCCTAGGAAATCGACTATCAAGAGATCAATTGAGAAAATACTACAAATACACTGTTCAAGCAAGAGTACAGGGAGAGAATCAATAAATTTTGAAGAATTTGGAAATTTATTTGAAAGCCATCAAAACTCAGAATTTAATCATGGATGCTGAAAACATTGGCAAACCCAAAGATTACAAAGCAGATGTGTAGAAGGTGGCTAATTACGTTGGATTAAGAATGCCTGAAACCCATTAAAAATAAGAGTGATTTATATAAAATCTATATAATTTTAATTCAATGTCATTTTTAAGGTGGCTGACTAGAGAATCTGAATTTGCATCCAGTCGCCCTCTCTCGACAACCTAACACTGACCTATTAATCTTAATTTATTTTAGTTATAATCCATCAAATAGTTAAATACTCTCATCCAAATCTGTGTAGGAATCATTGTCCTTAACTGAATAGTCATCCTAATCCTACAATTGCGAATTCTTTTGAAGTCTATATAATTGCTCATACTCGTATCTTTTGATTAACTTATAAATCCTATAATTGTGCAAACAACATTGAGATGCAGTCTAATTTAACATATTCCTGCTGAATAACTTGACTTCTGACTATTGCAAAAGCAAAGTAACTATTTCAAAATGTCCATTTGAACAAGCCAGATGCAAAGGAGTTTGGCGTTTCTTGCCCCCTTTAAGATTTAAATCAAATTTGGATTAATTCTTACTGTTGTGTTGGATTACTGCTGAAATAGCATCTGTGTTCCCCTTCTTAGCAGCAATGTGCAACGGACTCCATCCATCTTGATTAAGTGCATTAGTATTAACATTCTTTTTAAGCAATGCCATGAATGCCTACTTGTAGATTGAGACATCCTTATCAAAACATGCCATACAATAGTGTAAGGCTGTATTGCCCTTCTCATCCATCTGATTAGGATCTGCACCTTAGGTTAAGATATCAAGAATCAAGTGGATTTGACCTTTCACTATGGCCAGATTCAAAATTGATCCATATTTGGCTGCATTTGTATTTACTGATGCTCCATTAAATATTAAGGCTTTGGCACTAAAATACTTCTCCTCTTGAATTGCCAATCCCAAGGCTGTATTCTGTCTTTGATCTTGGCAATCTACTATTTCAGGATAATAGGATATCAATGATATCAAAGCACCAATGTCTTGTTCTACTGCTGCCTTGTGCAAGATAGTCGTTGAATATTCTTTGTCTCCTCCTTAAGGGTTAGGGAGGATGTTTAACTAAAGATTTGAAAACTAGATAAGAAAGTCTTGAAAGTTCATTCCAATAGAGGAGCTGTACTCTTCATCACTAAACTTGATATCAATAATACTAATACATTAATTTAAGAAGGATCTTCTACGTCTTTTATTTACTTTTCCTCTAAAGATGAAAACAGCTTCTCTATGTATGGTCTATTCACAATGGGGTCTATGGGAGGGTTAAGGTATTTGAACCAATCCAAACCGAGTTCATTTAGTTTCTTTAGATTTTAGAGTTCTATTGGAATGTATTAGAATTCATTTGATTAGATGAAGAGAGATCTTAAATTTATTAGGGTTATTAATGGATAAAGTTTTTAAATTCTGTTTTTGCTTAATTCCAATATCTCTAGATGGGCGGACCAATGAGATAGATTTCTTGGTAGGATCACAACTAAATTGTTGCTAATAGAAAAATTGATGATAGAGGGGAAGTTGTCAAATAAATCTTCAGGTAAAACTTTAATGAAATTTGAATTTAGATTGATGATTTAGGCTTTTTTCATTTCATATAATTCTTTTGGAAACACCCTGAACCTATTATCCTATATAGTAGTCGATTAATACTTGGAGATCAACCATTTAAATATTTGCAAAATCACATTTAACTTTTGGAAACATATCGATATTCTATTTTGCCAAGTTTAACAAGTAAGTGTTAAAGGATATCTTCTTCGAATTTCTTCCAGAATTCATTTCTTTTGATTGATATCTATTGTATTAAACAGTTTCTGTTTATGCCACTTACTTCGAATATTCTCTATTTGGAGAATGGTTGTTGCTTACAAACAGTTTGGTTTTGAAGAAATTGGTTTTAGAGCTATTGTATTTGTTGGATTATTCAATAAGAGTGACAATGTTTGAATCCATATTAGTTAAATATATATATAATATAAAATTATATCATGCATAGTTCATCCTTGTATTTCAGTTAACTCTCCCATCATTTGCCTATTCGATATAACCCAATAATTACCACATATTCTCAGTATCGCTGTAGTTAGTAACAGGGAATTTCGACGCAACATCTCTTTAAATAGGGAATATCTGATCAACAGTCAACACAAAGGCATCATCAACCATCCTTGGTATCAACATCTATAACAAAGGACTGGATTCTTCAAGACAAGGATTAGTATTAACTTCTATTAAATAAATATTGAAGAGTTCATCCAAAAAGAAATCAAAACCAAAAATCTCCATACAAAATTTCCGATTTAACTTATTGATTTTTGTTGCCACAGTTCTCATTGCAAAATATGCCATCTCTTTCATCTTCTCGACTATCTATCCTCTAAAATCTATTTTGGATTTGAAATAGTCTGAAACTTAATCAAATGATAGTTAATTTCCTAATTCTTGTTGTCCATACTTGTCACTATGTTATTAAATAGCATTATTTGTTAGATGAATGTAAATGTTCTCCACGTCATTCGTTCGGTATTCTTCCGATGCCATTCTTATGTAGCCTTCTCTAATGAAATATGCAACACACTATATACTTAAAAAAATAGCAAGTCAGATCGGTATTCAGAAACACCCAAACTCTTATATCAAATTTCCTGTTTTTTATTAATAAAGGTTTCTCAATATATTTCTGAACAACAAATGACGATGTTTTCAATAAATATTAAACAACCTTTTATTAAGTTTATCCATTCTCATCCTTATATGTTTCTAATTACTTCTCATGATACCCATATTAATAATCAATAAGTAGATCAATAACATTGTCAATATCCTAAAACACATGAATCCCTCGTCCTCTATTTAATCCAGTAGGTTTCAATAACCATAAATAATCTGGACCAGTAAAAGTGTCTCTCATTTGAAATTCCAACTATTTTTTCTCTTTGCTCGGTGCTATTCTCAATTTTTTCTTGATTTCATTAAGTTTGTTTTACGCATCTTATTTATTTAATTACTTAGCTTCAGGAGCATTTTTGTTGTAAAAATTATAAAAAGCAGATATATTACATTCAACTGATGAATCTGTAAAATCTATAGCAAAGGTTACAGGCATAATATCAAAAGGGTTCAGTTTAAGAATCTAAATAACAAAATAATTGTACTTCACAAGCTGCTGATACATTCACTAATAAATTCTTTTTATTACTAATTTCTGGATGGAATTCAAAATGATTAAGTAATTCTTTGTGAGATTTATGCCAATTCAATTTGAAATACTTGTATCCATGATTAGATTGTTACCATCTAAAATTGGCTCTGGCAATATTAGTAGTCTAATGCCAATCTGATCTGTAATCGAACACTCGTTTTATTAATTCACTATTATTTCCTCCACCTAAAAAGTAAGAATAAATGGTTGGTTGTGGTTATTAATTGGCTTCAATAGGAATTGGAGATTAGAGTTTTGCTATTGATAAGGTATGTCGAACATATTTTTGAAGTTTAACTGGGGGAGAAGGTTGCTCAGCAAATGACTTATCTTATTCTTTTTATCTCTAGGTATCTTTGGAAAATATTTTGTTTTTTTATTTTAAAATCTTCTCACTCGTTTTGTTGTTCTCTTTATTTTGTTGTTCCTTTTCTCTTTCTTATTCTTTGATCATTTCAAGCTCTCTAAGTTTATCCCGACTCTTTGAACGAATGGTATTGAATTTATTTTTATCTAACTTCATTTATGGAGTTTTCAGAGCTGGTAAACTGTCTGATGTTTGTGGTTGAGGCACTTAGATTTTGATTGCGGACTTGGCTTCTCTCTTCTTACCCTTTTTGATTTCATTTTATATAAATTAATCAGCTAAAACTTTGGCTAATTCTTGAGGGCTTTTAAAATTGGGTAATTTAGCCAAGGAACTTGTGAAAAAGTTACTAAAGGCCTTGCTCTCCAGACTCTCCTTAACCCTTTGCAGCATTTCCCAATTTTCTGATTGTATTGTTTTACTTTCTAAAAGATATACTTATGTGTAATGTACTTTAAGCAAAGTTTAAATCGACCTGGGAGACATTTCTATTCGATCTCAAATTAACCAAGCTTGGCAATTGATTTGCATTATTGTTTTGTTGTTCTTCACTCATGATATTTATTAATAAATAATTAGTTTATTGTTTTAGATAAAAACAAGGATTATCGTTATGATAAATAATAAATATTTCAAAGTTAATTAACATATTCCCACAGATTCTCCTCATTTGAATAATTAAGAAATGGATACTTGGAGGCTGCTTTTTATTGATGGAATAGTCTATCAACTGTCAATTTAAATGCATCATCTACTTCTAAGACTCAACTGTTACCTATCAACCTTGGGAACAGACTCCCCAACAATTTACTGGTGACTTCTAAACTAGGATTTGTATTCACCTCAATCAGCCATGGTTTGAAATCCACATCTAAAATGAAATCCATCCCATAGATCTCAAAACAGTTTTTCCGTTTGTATTTATTAATCTTCCCCTTCACACTTTAAAAAGCCAATAGAGAAATCTACTTCAACTTTTGAATCACCTATTCCATAATATTAATAGGTACTTCTTTTCGAAAATCCATCTTAAAGTATTATGAAGCCTGATCAAAATTGTATTGGTTGCCCTCTTCAGTCTTGCCATACTAAGGATGTGAATACTGAACAGCATTGTTAGTCAAATGGACATAATTGGATTGTTACTTGGCATCGAATGTTTCAGTAGCCAATCTCAGTTACCCTTCTCTAAATAGTAAATTAGATAGATACCTAAAAAAGAAGAATCCTAAATTCGATGTTATCATCACATAAGTTCGAATATCAAACTTCCTTCCTTTAATCAATAAAGGTTTCTCAATGTATTTCTGAATCACAAATTGCTCCGTCATCAATGTATTTATGTAAATAATCTTAGTTACTATTTCATTATTCTCATTTCTCTTTACTTCCAACAGATGCTCCTTGTACCCGTTCTAATATCTATTATAAATATCGATTATTTCTTGTAGGTTTCTGACAACATGGATTCCTCGTCCTTAATTCATATTTGCTGGTTTGAAGATCCAGAGATTCTCTCCAGCAAATAGAGTGGGGTATTAATCACCTTTAGTTTCCAATTGACTCCCGTACTTAAATTAATAAGACTTTATTGTCTTATCTAACTCTTATAATTGATGTTAAGGACAATAAGATCTATAAAAGGTTAAGAAATTAAATAGGCCAGCTTTTAAATTTTAGTTGGTACATTCAATGGCAAAACTTATTGGAATATAATCTTATACGTTTAGTTAGCTTTTCTATGTTCATAATAGATGAATAAACTTACATCACAAAATGTCTTAAAATTTAATGCTAAGTGATATTTATTTGAAATCTCAGCATGAAACTCAAAATGATTAAGCATTTGTGGCTTAGAATCCTTTAAATTTCCTGCCAAAGTACGATATTCGTATCCTTTTTCAGTTTCTTGCCATTTAAAATTAATGTTTTTCAGACTAGCATCTTTCACCTAGACCCAATTTTATCTCTCATCCAGTAACTTTTTAATTAACTCATGATTATTCCCTTCTCCTATGTAATAGAAATATGTGGATGGCATAGATCTTTTAGGTTGAGCAGATAAACATTTTAGAGGAGGTTACATGGATAAACTTCTTTCTTGAGTATCCTGCTTTTTTGGAACAGGAGGCAACTTTCGTAATTGCGATTCCTTTCTCTCTTTCTTGGCTTTAAATTGCGCTTTGGCTTTCTCAATTGCGTCTGTTTCAATTTATTTGTAAACTATTTTTCTATTTTTCTTTCTCATATTGTTCTCTGTTTAAAATCTAGGAGGGATCTAACCACTAAAATATTAAATCGCCAGTTTTTGGGCAAGCTCTCTGACACTGTGTGTTTATAGTTTGCTGGAGGACGATATATATTTATCAAAGAATTAAGAGAAAGCATCTTAATTTTATTATGTAAGTTTTTATGCACTCTACATTTATAAAATTAATATTCTTCATTCAGTAATGATAAATGGTAAGTATTATTATTTAAATAATTAAATACTAGAACTCCCTCAGAAATGCTCTTCTTCTTCATTTACTATGACCTAGCTCATTTAAGACGAAGTTTTTTTTCATTCAAAAATGCCTTAAATGGATGTAATTCTATTAAGGCTATAATTATGATTAAAAACCTATAAAAATAAAGAATATTATTATTATAAGTTTATGATAGAACGCTCTCGAGACGATTTATACTCTACTGGTCCTATCACTCCAGATCGAAGCGAAAAAATAAATGCCAAATGCAAAATCTTAGGTTTTATTACAGGTGAACAATATGACCAATAAAAATTTGTTCCTCTTCGATCATTATTACCGATTTCAATTGATAAACTTAATTCTATAATAATCAACCTTATTTCAAGTAATTGTTTCAAGTAAAACTAGTTATTTTGGAAATAGTAAAACGAGATAAAGCAACTCCAAATATAAACCTAGACAATATAATGATGTTAAAGGGTGATTTAACTATGCCTTTTATATTCAGTTATTAGAATAAAACTACTGCTCGTTAGTGCGAGTAAAGTTTACTGAAACAATTTTCTTTATTATGTATTTCTATTAGTTTTTATTGTAGGCAAATAATTGGGATTTCACAAAGATATAATTAGATGTGATAGTCTACAAAACTTTCAAGAAACCTTACTGAGAAATATTGGCTTTGAGTAGTCAGAATTTGAAAAAAACTGCAGAATAATCAAAAAAGTTTTAAACATTGAAGAAAATATAGACACAAACTATAGAAATAAATTTACTGAATTGTATCCAATAAATGCTCCGAAATATATTTTAAACGCTCCAAATTCAGATTAAATTGCTTTAAAATTAGGCTATTAAAATAGAGAAGTTTATGAATTGCGGGAAGTGGAAATTATAGAAGACTTTGAAAACAATCATCTTCCAAATTTATATGGATACATTAGATATTCAGATATCCTTGTTCTCTTTATGAAGAAACATGATTGGACATTTGAAAATATAGCAAATAAATTTTTCAGATAGAGATAAAACCTTTAACCCAAACAGATTGAGTAAGCTTTCTTAAGATTATTTCACCAAATGATACAGGCCATAAAATATATGCATTCTGAAGGCATTATTCATAGGGATATAAAACCAGAAAATATCATGTTCGACAAAGCTTATCCATAACAAGACTTATTTGAAATCATCAATAAGTCTGTAAATTGTGTGATGATCGATTTTGATAGATCTATTGTTATGGAGAGTTACAACCCTAAAAATAATACTCATTATGAAGGAACTCCCTTTTTTAGACCACCTGAAGGTGAATAAGTAGAATATAATCAAACTTATGATATTTGGTAGCTAGGATTTATGTGGTTCGTTATTTAAAAAGAATTTTATCAACTAAGAGACAATTTATAATATGAATTATTTAAAAGTTTGGGAAAACTTTAAGCTAATCAACAAACACATAATCATGAGATAAAAAAGGAAGTTAATTTATTGGAAGAATAGTTTGAAAAATTGAAAGTAGAAGGTAAATTGGGAGAATAAAATATGAAAATAGTAAATTTGAAAATTTAGAAAAAAAAGGATTACAATTCTCTAATTGAATAAATTGGGCTGCAAACTTCTTTTGTTCCTTATGACTCTTCACTTCAAGAGATAATCCTAAAAATGATTCACATAGATCCATAATAAAGAGCAACTCTTGATGATGTATCAAAAGTAATTGAGAATTTGATAAAAAAAATTGAAAAATGATTTAAACCAAGCAAATCAAATATTATAATTTTTAATATTCAATTAATTGAGTTATCATTACTTCTAAATCAACTATTTTTCTAGAAATCGATATTTTACTGATTTTTTTTCATCATTTTATTAAAAACTATGGAAATGACTTGGGGAAGATAGTAATGAATAAGTCATTTCATTTTTCACTTGTAATTATTCAAGATACTATAATCTTTCTATTACTCTTCTTTTTTCACTCAGAAATCGTTTCTGTCTTTATTCTTATTGCTCACTTATTTCGACATAACCTTTCTTCATTTATACTCTGTTTCGTCCATCTTTGAATCTCACTTAAACTTCTGTTTTCTATTGATTTGAAGGATTGCTGATAATAAACATCCCATTATAAGCTAAAGGTCTTCTTTCTGTTGTGACATCAGAAACAAACCCTTCATCACTGTGCATTTTCTTCACAATGGAATTTGATTCTGATTGATCACCAAAGGAAGACTATTATTGCAATTTTTATAATTCTTCTTTCATTTTTCTATTCTCTTAAATAATCTTTTCTACTTCATCATTACTCAATTAACCTTCTCTTAATCTTTCATTTTCTTCTTGCATTTTCATCAACTTGAAGTGTAAATCATTTTAATTTAATCCACTTCTCTTCATGTTTAATAACGATTTCAAGTAATCAATCTAAATTATACCAATATTAAAATTACTTCCTTTACTAATTTGTTAACTAAGACTTAATCATTCGCATTAAATTTATTTGGTTAAACTTGAATAGTTACATTCTTTGCTCTCTATGCAAACTTAAGACTACTGACAGTTTCATCAATATTGTAAATGTTTGGTGCAATATTGACAATGATGTGAGTCATAGTGTTTCCACCTAAACTATCCTGCAATAACCTTGTCAATTTAGATTCTCTATATGGAATAGGTAATTTCTGTTTATTTTTATTGTTTTATGATAAATTTTATATTACTTTACCCAATGTCGTTAATGATTAATTGATATTCTTTAATTCAATAAAATGAGCATTAGTAAGGGCTTCTAATTTGTTTATTTTTTCTGAGCCTGCCAAGTCGCATAGATTTAACTTCGATTTAAACAGAACTCCATTTCTATCAACCTTGTTGGTCTCAATAATTAGTTGAAATATAGTGTGACTTCTACTGGATTTTAAATTCATAGTAGTTTATCGAATAATTCTATTTCTCTCTCCTCTTTTCATCAGAGTTAAACAATCATAATAATTATTGACAGCGTATTCTGTTAAATTCTCTAAAAATTAATAGATCTATATACTAAAATTTAAGCTTACCCACATATATTCCATCCAATTTGCTTTCGTGCAAATTCAAAGGCACTGGTAACTTGTGATCTTACAATAAATCATAGATCTTCTCATTATAGATTTAAAGAAATGAACAATAAATATAAAAATTAGATGGCATGTTATTGAATATTCCGAAGATAACTCTAGGAATAATTCCAGCAAATGAGATGTCATTTTTTAAATCATCACAGTAAGTTGCTTAATGGCTCAATCCAAAATTCATTTGCGACTCCCAATCGCTACCAAACATAGTATAGGTTTTTCCTTTATTTAATCAAATATGTTACCACTACCAGTTTAACCGTATGCTAAAATGGTTCCATTGAATCCATCAAATGCTTACTTGATACAATCATTCAAATTATTATAAATTTCCACTTGGAGGGATGCCTCATCAAAAACCCTATCAAATTCCTATTTAAATATCTGAGTTGACTATTCGATGACAACAAATTTTTTCTAATTAAAAATAGGATTGTTAACTTATACATTTTCAGTTTTGATGATTGTCTCCTAACCTTACTCCTTCTTCAACAATGGTCGAATTCTAATCGATACTTTTATAGGCAATTTTCTGTCTTCTTGAATTTACTTTGTTTTTTATTTCTATAGGTACATTGATTTAATAACACTTTATAATAAATATTATTATTGTAATTTAATCACATTACCTTATAATTGCAATTCACAATAAAACACGAAAACTAGATTAAATTATTAATAAGATGCAAATCAAAATTAGAATGTCCTTAAATAATTAAAAGACGTTCTAGTTAAGAATTTCATATTATTTGTTATTATTATTATTATATTTTTAAATATCAAATTTAATTTTATAGAAGATTGAATTTCTAAAATAAGAGATTATTCACTTTAAAAATGACATTCTTTATTCTACTAAATCTTTTCATGTCTAAATAGTAAGGTCAAGCACTTCAGAATGAATTTTAAATGAAAATAAAAAACAGTCTCTATTTTTAACAAGAATATAGTGTTTTAAATGCAATAAATTTTAATATTAAAGTAAAAGTATCATGATTAAGGACACAAACTTGTCAACAAGGTCAATATTTTTTGATGACCAAGATGTTTAATGGCAATCTAAATAATCACAAGAACTTAACATTACATTAAGAGGGCTATTTCATATTTATAAGGAAGCGAAGAGCCATTACAAACTCTCAGAACTCTCCTTTAGCCCACCTTATATCATAAAATAGTCTAAAAAATAAGTTTAAAATTATTTTACACAAGGGTTCCAAGGTTCTAGATATTACTAATGCAGTTATGGAGAAAGTGAAAAACAACATAGTTGGCGAAGGAATACTACTTTAGAGAAATAAACTAAAGTTTTACATGTATGGTCAAGTGGAGAAATGGGTGGAAGCATTCTCAGAGCTCTGCATATAGATCAATTTTCATGAGGACTTTTTTTTATATCGATTAATTTCGAATAGTCAACAGTCGAAGGTATCAAATCTTAATATGGCAGGTTTATTTTGCTGAATATCGGAGCACCAAAATTGATTATGCAATCAAAGTATTTGAAAAGAATAAATTTGACTCAGAAATTGGACCCAAGGCTTTGAAACAAGAAATAGAGATTTTGAGGCTCATTAAAAATGAATATTTCACCAAATTATTAAAAATATACGAAGGAAATGAGGCAGTTTATTTGATATTTGAACAGTAAAAGGGAGGTGATCTTTAGAGATTTATAAAAGATAATGATAATATTCTTACAGAATAAACAGCATTTCAAGCTATCAAATAATTATTATTGGGAATAAGTGAAATGCACAATCTCAATTACATGCATCGTGATTTAAAGCCAGAGAACATATTATTAAAAAACAAGGATTCTTTGGAATGCCTAATTATCAGTGATTTAGGTTTAGCAGAAAAAGTCAATAATGAAAAAAAACAATTGTTCACTATCTGCGGAACTCCTGGATATGTTGCTCCGGAAGTTCTAAAGAAAGAACCATATGATTAGAAAGTTGATATCTATGGCATAGGACTCATTCTGTACATCTTACTAACAGGATGCAATCCATTTTAGTCATTTATAAAGGAGGAAACCTTTGAATTGAACATGATAGGACATGTGAATGTAGATAAAGTGAATTGTTCAGAACTCGGCAAAGATTTACTGAGACACATGTTGCAAGTATCCCCCAATCAAAGACCAACTGCAAAACAAGCCCTTAGACATCAATATTTTAGAAACTAATCCACATAAGATACGTTTCCCAAGTAAAGTATAGTTATAACCAAAAATAAAATTGATTCTATTCATAGTTAACAAATCTCTCCAATTTCATAAAATCTCAATTTTGACAAATATAAAGCTCCTCCAAGTAAGAATAATTTAATATAAAAGTTAAATCTTAATACTTAAGATAAGGCACCCCAAAAATAGATATTCATTAAAATAATTATACAAACTAAATGAATAAATTTAGAAAGGTATCATGAATCATAGTAATGATTATCTAATATATAATTACACTTTATAGATATATTTTGATTCAAATTAAATATACTTAGTTTATATTTTGATGAATTTTCATTAAGTTTCTGAATTTTACAAAGATTAAAAGTGTATAAAGATATTAATAATTTTATTATGTTACAGTAAAAAAGCTTAGAAAAACTGATCAATAAAAGTATTCTTATTCTAATAGGTAATTGTAAGAAAAATAATAAAAAAAATTTGAAGAACAATAAAATTACACTATTTAAGAGGATATGCATTTTCAACTAGGTATATTCATACTTAAATTGCAATTATAGGAGGAGGGACAGCTGGATTAAATGTGGCAGCCCAATTGATAACAGATGGACATGCAATTCCTTCGTAAATTAGGATATTTGAAACTATGAAAATGCACACGTATTAACCAGGATGTACAATGGTTGGTATACTATAAACATTAAAAAAAGGCGGTGGTGTATGACATCAACAAAACTCTCAACCGATGGAAAAGGTTTTACCAAAAAATGTGATTGTTTCGGATAGTACCATAAAAGATAGTCTATTTGTCTCATGATAGACTTAGAAAAAGAGGGATTAAATCTGATATTCATTTCTATAAAACTTCTGCTCTAATTTTTGGCGTACCGATGTATGCTGAAATATTGGCTGATGTGTGTTAGAGGAACTTGGAAATAGGGATTAGAACCTATTCCTGAATATCAAAGTAAAGGTTGGATTAACTTGTTAGGTTACACTTCTTGTCTTATTTTTACAATTCAAAGTACTTTGTTGTTGGCTGAATTCAAATACAATTCTGAGTTAGATGAAACATTCCTAATATTTCAGTCAAATGAAAGTCGATTGATGTTTTATTTAAATAAGGATTTCTTCCCCATTTGCTTATTGGTATTTCATGGTTAAAGGATTGTGGGGAGGAAGGGATGGATTTCCTTTTTTTAAAGGAGCTCGACTTTGAAATTTAATCTAATTATTAATTTACAATATTATCTAAATGTCTATGATATCTCAAAGTGTCCAGCTCTAAAAAAACAGACCCAAGGAATTAGACATGTCTTCACTTTATAGCGAAGAAAATAAATCTTCTCATATCATCAATCACGTAATTCACCATTATACTCAGTTAGAGAATACATCAAAGATCATTTCACCACTTTATTCTATGTCAAATTCACTGTTCAAAGAACCTACCAAGTATGAATGTCCGAATCATTAATAAATGAAAGCAATGACGTTGTCAAAATTCCTATACGGACATCCTCCTAAGTTGGATAATATTATGAATATCTATGGATTTGAACCAAAACTATAATTGGAAATGGTCAAACCAGTTATCGATACAAACATTATATAAACTATTTAAACAATATCCGAAGAAGATCTGTAAACGATAAATTTAGATTAAATTAATATACAGCTCACTTAAATTGAATAAACCCTGTAATAAACTGATTTTCATCAAGTATTAGCGACTTTAACTAATATTTTTGAAAAATTGTCCGAGTCCATTAATTACAATTTAGAAAACGAATTGCCTTATCAAAAACATATTGTTTATTAACTTAGAGTCTCTGTGTTGTTATCCAAAATCTACAAATGCATGGGAGATTACAAGAATTCCATAATGTGGTTATTGAAAATTCGATAAAACTACAGAGTGTTTGATCCTAGCTTAGCAGGTAAGTTGATGCTCGAGTTATCTAAATTATACTTCCTCAATTTACAAATCAGGGAATCTTAAGGAATCCTGCATGAAGCATTATTGCACTTTGAAAAAATCGAATGGAAGGCTGACATTGCAAAAACTTTACTTCTGTAAGCTCGTATTTGTGCTTGGATGAGTATTAATAATTTCAGTATTCCTAGACAACGTTGATATGGCCACAAAGTTAGTTTATGGGGCAATTTCACTACTAAGAGAAGCCTATATCAATGATGAAACCAAATTAGACTAGGCCTACTTTATCTTGGCGGAATGTCATTATGTATCTAAAAAGTATGATACAGCCAAAGAATTCTTAGTTAAAGTTATATAATTGAATTTGTAAACTGGAAAATAAGAGGATCACATTACATTCCTTGAAATCTATAATTTATTAGGACTAATTCATGCTTAGATTTTTGATCTAAAAACTTCTTACTTCTACTTTTGTTAAGCTTATAAATGCATCAAGTATAAATTGTATTCAAAATTAAATTTAGTTCCAATAACATATAAAAAGGATAGATTTTAAACAATATCTCTCTAATATAAAAGTTCCTTGGTTAGTTAGAACTAGCTGACAGATGCTAAAAGGCAGCAACAGAAATTTATGCTTAATTTTTATAGGAAAATCATTAAATTTTCAAAAGATTATTGCTTAATTCAATTATTGAGTCTTAACAATGACAATAATTATTTATTTATTTTTCTAACTTAGTTATTAACAACAAGAGAATTTTCTATTGATAATATATAACTCAGATTTTTAGAATGAATCAATATGTTAAGAAATGCATGAACTTCTCTTTGTTTTCGAATGTTGTAGTTGTTGGTCTACCTAAATCCTTTCTGACTCCTGGTTTGATCAAGACTTCCATAAGAATGGGACCATCATTTCGATTTAACTATAGAAAATATATAATAATTAATATTACTCTCTCCATTCCCTTGGAAATTTCTTCTTTAGTTTACACTTGGAAGGCATCTCTATATCCACATCCTAAAGCGATTTGTGTAAAATTCACTGAAGGATTACTTGTGGGTTAAGCACCAACAGAATCATGAGCTTGATTATTGAACAAGATATGTTTATAATTAGTTGGACCAATACTACCAATTTAAGCCAATGCACCCATATGCATCATCATGGCTCCATCACCATCTAAACAATACACTTGTCTACTCTTCTTGACTTATGCAATTCCAAGAGCAATACTCGATGCATGTCCCATTGATCCGACTGTTAGGAAATCCTACTCCCCAGTTTAATTGAGACGTTGTCTTAATTCAAAGAGTTCTCTACTTAAAAACCCTGTGGTACTTACACAAACATCCAAAGGACGAGTATTTTAGATAACTTCAGTTAAAGCTTCTTCTCTAGTTAACTGATAATTATTTTTAGCCACATTCTGTAATTTGTAATTAGTGAAGCATTACCTTTTAACAAGTAAAGCATAAGGTCCATTTCTATGATATAAATATAGAATTACCTAGTTTTCATAGAATAGAAGGCTGTATCAAGAACCTCTGCAGCGCCTTCGATATAATCTGGTAATACATCATATTGCATTCCCATTTCAGTAAGAATGCCATTCATTCTCTTGCCTTAGACTAAATGTTATGGCTCATCCTTTTTCCCTGGCTCTCCTCTCCATCCAATTAAATACAGCATAGGAATTCCATAGACTTTGGGATGAGCTAATGACATGTAAGGATTGACGATATTGCCCAACCCACTGTTTTATAAATACACACAAGGAATCTTTTTAGTTGCCAAATAATATCCAGCAGCCATGGAGACAGCAGTACCTTCATTTACAGTAATTACGTGTTGTCCTGGAGGAGCATTGTCCTTATAAATAGTTGGGAGTCATACTTAGACATAAGCACAGAAGTCTTTTAATAAAGAATCAGGAACTCCTGCATAAAATGAAACTCCATGTTTTGACAATTCTTAGTAAAATTCAGCAGGTTCAAGGAAATCTCTTTGCAATTCAAGATAAGGGGGTTCAACTGGCTCCCTAGATTTAGCATTAAAAAATCGCCTTGTAAGTTAGCGGCAAAACATATTTTGTAATAATATTTTAATCAAATAAATCTAGTAAATGTTCTGGTGAATCTTCTATCCTTCTTAAAATGCTGGATAATGTATTCTGCATTGTATTTTGGATAGTAGTTCTTGAAAGAACATTTTGTGTCTATTTCGACGAGAGCTTGCTTCTTCTTTTGTTCTAATCTATTGACAATTTCATTAACGATGTCGAATTCATGATTGATATCTTATTCACTGATTTGACTTTGAGTATCATGCATGAATTCAACACTAAATGATTTACTGAGTTGATCAATTTCTTCCTAATCATAAGCTATGGACAATTCCTATTTCACCTATTACTACGCTTTTTAAATCTTTCTCAAATTTAAATTGTCTTAGCGCACACTATTTCTTTTAAATGGTTGTCTCTCCTATTGATTATTCATAATTCGACTGATTAAGAATATCTTATTAGGATAATAATGTGACTTTGGACAATCGTTAGCTAAGTGGCTACTTGACTAACAACAAAAGCAACTGAGATTGATCAAATTATACTATCCAAATAAGATTTAATCTCTGAGTTAACAAAAGTATTGAAAATCAAGTGGAAATTACTATAATAACTAAATAAATTCCAATCTTTTTAGCTTATACAACTAAGAAATAGTTGTACTCTTAGCTGATAAACTTCTTGAATTCCCTGTTAAGAATCCCAATTCTCCAAACATTGAATCTTACTCTGCTTCATAGAAAACCATGTCCTAGTCTTCGAATTATAGATACAATTGGATATGTCCGATGCTCACGCAATAAAGGCAATCATCATCATTATTCCCATTTAAACTGCACAGATTTTATTTAAATACCATTTCCCCATCGCAATACATTTATTCACTTATGAGATACGCGATTTTCTTTTGAAAGCTTTTATATAATAATTCAAATTAATACTCTAAAGAAAATTAACTAGTCCAAAAGGCTCTTTTGAAAATCAAACCATAAGATTGCATTATTACTTCGTCCTTTAATTGAGGTCCCAATTGATTAATTATTGATATCTGCTCATTGAAATCTCTCACTTTCTCACTAAACATAAAGCTAAAGAATCTCCTTACTTTCTGTTGTGTTTCCATATCAATCTATCTCTATAAGAATCATATTACATTTTTATCCTTCATAAATCTATTAATGTCAGTCATCTTTTTGTCAAATTGCATGTTGTGATGAGTGATTTCTGAAAAGACATTCTAAAATGCACTTACAATCATTGCGAATATGACACATGCAAAAATCATTGTTATTATTGAAACAAATATTTCCAATGGGTTCTTCCCTGTTACATCGCCATAACCAACGGTTAACATGGTTGTTAAAGCCCAATAAAATGAATATTCATATTTCACTGCTATTGGTAATGAATATATATCATTTTATAATCCAGATGAAATAAGCCAAGATCCATAATCTTGTCTTTAATTAACCCAATAATCTCCTGCTGCATAAAACAAACAAGCAAACAAGTTGACTAAAAAAAAGATTGTCAATATTAATTTCAGTATCTAATAAAATGCTCTGAGCTTTCTTTGCACTTATAATAATTATTCAACCTACGAATCCACCAATGTGACATAGTAATATTTGAAGTAAAAGAAATAAGGTATCCAAATTAGAAAGGCATAATGATCTCGAAATGATACTTATAAAACTAATGATACAATTGCTATTATATCGAACAGGAATTCTTAAGTAACATACCGTACAAATATACTGTGCTTGTCTAATACCATCTATCCTTTGTCGTAGTATCCTGTATTTAGAGTAATGAAGATATCGAAAATCAAAAAAAATATCATGATGTACAAAAATACAGCGATGTTCTCAATGCGTAAATTGTCTGAGATGATCTAATAACTAAATTAACAATTTACTTCATATCCAAAAAACATAAAGACAGGTATCAAGTAAAAATAAATTATCACTATGAAACAAATAAATAAACGCCAAGAAAATATTGCCCAATGATCAGGATTAAAAGAGGGGAATGTGTTTAAATAAGCTTCAATCCCATTTGTATAACGTAAGAATTTCCTTGTTGTAATTGGGACATCTTCAAGTTATTACACATTTTCATCCTATTGAGAGTAGTTAAAAGTTTGCATTTGTACATTCTTACTTATTCTTCTGGTTTCAGGTTATTTTTTAGTCAGTAAGGGTTGTTCCAATGATATGAACATAAAATAAATAATTAAAATTATATGCATTCCCATTATTATCATTCATTATCAATGAATAATATACAACTAGATAAAATATATCAACAAAAGTATTTTCCTAAAAGCGTATGTAAGGAATCTAATGAAATTGGTTTGGATACTATTTCATGCATTCCACTCTCATGGGCTTTTTCGGCATTCTCTTATCCATTATAAGCTGAACACATTACGATAACGGTATTTTATCTTTCTTTACGAAGAATTTCAGAGATCTCTAATTAATTTATGCATCTATACTTCACTACTAACCACAAATCCATTCTTTCCTGGCATTTCAATATCCATAAAAATCAACCTATAGACCCTACAACAAGTATTTTGTAATTTTTGCTTTACCTTTCGAATTGCAGAATCACCGTCATATGCGCTTTCCGCTTTCCATTCATAAACTTATAATAGAGCAAGCAATGCTATATGGTTAAAAGGTACATCATCTACTATCAAAATTTGAGGACATTTGCATTATTAATTTAAGAAATTCTTAGATGAGACATAGACTCTCTATACTGAATCCTTAGAATTAGATTTAATCTCCTCAATATCCTGTAATGAATGTCCAACCTCTTAAAATCCTGTTTTTATCTATTAATCTATAGAGAAACTCACTACGGTATAGAATCCCTTCTAACTCTTAATTTACAATTCCCCATCTCCACTTAAAAATTTAACAATCCCTCGAGAAACTCTAAGACCTAATCCTAATTTATTCGAGCCATTTTATTATAACAGTTGATTTTGCATGTTTAACATCTAATCGCTGCTGATCCCTTCTCCATTGTCCCAAACTGAAAACACATATTGATTATCCCTTTTTTTCACTGAAAGTACTATCCTACCACCTTATTTTGTAAATTTGACAGAATTATTTAATAAATTAACTAGAATTTATGTTATTCTTAATTTATCACTGCAAATTCTTAGAGTGTTATTAAAATTTAAGATCAATTCAATCTACTTTTATTGACACTCTGATTAAAATAGTTCTTTTAAATCATTAAATATCTCACTAACATAAAAGTTATCTGAATTTAATTTGAAATCTTGACATTCTATCTATGCATAATCTAAAATATCATTTATTTATAATAATAATCTTTTGCTTTACGTAATAGCAGGCAATAATAAAGTGTAATTGAGATGTTCATCAATCTTTTTGCTTAAAACTTATAATAATGGGAGAGAACAATTTAATGGAGTTCTTAATTCATGGCTAAATGAATTTAGTAAAGCCTATTAAAATTTGTACCGAAAAGTAATTTCTTTGAGTTCTTCTTTGTTTGTAATGTTTTCTACAACAAACAAATATACTGGATCTTTGGATTTTGCCTAAATTTTAACTTCATAGGCTTTAATTTAATAGTGCTTTTTCTTGGATTTAATGTCTTAGACTACATGGAACTAAAACATATGGGTAGCTTCAGATGCTCTAGATTGACTATCTTATCCGTTGCTCATTTATCTATGAACATTTTATTAGAATTCATTCATAACGAATTACACATATTAATATGTAACTTCATCGTGAATACTGGACTGGAAGGATCCCTTATTCTTCATATTTACTTTCAAACGATCAGATAGCCAATTAGTTTAATTTAAGGTTCTTCCTGAGCCAACTTAACATTAGTTTGCGGAACTCTATTTGAGTTTTCGAAGTGGAACTATGGGTGGTTTATGTTTGGCATTGAGATGGGTTTTAAAAGAGTTGAGTTCGGCACTATATACGAATGAGATTAAGATTTACTTGGATAGCAATTAATCTAAGGAATTCACAATTTAATCAGTTGATGTCGCCATTAAGTAATTTAATAGCTTTTCATTGTGATGTAGGACATGATAATTTTTATCTATTAGTGCCAGTCCATAAGGTAGACAGTTTAGAAGATCTTCATCCAAGGTTACATTAACATTTTTTTCTGGGTGGGGTGATTTTTCTTCTAATAAATCTTATTGAAATTGATCTCCGTAACTCAGATGAGCATGAGGATTGGCCATTTTTTATGAGGGAGTGTTGGGAATCATTGAGGTGTTTTCTTGTGATGATTTATCTAAATATAAGAATGCGTGGTTGAGTGGTTACCAGAGAACGAGTAAGATGAATTCAAATGTGGCAAATTGATAGTAAAATTAAATGGTCATTCTAACAAATAAGTATAAGGAGAGCAGATGAGTCAAAATTTAATAACATTTATTGTTATTTTTCAATATGTTCTCAATTGCAAGCAAATAAATGAGTAGGAAATAGGTGTTTATGCTATGTACATTGTAAAATATTATTTCCAATTAAAAAATGATATGAAATTGGACGACTGAGTTAATAATGTCCTCCCTCTATCTTGAATAAACGAGACAGAAAATTACTAAATTCAATATTATTCCAATTGCATTCACAATCAAAATTATCATATCCTTACTCTCTTGATTTCCAGCTTAAATCAAACTTATTAAATTTTATAACATCAATTAAGTCAGCAATAGCTTGGTTTTTAATTGCATTAATATATATATAATTTGGAAAAGAAATTAATTATTTAAATTGAAAGGATTACGAGAACAATGTTAATTTCTAAATCTTATCTAATCCTTTGTTGATCGTCGTTAAAGAAAATTCAAAAAAAAACTATTATTTTTAATTTTATTTCAAATGAAAAATAATTACTCGAATCTGTTAGAAGAAAATGCATAATTAAAACAGAACATAGTAGAATTGGAAATGACACTCTAAGAATTGGTTCGCCAAGATTCTCTTATCGAGAAATGGACTGTAATGAAAAATTTTGTGCTTGTATCTACAGAAGTCGAACGATTGTCTTTGGCCTATGTTGCATTAGAAAAGCAATATTAGCAATTATAGAATTCCAAAGACGCTAATCAAAATGAATCTAGAATTAAGATGCTTATAACATAATTGGAAGAGTTGAATTCCATCATGATTTCTCAATAGAAAAGAATAGATGAATTGAATAACAACAATTATTTATAATAATAGTTGGTTGATGAGACTAATTAAAAAATAGAAGTGATTCTAGAAATGAATAAGCAATTAAAAAATAACGAATAGAATCTACAATAAGAAAAATAGAATCTATAGAATTAATTATAGGAATCCAATAATGAATTGAACAATGTCATGCATACATTAAAGGAATGCGAAGACATGTTCAAAAGTACATTAAACAAATAAGAAACAGTAATCGAAAATTTATCCTCATAAAATAGCTTGTTGAATAATGAAGTACTTAAGAAAGATAAGTCCATTGAATAATTAATGAAGAAAAATAAAGAGTTGATACAAGATGTAGAAAGAATAGATAAAAAATATGTAGAACAATCAATTTAAATGAAGAAAGTTTCTAAAATGTTTGAATCCCTAGAATAAGAATACAAAAACTATCAGCAATAACAATAAGGTAATCAATCAGAAGTATTAATAATTCAATATCTTAGTTTTATACTCTAACCAAAAGATTGGAGCACAAAAACCAAATACTAGTTGAAATCGAGGGCAGATTTGATAAATTAAGTATAGTCGCTAAAACTTAAGAAAATCAACTCAAAGACAATGAACTCAAAATTAAATAGTTTAGATAATAAATTATGGATTAACAAATGCTCATTGATGAATTGAAAAATGCCAATAAAACAACTAAACATGATGATGAAAATGAAATACGAGAACTTAATTTATAAGTCAAGAGACTATAAGAAAAATTAAATGAAGCAAGACATGAATTAGAAAAAGAAAGTACTTAGAAGAATAAGCTTTAATAATAGAATGAATTCAAAGATAAAGAGATTGATAAATAAAATAGTTAAATAGAGTAATTAAAAAATGACCAAAAATCACTATAAAAGGCAGTCTAAGATTTACATCAGACTCTAAACATATAAAAGGAATTATACTCGAAGTCTTAAGCCGAATAGAATAATTTAAAAGAATAACTGCATGTTTTGTAGGAAAATAATTAGACCCTCGATTTGCTGAACATAGAAGATTAGTGCTTATCTTTAAAGAATGAATGCTAACAATTAAGAAATGAAGCTTAATATTACAAATATCAAAATTATTAATATGTATCATAGATAGAAGAATTGAGACAAACAAAGACCTATTTAAGTAATTTGTTGATGGATAGAAAGTATTATTGAAATTTATTACTATTAATTTATGAATAAATTTGTATAGTATTAGATCTATTAAAAGAAAAATATTTGATTTCCCTCATTTTGATATTCTTCAACTATTTAATCTCTATCTTATATTATCAACGATTCATAAAACAACGTTCAGTTGATAATATCAAATTATACTTTATTTGATCAAAAGCTTTGTAAACAAAATGTGATTAATACAATAAATCAGGATCAAATATTAATGAAACAGGACGAAAATCTTTGTAAAACTATATTTTGAATTTTAAATGTATTTATTAGGTATTTTATTGTATCTATAATTATTATGTATATTTAATTTAAATCACGCAAGATTAGCTAAATTTCTTTTTGAAAATATTTAAGTTGACCTTCGTATTTTTTGAACATTTTCATGTCATCAAAAAAGTGTTGACTTAGGATATATACAAAGATAGATACAATAAAAATAATTATAGCTTATGTATCAAGCAATATTTAATTACTCATTCTTGATTAATTTAGTAGTACTGATCAAATAAGTAAATAAAATGATCAAACAATTTAAATGATAAATTATAAATTCGCTTATGTTATAATATTATTGTTATATAAATCTTATCAATATTATGCTTAGGGTAGTTCTTCTAATAGTCAGCTTTACTAGAGTTTGACTTTTTATTATAATGATTTTTCTATTTATACTCATTTTTTTTAATCATATTTTTAGTATTCTCTTCCTTCCCTTCCCTTTGAATATTGAACATTTAAGTTCTATTTTAGGCTTCTTCTCAATGGCTCTTTATTCATTTGATAGGCTGTTTTCAACTCCTTATCATAAGCCTAATTGAAATCTACTTTAGTCTTAATTAATCTCTTTGCTTACTCTTCAAGAATCTTCATTTCTTTTAAATTAACTGATTTTATTCCTCCTTAAACAATCAACTTTTCGTTTTGTATTTTTATTTCTCTTTCCAATCCTGAATTAATGTATCTAAAGAATTACCATCTTATTGAGATTTCCAAGCTTTCATTTAGATCATAGCTTTATTGGCATTCATATACTATTATGTGAGTTTAGTTTTTCTTACTTCAGCTGCAATTCTCTATTTTTCTGCGCTTTTAATTTATTTCTTTTAACTGATCTATTTAGGCTTCAATTAATTGTTCTTCTTTAATCTTCTTCTTTCCATTCTTTTAATTCTCCAGAATCTCAAAGATTAACTTCTAAATTCTTAACTTCTAAATTCTTATATTCTTTCTTTTTCAATTTCCTACTTCTTGTTTTGTAGCATTTCTTTTCTTAAAATTGCAGTTTTTCAATTTAATTCCAGCTGCTTCCAATTCAGTTTTTACTGGCCTAGAAATACTTCATAATAAATTACAATTCTTATTGGTATGTCATCAACCTCTTTTTGACTGTTTCATAATTGGATGGTCTCTGATCTATTTTATATTCAAATTATTTGGCTTTTTATAAGTACGTTAAACTTGCTTCTTCGATTTTTCTAGGCTTTTTTTATTCTCCTCCTCAACCTATGATAGGGATCTTTTGTTTAAATAGGTTGGAACAGGTTAACCTTTGTATTATTCAGGTTTGGAGGAGGAGGGGGTTCAGGTTTCTTTTGGTTTCACTCAATTTAATGGTATTGTTGTTGTTGGTTATTTTTATAGCTGGTTGAGGTCTTTCATTCTCGTCCACCAATTCACTTTACCTGCTTGTTGCTCTTGAACATAAAGAACTTAATAAATCTTTCATCATGGGAAAGTGTTATTCAAGGATTCCAATAACAGTATCTTAAATATATTGAGGATCATATATTTCAATCCAAAGAGGTTTAATGTGTGTTTGAATTTTCTCAATATCAAATAGGAATTGAATTAGCATATTCATTTTCCCATGATCTTTTTCGTTTCCCATTTTCTAAAATACGTTGTATATTAATTCATCCAATCTAAAAATGATTAGGTATGAAAAATATTTAATAAAGTGTTCAATCCTTTCTATTCATAGGCTTGACAAGGTAGTAAAAATTGTTCTTGTTAGAATTTTAAGGAATTCCTCATCTCTTTACACTCCTGAGAATACCTGAAACTTAAATCAAATGTTTTACTTGTTTCAGAAACATTATTTCAGTATCAAATAGTTTTTACAGTTTTCTTATATGTATTATTTAAAGTGACAATCAGGTGTTAATATCACTGGATTATATGATTTTATAAGATCAATAGCTTGTAGCTATTAGTTAATAATATTTCAGAATATTCTCTTTCATCCCATATATGCATAACCTTTTTCAGTTTTGTAGGAAAATGAATTAAGAATCTTTTAAAAATTAGTAATAATGAATATTATTGCAATTCTTTCTCATAGAATATTTATAAATTTTTTGAAGTATTTCTAAAATAGCACTTCAATATTAAAATTAATGAGTGAAGAAGTCTGTTATACAGAAATCAAAAACAAGAGCAGCAGTAAGCATTTCCCTTTGATTGATCTTACAGAAATCAAACCTTAAGTCAATTTCCTTGAGAGTTTATGTAAATCTATCCTTCTTATTTAATAGTACAGAAAAAGTATCAGCTCAATAAAAAAATATAGTAGTATACATTGGGTAAGGTATATCTTGAGTCTCAGAATTAAAGAGTGATATTCAGAGTTTTTCAGGATTCTGATTTGAACATCTCTTCAATTTTTTAGAAGAAGCTTAACAGAACAACTGTGGACGATGATGTTATGACTACCAGCTCTTAAATTGCTAATGCTAATAGATAAAATAGGAAGGACATCATTTTTAGAATTTTTGAAGTAGAGAAACCTCAACGTCCTAAATAGATTCCCTTAGAAGAAATGGAACTTTCGCTCTTTGGGGTTACTTAAGAAAACAATGTATTCTTTACTCAACAACTCAAAGTACCCAATGAGAGTAAATAGTTCCTATCATAATGAATTGTATAATAATTATAAAAAATACTAAATTATTGAATGAGTAAATTCTAAGACGAGACGGGCTCCCCTCAAAATTAGACCAGGTAATACTACCAATTCTATGTAAAGACAGAGAAAAGCTCTGCAAAATCTGATCAATCAACAAAATAAATCAAAAAAAAAACAGCCATTGAGAACTCATATTCTCGTCGAGCAATTAAAACCATAGAATTGCATGGAGAAGTTGAAGCTATCCAATTTCATAAGTTCAAAAATAGAAAAGGATGGAAAAATAATTAAAAATTCTTTGCTCCAGGATATTGGTAATATTGAGTTAGAAATTCAAAAAATGACATACGAGTATAGGACTCCTGTCAATAAAACTTAAATAATAGATTCCAATAATGGCTTATTTAATTAAAAAGCAAGTGCTTCTTAAACAAATAAGACGGATGTATCGAAGTCAGATCATAATATTTTATTAATGAATAAAAATTCAATGTCAAACGATAATATATCGAAATTCACTAAAGCAAATTTACTCTCTGAGGTTTCTTACTTAAAACTAGCAGAATCCATGAGAAATTATTCAAACTAAAAAAAATCTATTGAAGTCAAAATTACTGACAAACCTAAAACTAAACCTTATAATATTCTATCAACAAAACACTAATCGGATATAAATATTAAGAGAAAACAAAATAGTGATACTTAGAATTGTATAAAGTAAATTTATTAATTATATATTTTAGAACTTAAAATCCCTAAGTCAACAGGTTATCTTAAAATATTTGTTCTGAAAGATATAAGACAATTTAGATTAAATCAATCTTAAAGTAGACTTCGTTTCATACATAGGATTTTAATTTTCTTCAAACTAATTTGCCTGCTGACGTAATTTAAATTATTAAACAAAGGTTTCAAAGCAATAAGATAATGATCAACATAAAATTTAGGATAACCTTAAGGATGATAATAAATTAGATAAGGCACTTAAAATTTACAATACTTTGAAGCAACTAGTTTATAAAGGTTCTTCATTGTAGTCCTAGGCGAAAGAATAAAAGGAACCTAAAAATCGATTGGCTTAATGAATTTTACCTAAACTTCATAATATTTCAGTTTGAAAAATCTGTATTAAATAATTGTAAATATTTATAATGATCCTTATATAATAATTTATTTATAATTTATCGTCCTTAATTATGAGCTTTGAACGTTATCATCCCTCTAAGTCAAATTTTGAACCTGATAACAATCATTGCAATCACAATGGGAGCAATCATGTGCGTTTGAAATATGCTCCCATAAAAATTATTTATAACAAAGTAGGAGATTGCGAGGAGGAAAGAAAATATCCTGCCTTAAATTTGCGTTTCTAACTAGTTGATGAAATCACAGTAAAATTATTAAATAAATTAGAATCGTTAAGACCCTACTGTAACTATTCCTCTAAGTTTTCTATAATAATTAATTCAATAAGCCTATTCAAATAAATAATTGAGAACAATCAACAATCCATCGATTCGTATTGAAGAAAATAGGAACGACGCAGTGGAAGAGTTAATAAAATAAATTGAAATCTAATAAAAGGGAATTTATCCAATTGATGGTATTATAATATTATTATATTTTATAACAGAGGAAAAAAAAGTTTAGAACTTACTTTTAGAAAATCATATGAATTTTATGCTTGAGAATGATGAAGCAAAAGAAATGATTGATAATTTCTTTTAAGATAACTTAAACTTAAAACCACATTTTTGGACTTGGCTAAAATAATTAGAAATTAAAACCATTCAAGACATGTATATTCTTTGTCACTTTGATCCAAAGGGTTAATAATGTCAGGATATGTTCAAATTTTTATTCTAAAAACTCTCTCTAGAATTTTATTCAAAACATGCTTACGCTTAAATATTGCGAAGTGATCTATCAGAGAAATTAAAATATTTATCCTAAATTGGAGAAATTTTTAATAAAATTGCTAAGCCATAAGAGTTTTATTATTTTAAATCAAGATGATATGAAACTGAGCTTAAATTGTTTTTCTGTATATTAGTTAATAAAATAATATCAAAATACATATCCAATTCCTTAAACAGACAACAGATATTATTCTTTGCTATCAGTTTCTCTTAATTCTATTTTGCATTCAGGTAAGAATAATCCAATCACATATATAAGAGAATAGGTGTGTAATGATGGTTTTCCAATCAAAATTTCAGATTTTCCTTCTGCTAAGGCCATCAATAATATGAGCTAATCTTAGTGATGCTCATCAAAAGAACTTTAATTTTAGAAGTACTATTTTGCCTGGTTAATTACCTGATGAACAGTTTCGTCTATACTTTTATCCTGGTCATTAATAACAGTAAAATCATAGGAATTTTTAGAGGAATGACAGAGTAGAGATACTCCATAACATTTTTTGAATTTCTTTGAATTAACAACCTTGACATTGCTTTTAATAGGCAAAACATTATTTTCAGAGTGCTCCTTTAAATTATTGACAATCTAATTATCAAATTGCATGATTGCGGAAACAGAAGGAATAAGATAAGTGCATGTTAATTAATTAATCTTTGAATACTGGGTGTTCACGTAATTTTTGAGTTTTTAATTGATTGGTTAAATGAGAGCCCTCACTTCACCTCCGCCTTAAGGGTAATACCCATCTTTAATAACCTCTAAATTTATTTGAATTCCCATTTCTTAAATAAGTTTTAAAAAAATATTAGTCCAAGCAAACACAGTTGGACTATGATTTAAGTATGTACCTCCTTAGATTGATAATTGAATTGGTTTCTATGTATTGAGGGATATTGGTAATAGGGATTGCAATATTAATGTAATACTTTGGGCTGTGGTTGCTTTACAAAAAAGGTTTTGGGGTACAAATTTCTCTAAGGGTTTAAATGTCATTTATTTTGACCCTAATTCAACACCCTGAAGTTCTGATTTAACAAAGCTGGAAATCAATTGAATTTGACTTAAGAGCTAATTGTTAATCCCTGGATTAGGTCGATTTGATCTTATATTTATTATTTGAAATTCCTTTTAGAAGATGACAGATAAGGCTAAAGCTGATCTTAGCATCTATCCTCCACCTTCATATTGTGATCCATCTATGGTTGTAATATTATTTTAAATCATTTGTAATAATTCTTCAATAAATTAAATTTATGATTAAAAAATTATAAGATTTTTCTTATTTAATATGTAATAATAACTCAGTATGTAAATGTAATCTTTTGGAAATCATTTTATATATATATTTAACAATGGACTCTAAATTTGATGGTAGTTAAGCCAAAAAAAAATATTCCGTAATAACACCTGCTGTTAGGATAGCATTTATACAAAGAGTTTAATCAAAATAGTCCACTATCAAGTAAGCAGCTCAAGAATTCGGAATTAAGTTTAGCACATCTAAAGCTATTTTACAAACCTACAAGAGGGAAGGAAGAGTTGGTAAGAAAAAGACTAGGTCTCGACGTAGTACTTTTAAAGTTGATTCCAAAAAGGAGGGGAAGTTCTAACAACGAAAAAGTGACCCCGTAGACCATCCATCTCCATAACATCCTTTACCTACCAATCAAACACAGATGATCCTCCCATAGGAACAAGCTTAATAATTTCAAATATTTTAATTAGGTCCATAAATGAACCCATACATACCTCTACAATAGTAAAAATTTAAATCAAATACATTAGAAACTTATACTTATAGTAAAATCTTTTACAAATTCCAAATCCGTAACTGATGTATTATTATTGGTAACTTAATAGCCTGAGATAACAGGCTCTATCATAATAATACGGAAAGATACTGGATTCTAGATTATTGATAACCCCTATTCAATCTAGTAAATGGTTAGATGCAAAATTTAATGATATTGGAACAACTTTGAAGGACTTTAATTGAATTATGAAAATTATGTATTATCAATTAACACTTATTATTCAATTCTAATTTTTGCTTTTATTTAATTCATTAATAATTTATTTTAGATTGAGAAGTGATTCATAAAAATTTCTGAATCCTTAGGAATTGTGACCTAAATTACAGTTGCTGTAAACAGTTTTCATGATTTTATGATGGTTGAAAGCGAGTATTTCTTTAAGAAATTACAGGTTAAGATCGAAAACAAGGAAACAACGTAACAACAAATTTTAAAAGAAAAATTTTTAATTTATGAACTTTTTAATATATGATATTATCCATTTTGTATTTAATTAGAAGTAATATATTAATGAGTGATCAAATGTGAGAAAAATTGTTGGCAAATTAGGCCACTTAAGAAAAAGAGATTTCTATAGAATACAGAGAATAATTCATAATTAAATCCATAGAAGTTTAAGGCTCTTTACTCTAAATGGTTTCTCTATGAAGATAAAGGTCATTTAGATATTTAAATTTTTCTTTACTCTTGAATTATTTTTAACCACTTTTATTTTTATTATAATAATTAATAATATCAGAATTAAGAAGCTATGGTTTTATTGTTTAAATTAACTTCTTAGATGGTGTATAATTTCAAAATATCAACCATTGACCTTTTGCTCTAAATGAGGCTCGTTTTTTGTTTTAAATAATTATTATTAAATTAGTGTCGTTATTTAATTAAATATGAAACACAATTTCTATAATCAAATATACTAAAGTAAAACTTCTATGAATCATTATGATTTATAATCAATTGAAAATAATAAGGAGAATACATTAGCTAACAAAATAATATCAAGTATTGAAAGTAAGATTTCATTCGTAAGCAAATTAAAAACAAACTCGTTTGAAAATCATAAAAAAATGAGTTAAGACACTTTGAACGATAAAGATAAAAATAAAGCATTAAATAATCCAAAATTGTAGGCGAATTCATAGACGATGATAAAAAAACCATTATGCAAAATTAACAATATTTTGGCAATTTACACAGAGGATAAATAAGAAGAATAACCTAAAAAAACAATCAAAAGCAATTTAGATCTAAATTAATTGTGTAATCAGGATATATAGATTGGAAATTTTAGATTGGAATCATTTTTGGGCTAAGGTTCCTATGCAACTGTAAGATTATGTATTGAAAAAAATAGCAAAGTCAAATATGCAATTAAAATATATGATAAAAGTAAAATTAATGACAATCAAAAAATGAACAATATTAAAAGAGAAATTTCAATATTAAAAAGAATCAATCACAGCAATATCATTAAATTGATTTATGCAATTGAAGATAGAAAATCAGTATGAAATAATATATCATAGATTAATTTATTGATGGAGTACATTTCTAATTAGTCATTAGCTGTTTATGTTAAATCCAAATCCAAAAGGCTGCTGCCAACTCAAGAAGGTTTATATATATTTCAATAATTGGCCAATGCAATTAAATATTTACATAGCAAAAATATTGCACATCGAGACATTAAAATGGAAAACATACTTCTATTGACAGATAATTATGTGAAATTAATTGATTTTGGATTTTCCATTTGCATTTAAGATAATTAAAAAGTCAATGTTTTTTGTGGAACTCCAAGCTACATGTCACCTGAATTAGTTTCAAAAGTATGAATAAGAATAATTTAGATACCTCACAATCCTTTATGCTCAGACATTTGGTCTTTAGGAATATTGTTATATAGAATGCTTTTGGGGGAATATCCTTTTAAAGGACAAAATGATAAAGAGTTATATAAAGCCATTCAATAGAATAAAGTTAAGCTACCAAACGACATGAATTAAAATATTATTAGTTTAATTTAGGGTTGTTTAGAGAAAAACGTTAATTAAAGATTTACGATAGAATAAATATTAAGCAGTCCTTTATTTTAATAAACTGTGAATATATATGCATTATCTTGATATAAGTAATTGTCAATCAACTCTAAGTTTGATATTATACTTGCGAAGTTGTGAAGAATTCATTTTTATGGAGAATCTATTTATAATAAATGAGTATTTACTTCATAATACTTTTGTTTAATATTTCTCCTCAAATCAGGCAGAGTTGATTTAAAAAAGTAGATATTTTTTTATCTTTGTTGTCTTTCTCTAAGAGAATGAAGTTTTTCATTAAACTTCTCGTCTTATTGTTTATTGTTGGATACTTTTATTGGTTGAGGCGGAAAATTAATTTCTGGCTTATATGAGAATTAGGAATCAATTTCTTGTATTTTTTCCAATTCTTTTTTTAAATTAGCATCATAAAATTATTATTTCTTTTTCAAGAAATTCTCCTATTCACTTAAGAAATGGTCAAATTATTCTGCAGTACTATTGTATTCTTTGATATGCATTAATTATACTTTTTTTAAATTCTAATTCCTTTTAAAATGATTTCTCTTTCTCATCAATCTTTTATTTTAATTTAGCATTCTTTAATTTTATTTCGTATTCATATCTGAGGTGAATAGGCATAGTTGTGTAATCAGATTTGCTTCTGATTTCTCTATTCAAAGTGCCTGTAGTGTCTGATTGTACTTCATTACTAAACTTACACTAGATTGTCTTATCATTAATATTATCTGGTTAATCCTCTATTTCCTCGTCAACTTCAATCATAATTTTGACTCCTCTCTTTAATTTGTCTAGTTTTTGCAGAGGCGGGTAATCGCTAGATCTCTATGTGAATTAATCTTTAAATTTGATAAAGTTATTTAGTTCTTGATGATGTTTCATCCCTGATTCAAAAATTTTAAGAGTTTCTTTTGACAATTTAGGTTTTTCCCAAATATTTTTCTCTTATTCATGTTAATATTTTTATTGCTTCTCTTTAATTTCACATTACCTTCTTTTTCCCCATTTGAGTAATCTGTCAATCGCTTCTTTTTATTCAGTTTCTGATTATTTTTGTTTCTTTTCAATAGTAAAGTGGGACACAGTACTAATTAAATCCTTTTAATTATAGTGATATTTCTATAGCGGAGATGTACTAGAAGTAAGACTTTTGAATTTCTAAAATACTATAGATTATTATTTATTTACATTATGATGAAGAATTCTTTGTGTAAGGGGATGTTGATGTCTATGTTGGACATTTTTTATGTAATGGGACTTAAATATAATCAGTTGTTACTCTAACTTGTTTTTGTTTCATCTGATTCTTCTTTGATGATATCATTATTCAAAGGATTGGATTTCTTTTGCTTGAAGTACGATTGCTAAGAATACTTCCTTAAATTCATAAAATGTAATAAAATTTATTTTTTATAAATTTAGCTACTAAGTTTGGTTTCAAGCATGATTGTTTGAATATAATTAAGTGAAACATTTAAAAGAGATTTAATTTGGTATAATTCTGTCATAAACTACTGGTATTCAAAATCATTTCTATTTATTTTTTACGTTTTCTCCATCTTCTCTAAATATACATTCCATAACCTCGGCCAACCCATCAAAATTAAAATTCAATTTAATTAGTGCATTAGGAAATAATGCAAAAGCTTATCCTTTCGCAATCAAGTATTGTTTTCCAAATTAATAAAATTGATACAAAATGTGAAATTCTTATTCTGGATTTTTAAATTCTTCCATTTCATCTTATAGTATCAGCTCCTATAATAAATCTCTTGCATTAGGTTAATCATCGACAAACTCACCGTCGAGACCTAGAGATTTAAGAAAGACATCAACATCTTCCATATTTTTAAATTACAAATGAAATTTGGAGTGTTTAAAAAGAAGAGGGAGAGTGAATTACTATATATATGTTGAGAGTATTTTATTTTATTACATTTTCTTTTATTATGCTGCCTATATTAGAAAGAGTCCTAAATTAAATACTTTTTTTGAAAGAGATGAATTAAATTTAGCCTTCAATTCAATCAAGAAACCTTCTAACAAATACTTAATAAAAATTTAATTCTTTTTCATCATTTTTTTCAATCCATTTTTTATACCTACATTAAATTCTATTTGAACTTCAAGGTCCTCTCCCAATTAATCCAGAAAAGGAGTGTATTAGGTTTCAATAAAATCTTAAACTAAAGGATGTTTAACTGTAAATTAAAGAATTACCTGCAATAATAATTATTTAAATAACATGGTCAGTATTAGTAGAAATCTCTAATTCACACTTAGAAAGAAATTCTAAGACTTATACCGACCCATCCGTCTTTGCTTTTTATAATTTCTAAATGAAGTTATTGTATAATTATTAAAATTTCTCTTTTGCTACTTCGGGTTAAAGAGTACGTATAATCATTATTAGATTAAAAAAATTACTTTAACTTAACTGGATTCCCTTCACTAATTTGTTTTCATTATTTAAAGCCTCAGCAATACCTCTACCTTTATACAAAATTTGACTATCCATTCTTAAGTGACAAGGTTGATCACCATAGTTTATAGCCCAATAGTGATGATCAAAAATTTTATCTTATTTTTCAAAGAAAGAGATTCCAAATTTGTGAATTCTGAATTCACTTTTTTAAGCAAATTCATTAGTTTCAGTTTCATAAACACTAGTTTTTCTAAATTTCCATTTTTTCCAAATTACCACCAATTCCAAAATTCATCAAATGATATCTGACCATCTTTGTTTATATCAACTACTGCCATTAACTAAAAAAACGATCAAATAGACATATACTTTATCAATCTCTTCTTAACTGATTTCTTGATTCAATTATTTAGATATTGCATGAAGCTCTTGCTTATCCACATATCCACTTCCATCTTTATCGAAGCTTTTAAAGACTTAGTGTAATTCCGTTTTGCTTTACCCAATCATAAGAAATCAAAAATTTTATTTATAAATCATTAATGCAATGTATCATTAAAACCACACTCTAATGTAGTCACCCAATTGAAGGAATTTAGACCACTATCCCTTTAGAATTATGAAATATTCTAACTCGGTCTCTCCTATAATCCATAGTTACAATAGAACCTTCTGGTAGTACTTGGATCTACAAATTTGGTCCATCCTTTTTTATTATTTAAATTGCCTATTGAACGGTTTTTCCGACACATTCAGGCCATGAAGTTTTTTCATTATTACCAATCTAGTTGTAATTTAATTTGCTTATTTTAATGCTTGGCAACTCCATATCTTTGAATCCTAACTTCAGACTGGTTTCATATATTTCTTATCCCTAATTAAAACGAACGACATCTTCATTAAGTTTTCCTACCTTGTTAAAATTATATAATTCTCCATCTTTGATTTAATCATATGGTCTAAGAGCTGCATATAAATATGTTTAACTGGCCTCATTTGGAGTTAGAATAAATGGAGCCATGATGAATTTCATCACAATCACAAGAGATCTTAAAATAACTTAGTTTTTTAAACTCTTCTCAAAGATTTCTGTATTTACAGCTCCTGGTGCCACCAGTAATACTTTGATATCCTTATCTTGTTCCTTTAATAATTATTGTAGATATAAAGAAGAAGAGACCTTGAAATATTAACTGATAGCATATCTATAATCTAAGTCTCCTTTAAATGCTTTGAGTATGTCTATCTACTCTCCAATCCAAGTGTACATATGACTAACTATATTGATTACTCTTCCTCTCTCGTTAAAATAATCAATAAGCTAATGTGTCAATAAGACCCAACCAATTTAATTGACTTTTACTATTTTTTCAATTCCACTTACATACGCTTAATCAAAATCAGCAATTCCTGCATTATTAATAAGAATATTCAAATATTTAAACTTCTTTTTAAATGACTCAACAAAAGAGATTATACTGTCTGTTTATTCTAAGTCTACGTAAATGAAGTGTAATTTATTGTTATTTGTTTCTTAGACTAATTCTTGAATAATGTTTTCAGTTACTTCCTTATCTCTACATGCAAAAATCACTGTAGCGTTCAATTTTGCAAATTCTCTTGCTGCTTCCATTCCTATTCCAGAGGATGCTCCTGTAATTACAACAATCTAATCTTCAATGTTTTCGTATGTTCTTTATTCTCCAACCATCAGAGAGTGGATTATTCTACCATATATGAGGTATAAAATTATTCCAAATAATAAAATAAATTTCTTACACTTCATTCTGAAAATAAATAAAATATTGAATTTTACACATACTTCAATAATTTCTCTTTCCTACTTAATATTTTTATTTTTTATTATTGAACAAAAAAAAATAATAAGTTTTTTATATATAAATTGAGCCATTTATTATTTAAAAACTCATACATTACATGAGATTTTATACTTAATTATATCTATAAATGATTTTTGATAATCCAAGTTCATAAAAGGTTGTAATAATATTTTATTTAAATAATTTATGTAATAATCATAATCGGGTCACACAGCCCCCATTCAATCTGCTAGTTATACGGTGACTCTCCTAAAAAAGTAATTGAAGTGTAATTGATTCTGTAAATTGTAGAATTGGAGGAAAGTAAAACAATTGAAGGAGTTTCTGTTGGGTTAGAGGGAAACAGCTTATACTCATGGAATATTAGCTTTGCAGGTCCTTCAGACACTTTATATGAAGGGGGATATTTTTAGGCTTTAATGAAATTTCCAGATGACTATCCCAATTCACCGCCAACTTTTAGATTCTTGACAGAGATGTGGCATCCTAATAGTATTTTAAATATAATATACATTAGTATATACTGATGGGAGAGTTTGCATCTCAATCTTACACGCATAAGACGAATTTAATGACTAAGAACCTCCAGAAACAAGGTATAGTTTGAAAATTAATCTTAGATGGAGACCCATTCTTACACCTGAAGATGTTTTAATTTCTATTGTTTCAATGTTGTCTGAGCCAAATATCAATTCGCCAGCAAATGTAGATGCGGGAATTCAGTTCAGAGATAAGCCTGATGAATATAAGAAAAAAGTGAGAAAATTAATAGATAAGGCATTAGAAAATTTGTGACTGCTTATATATAAAAATAAATAAGAAATTATAATTAATGTCATTTCCATTTTTTTAATAAGTTTCTCCTTAATTTCTATAAAAATTCTAAATTTTGTTTCTCTGATTCAAAATTTGAGTTATTAAGATCAATAGAATTGAGGAAGAGATCTATATTCTGATAAAAATAGAACCCCTTTTATTCAGGACATTAAATGAAATGAAATTAAGGATTTCCAAAAAAATTGCATTTCCTGCAAATCAAATCACCTAATGAATTAATCAATAGTGGACTCTAACAAAAGTGAATTTATTATTGACTAGTCTTGTGATAGCATTTACTATTTGAAGGACAGAAGACAATAAAGTTGATAACGTTAATTTCATCCGTTTAATCATTAAATTCTATTTATTTGCATTGAATCCACAATCGCTGACAATTAACTTGTAAGTTATCCCAAAACTCGACAATTTATTCATTGATTGTTAAAGTAGTAAGATGCAACCAAAATGAGAATAAAAAATCTTCATAATTTCTAAACTTATTTTTCTACCTATTTTAGGGACAGTAGAATCCATAGTCTTAAATTTATTATGAAAATTGACACTGTTGGCACATAATATATCCTTTTGAATTTATATATAATTAGCAATTGCACTGATGGATTTGTATTATAATTTAAGAAGAGCATAAACATTGAGGAGGACAAGAACACCTTAAAGGCAATGCAGTCTTCTTATCTGCATGTGCAATTGTTTTATATGTTGTACCATGATGAGTAAGAGGAGATTTCTTTTCGATATACTTTGTGCTGTTGGGACTTTGAGATCGCATTTGCTTTTACAACACTATATTTAGTATTGGCTTTTCAGAATATGTAGCTTATTAAGATTGATAGAGAAAGGAAGACTCCAAAGCCGTAGAATCTCTTTTAATTCCCAATTCCAAAGATTAATCATTTGATTTATTTATCAATTCATTTAATTCCTTGTAATGATCAGAGTATTTTCTTGATTTAGATAAGACAACTGTTGATATTTTTTTCAAAGAGGAACAACCTTATTTATTTTACTTTTTATTCTCAATTTAACTAATACTTTATAATTAGATCTCTGATAATTGGGATAATTTTTAGAGATCTTCGTTTGATTATTATTGAAAATTTGAGTATTTTTTATTTATTTCAACAACAGACATAAGTTATCTTAATAAACTGTCATTCAATTTAATAAATTCTTGGATTTCTAATTCTTTTTAATCCTAATTTTCTTTAATTATTGATTATATTAAAATAATGTTATTTTTTCTAATCTTATCTGAATCGGATATTTCCTTTTAGATCGACTCCATTTCCAATAAGATCTCATCAATTGAAGTCTGGGTTGTCTTGAGAACATTAATAAAGTTGGATAATGATTATTACAGCAGTTACAATTGTGAATCAGTCATGCTATTAGAATTGACTATTAATTATAAGTTTTCTTCAATATTTTATAATTGTTAAATTGTTAATTTAATCGAATTATGAAAATTTGGAATTTTTTGTTTATTTTATCCTGTTAAATATTCTAGAACGCTTGAATTATCTAATTTTTATCCAGAGAATATTAAGCTATCATTCAGAATAGTGTTTATAACTGAAAAATAGCTACTGTTTTTTGTTTGCTGATCTAGAAACCTAACAAAATGAATTTCCTCCTAATATAGTTAATCATAATGAGTTCTGTATTCCTATTATTTTTATAACAGTTTTGATAAGTTTGAATTCTCAGTAAGATCGTAATCTCTTTTAATTTTGGTTACTCTTTTTTCATTTTCCAATTTGGTTTTCCTCATTTCCTTTTATTTGCTCCTCAATTCCCTTTCAAAAATAGTAGAATTGATTGATAATGATTTCTAAATGGTTTCTTCTAGTTATTTGGATAGCTCAGATAACCTTTTCTATCTCTCCTGTATTTTCTAAACAAATGACTTCAATTCCTAATTGATAACATTGGATTGAAAATCAGAGTCAATTATGTCTTAGTGCGCATTTTTATTTTTTTAATTTTATGTGATAAACATTATATAAAAATAAATCATTTCCATTTTTTATTCAAATTAATAATCAATGATTATAAAAATTAATTACAATCATTTTTTTCTTATCTTATCAATTACTTGATATAGGGATCAATTGATAAAATGATTTCTTCCACACTTTAAAATGCATAAAACTATTTGTTTTCAGGACATTGGATTAAATGATATTAAATAAACATCTAGTACTGACATCTTTTACAAATCACATCTCCATAATTGGATAATTATAGTGGAGTGTTACAAGTAGAATGTATTTGAGGCATAATATTTTTGTGATTGCAATAACTTTGATTCGGACAATTGGATTGAAAGTTAACAATAATTTCGTCTTGTTTTAAGGTGGGCAACCTGGGTGAACCATTTTACCACTGTTGTTTGCAATTAATAATTAGACCAATCCAAAAATCGACAATAGATTAATTCAATGTCAAACTTATTATATATTTCCAAAAAGAATGGATAAAATCTTGAAATTATTTGAACTTATTTTTGGTCTTATTGAATTAGCAATAAAAATGGTGTTCATTGATCTAAAAGGAAATTTGACAAACCTAACACAAGATGATTCCTTTTTAGTTGATATACAATTAATTATTACAAGTATGTATTTATTCTTAGATATATTATTAACATTGACACTCAGGAGGACAAGAGCATTTTAAAGGCAATGCCGTTTATTTTTCTGGTAAAATTTAATTTCTAAAATTGGGTGATTGAGATGTTTATTTAAAAATAGTTGAAATGTTGTTCTCATCTGTTTTGATTGATCCAAGTTTTTCAACTTAAGGCTTTCTTTTGAAGTATATAGATTTCTAAATGTTATATGTAGAAGGTTCAGTTTGTATTTTCTCATTTAAAATCTTTTTGTAGGGATTCAAAATATTAATCTTTTTGATAGAAGTATTAGAAGAGGTTTTGGTATCCGGTGTTAAGGAGAGTGCTTCCAATTATTACCTAAATTATTCAATACTATTATTTAACGATTGGATTAATGAATTTGATAATGAGATTAATCTGAAAATGTTTTCTTCATAATCTTTCCTTTAAGTATTGCCTTATAACATAATTTAAGTATAAGATTTATAACTTTTGTCCATGTCGCTTTTTTATTATTCTAAGGAGCTAATTTCTGCGCATTTCCTTTCTTCTTCCTTAGTGACAGTGTTTTAGATGTTTAATCTCAAATTTTTAAGGTTTTTTTGATTAGTAAGGAAGTCTTATTGGAGATCAAATACTTCTTGTATAGAATCGTGATTAAATTGTTAGAGTTATCTGATTTGTTATTTGAGGGATGTGAGTTTTTATGATAAAATTAATTAGATTTATGAATTTTCAGATTGACTATTTAAGATTTATTGATCTGCGTTTTCTATTTTGAAAATGAGCGTATTAACATAGGAATTGAGGTGAGACATTTTTTAGTGCTGTTTAGTATGGATATTAGGAGATTTCAAAGATAGAAAGGTTTATTAATTTATGCATTCATTATCTTTGGCCAATTCAAAATCGGATAATGATTAATGAACACTTTGCAAAATTAGTGTGTAATCAGCGTCAATTGCATCTCCGACAATGAATTCTTCCAATCTGCTTTTTTCTTATGATATTTTTTCGTAATATTTTTGAAAACGTATGAATACATTTACTATTTTGTTTTTCAGTTCCATCTCTAAGTTGCTATATTCTTCATCTTGTTTGGCCTTTTGTTCCTCAGACTTTTGCTTTAGCTCTTACAACTCAATTCTCTTCTTAATGATATCATCCTCGTATTTTTAATAGCATATTCTTATGATTTTTTGGACCAGTTCATTTTATTATGATCTTGTGTCATTATATGATTTTTGTTTATCTTGTATATTGGACACAAGTTTCTTTAGATCTTCTTGATAAAGTTCTTTTTAAAAATCCAAATCTAATATCTATCTAGTATTTGGTGATTATTGCATTAAAAGTAATTTAAAAATAAATTGTTATGAATTTATTCAATGAGAAATCACTGGAGTGATTGCATTAGAATATAATAAAATATAATAATTAATAGTCATATAATTTAGTTTTCGTTTGAATCGAGCAAGGTAGATAATCATGAGGTTGTCATACTTAATTGAATAACAATTGAATTTTACATTAATATTAATAATTTATATATCTTTAACATCTAAATGTCAACGAAATTAAGAGATTTGATTAGGAATATTAGAGCATGTAAAACTGCGGCAGAAGAGAGAGCATTAATCAAGAAGGAACAAGCATTGATAAGGGAATCCTTTATAGCAAATGAATCAGAGTACAGACCGAGGAATGTGGCGAAGTTGCTATTCATTTCCATGTTGGGTTATGAGACAGACTTTTCTTAGATGGAGTGTTTGCATTTGATAACAGCCAATACTTATAATGAGAAGAGAATAGGTTATTTGGCTTTGACTCAATTATTTAATGAGAAAAGCGAAGTGTTAATGATGGCCACAAATCGAATAAGAATAGATTTAAATAATCCATCAAATTATATAGTGTCATTGGCATTGATGGCTCTGAGCGAAGTATGCACAAGTGAGATGTGTAGGTCATTGTCAGGAGAGGTATTGAAATTATTGCAGAATGGCACAGCCTATATAAAAAAGAAGGCAGCTTTAGCAAGTACTAGAATAGTGACACGTGTCCCAGAAAAAATTGATGAGTTTTCTTAAAAAGTTGAACTCTTATTAGATGATAGACACCATGGAGTATTGGTAGCTTCATTGCAATTGGCATAACATATATTATAAATACAACCTGATCAAAAACAAAGATTTTAAAAATTTGTATAACCCATGGTTAGAATATTCAAATCCATTTATTCAACCTATTCTGCAGAATATGATATCGGTGGAGTATCAGATCCATTTTTATAAATTGAGATTCTCAAATATTTTAGAATCATGTGTCAAGGAAATGTCCAATTGTCAGGAGAAGTCTCAGATATCCTTGCTTAGGTTGCAGCCAATACAAACAATACTAAGAATTCTGGAAATGCTGTATTATATGAATGTGTTAAGACTATTTTTGCAATTGAATCCTCCAACACCCTCAAAACTTTGGGTATCAATATTTTGGGTAAATTTTTGCAGAATAAGGATGCAAATAGCAAATATATCTCACTATTTATGTTATAGAAAGTATTGAAACACGACCTCTAGGCTGTTCAAAAACATAAATAAACTATTTTGGAATGTTTGAAAGAAAATGATAATTCAATCAAAACCTTAGCATTGGATCTATTGTATGTGATTACTAGTGAAACCAATGTGAAAGGCATTGTCAAAGAATTATTAAATGTTTTACTTAGTCTAACCGAAGAGGATGCTGATTTTACTAAAGAATTAACTAATAAAATATGTTAAATTGTTGAAAAATATGCTCCTTCAAGAAGATGGTATATAGATACATTTATTAAAATCCTGATTTTGGCAGGTAATTACGTTGAAGAAGAATCAAGCTCATCTTTGATCCATCTAATTATAGGTACTCCTGAATTGTAGAGTTATGCTATTCATAAATTGTTTTTCTCCTTATAAGAAAATTTAAATCAAGAGGGATTAGCAAGAACCACTGCATACTGTATTGGAGACTTCGGTCATCTTTTATTGAAAGGAGATGCAACTGCTATTGATAACACTCCCATTTAAATAACTGAAGAGGAAATTCTAGATCTACTCACTAAACTGTTGGAGAAACCAAATTAAAAGAATGTTATTAAAGAATATGTGTTATCTGCTCTAATTAAATTGTATCCTAAGATAAACAAATTTTAACCTTAAATAGCAAAATTAATTTAATCTTAGATCAACTCAACATCCATTGAAGTCTCTAAAAGAGCCCAAGAATATTATGGTCTTTTAGATGTTCAATGGGATCAACATAGAGCTGGCATTTGCGAATAAGTACCACCTAGTGATACCCATAAAACAATCTATGAAAATAAACCCATAGGTGATGTTGAATATGATGAATACCCACCTGCTAAATCAGAACTAGAATAAGCCAAGCCTGCTGCTAGTAATAATGACTCTACAAAATTATATGGTTTTGATATTGATAATCTTATAGGAAATTAAGATTAAACTCAATAGAAGTCATAATAACCTTAACTTGCAACATAATTGCCTGGTAATTTATTTGATCCATTTGACATGACACTTAACCTATCTGGAACTCAAGCATAATAATAACCCACTTAATCAAATTATCTTCAATTTCCTGCACAAAGTGAATATACATATAGTAATCCTTAATAATTCTCATAATAATAATAACAATAACCACAACCTATAAATCCATTGTAAAATTTATATAATCAAAATAACAACCCATATTAGTAATAACAATTCCCCTTCTAATAATAATAACCATAATAATAACAATAACAATTCTAACAAATACCTTAACAACAATAACCATAACCATTAGTTAATTTACCTGGTGATATTTTTGATCTAAATCTTTAACCATAAAAGCCAATACCATAAACCATACAACCATAAAATTAATAGCTAATCTAACCACAAACACAACCACAAATTATATAACCACAATTGACTGAATAAAAGTCCTTAACACAATAAGCCATAGCTTTTGATGACGGTGCTTTACAAATAGAATTTAGAGCAGTTAAAGTATGAGTTAACATATATGTCTTTAGGAAACTCCAGATCAAACTAATATCACAGCCTATTTCAACAATAAAACAGCCAGTCCAATCACAGAATTACAACTCTCCTTTGCAGTATTGAAATATATGAAATTATAACTAACGCAGCCAACTTCTTCAACAATCAATGGCAATAGCACTGGATTAGTGATATCGGTATTTGAGCATATTTATGTTAGACTCTAAGAATCACAAACTCAAATCAAGGACAGAAGGGAATTGTAATGAAAATCAAGGTTTCTTACAAGATCAATGGTTTAATGATAGACAAGGAAGTCACATTTAATAAATTCCCCCAAAATTATTGAAATATAATGAAATATCAATAACAATTATTGTCTGTTTATTAAAGAAATGAGATTAATCATTTTTAATATATTTTAAAACATATGTTATTTAGACAGAAGGAAAGAGTACCAGATGTTGGCAAAGACAATTTCAGAGAGTTTATGAGAAGAGAGGATGATTCCTGTGCAAATACATAGAATATCCTACCGAATTTCATGAACAGCACAATTCAAGCTTAGACAAAGCAATCGTAAATATTGTGAAACTTAATCAAGTCAAACACCGTCAGCATTGGATGGATCTATTAAGATGCTAGGAAACACTTGGGATGCATAACATCTAGGCAAGTTCTTGCAGCATAGTCAATTTGCATAACTAGGTGCTCGAACTATGAAATCAGGAGACACGCCATAAAACATGACTCTTAAAAATTAGAGCTTTTATTTCAGAAGTCAACAGCCTAGATTGATAGAAGATAATATAGATTATTTGCATTAACACCCCATCAATCATATGATAACTTAGCATCCACTTCAATCAACTAGTTAATCATTCTTAAAAACAAAATTATTGTAGATCCCAGAAAAACATTTTGATGAAGCAAAAATTAATTATTAAACTTAAGCGGAACTCAAGAAACCTGGAGAATATCGTAAGGATTTGCAAGAAGCTAAATAAAATTAAGTCAAATACCATTAATGGAGATCTCAATTTTAGGATGTCAATAAAGCCTATAAGAAAGCTAAATTAGGTTTCAAATCAGGGCTGTTTGCTTTGGATAATCCAACAAATGAGTAAACTGAATTGTATAGAGAGGAATATGAAAAACTCAAGAAATAAGAGGAGCACAAGACCACTCAACACTTCAAGAGATTTAAGTGTAAAATAGTAATATTACAAATTTAGCACTTGAACGATTTAATTGCAGTAATCCATCAATTGAATTCGACAATGTTAAACATGTTCAAAATAGGCCCAATCCAGAAGATCCTATATTGCATTAAGGATAGTTCCCTGTGAAGAATTTCGAGATGCATAATGATTGGATGAAGAAAAGAGCAGCTAATTCAAATGTAAATACTCAGAATAGGATTTTTGGAAAGACAGATAATGATCGAAAAGTCAATTCATACAGAGCTTAGTACTTGAAGGATTAAGAAATGAGAGGAAGAGAATACAATGCCATTACATTAGTGAAGGAATGATAAAATTTTAATTTATTTTAAATGTTAACAGATTGCGATTTTTATAGCAAACAAAGTATAACTGAGTTGTAAGCTTAATTGGCTCATAAGAAAAAGAAGATTCAGATCTTAAAATAAGAAAAGAATTCTATGTTGAACAGGATAGATGAATTGAATTAAAAAGTTCATGATTAAGCAGAAGAATTCAAAAAGTATAGATTGAAGTTCAGAGGTCTTGAAAAGTAACACTCTCATGTAAAGACTAATTCTCATAGTTTTAGTTAAAGAATCAGAATGAAAATTTAAAGAAAGACCAAAGTATGAATAATGAAACTATAACCTTGTTTTAAAAAGGATTCAAGAGAGATGAATTCAAAAAGCATGAAAGAACAGTAGCTTAGTTGCAGAATGATATTATAAAATTGTCTAATGCTTTGGAAGAGCATAAAATAGTTAGGGAATCAAATTGCGAAGAAATTACAAGATAATTAGTTTATATCTAAGAATTGGAAAGTCAACTAAATACATATAAATCAATGAATGAAGATGATTAGTTAAAATATAACAATCAGCAACTTTATTAAACTATTGAAGATCTTAATTACTAATTGTAGTCATCAATTTAATAGAAAGATGAAGATAATTAACATCAATTATCAGAATTACAATAATTAGCTGATATTGCTAAATTAGAAAACAAAGAACTTGCATTAAAGATGGCACAATAAGAAAAGTTGTATCAGATGCAAATATAAAAAATAATTAAGCTTTGCGAATCAGTATATGATGAATTATCTAATAAAATAACCAACAAACAAGAAGTTAAAGACACCTTATAAAAATTGGTTATGTCGAAAAAAGACTTTGATTTGGATCTACTTAAGTAATGATATTAATCTAAAATATAGAATTGAATCGAAAATCAATAGCTAGACTTGTGAAGAATTATAGAATAAAGTTGAGAATTTATCAAGTGAGAATTAAAATATTAAATAAAAATTTTAAACAACATCTACAAATAAAGAAGCTCTATAAATGAGGGAAAAAGATTTAGTACATTAAATTGATAAATTACAATAATAAGTTGAGCGATAAAAAGAATTGAACTAATTGAGATAAAAAACGATGTCAGAATAAATATCGGCTTTACAGAGAACTAACAAACAATTAAACTAAGATTTGGATAAAATAACTAAAGAAGTTCAAGATTTACGGGAAGAAAAGGTTATCTTACAGTAGACGATACAAAGATAAGAGAAAAAAATACAAACACTAAGTTTATCAAAATATAAATGACAATTTTTTTATTAATTAAATTTGATTATAACTAACAGCCAAAATGCTAACTTTATTTCTACAATCCGATTATTATCTCAATTTAGAATACTTTGTTTAGAAATCATTTTATAATATAGATATAAATTATTATATTTTTCCATTTTTATCGTTTCTAGAATATCTTTTTTTGCAAAGTTGTTTGATCTCATTCATTAAATGATTTAGCTTATTGATGGGTAATAGAAATTGTGAAATGAATAAAGGCTAAAAAGTATAATTTGTTTATAGAATTTGTTAAAATTATTGGTTATATGAATACCAAATATCATTACTCATAAATCGGATGATATTTTCTATTTTTGGTAATTTATATTTGATAAATTTAAATATGTTTATTAAATATAATACTATTAATTAAAAATTAAAAATAATTAATTTATATTAGGTTTAAAAATAAAATAAGAAAATTAATTTTTCTTAATTCTGGAAAATTCTGTTTTCGAGAATTAATAAATTCCAGAAAATTACAAGTTAGGTTCTTTAAAGCTGGTGATTGAGATGAATCATTTATTTAATTAATAAAAAACAAGTAAGCTTTTAAAAACAATGTCAAAATCAAACGAAACAGCAATAGGAATAGATTTAGGAACAACATATTCTTGTGTTGGTGTATTTATCAATGATAAAGTGGAAATCATAGCAAATGATCAAGGAAACAGAACAACTCCTTCATATGTAGCCTTTACAGAGAATGAAAGATTGATTGGTGATGCTGCAAAGAACTAAGTGGCTAGAAATCCTCAAAATACAGTATTTGATGCAAAGAGACTAATTGGAAGAAAGTACAATGATCCAACAGTTTAGAAGGATATTAAATTATGGCCATTTAAGGTAGAAGCTGGTGCAGATGATAAACCATTGATAGTTGTTAGATTCAAGGGAGAAACTAAGAAATTCCATCCAGAAGAAATTTCCTCAATGGTTCTCACAAAAATGAAGGAGATTGCAGAAGCATATCTTGGAAAATCAGTTAAGAATGCAGTTATTACAGTTCCAGCATATTTCAATGATTCATAAAGATAAGCTACTAAGGATGCTGGTTTAATTTGCGGATTAAATGTGTTGAGAATAATAAATGAGCCAACAGCAGCCTCAATAGCTTATGGATTAGATTAGAAGACAAAAGGAGAGAAGAATGTTTTAATCTTTGATCTTGGAGGTGGTACTTTCGATGTCAGTTTACTCACTATTGACGAGGGAATTTTCGAAGTTAAAGCTACTTCTGGCGATACTCATTTAGGAGGAGAAGACTTCGATAATCGTTTGGTTGAGTATTGCTGTGCAGAATTCTAGAAGAAGAAAGGAATAGATTTGAGAACAAATGCCAGAGCTTTGAGAAGATTGAGAACTTAATGTGAAAGAGCTAAGAGAATCTTGTCATCTGCCAACTAAACCACAATTGAATTAGATGCTTTGGCTGAAAATGAAGATTTCAATTGCTCAATCACAAGAGCTAAATTTGAAGAGTTATGTTTGGATCAATTTAAGAAATGCATTCCACCAGTTGAATAGGTTCTCAAGGATAGCGGAATGTCTAAGAGTCAAATCCATGAAGTAGTTTTGGTTGGTGGATCAACAAGAATTCCCAAGGTCTAAGAATTATTGAAGGATTACTTTAATGGCAAAGAGTTGAATAAATCAATAAATCCAGATGAAGCAGTTGCATATGGAGCAGCAGTATAAGCAGCAATCTTAACTGGAACTGGATCACAAAAATGTGAAAACTTGGTGTTGTTGGATGTTACACCATTATCTTTGGGTATTGAAACTGCTGGAGGTGTTATGAGTGTATTGATTCCAAGGAATACTACAATTCCAACTAAGAAGAGTTAAGTATTTACTACTTATGCTGATAATCAACCAGGAGTCTTGATTCAAGTCTTTGAAGGTGAAAGATAAATGACTAAAGATTGTCATAAATTAGGACAATTCTAATTAGATGGTATTGCTCCTGCTCCTAGAGGTGTTCCTTAAATTGAAGTCACTTTTGATATTGATGAAAATGGTATTATGAACATCCTGGCTGAAGACAAGGCATCTAAGAAAAATAGCAAGATCACCATCACTAATGATAAGGGAAGACTCTCCAAATAGGATATTGACAGATTAGTTAATGAGGCTGAAAAGTATAAGGCTGATGATGAAAAAATCAGATTGAGAATTGAAGCTAAAAATAACTTAGAGTCAACTGCTTATCATATGAAGAATACCATGAATGAGGAATAATTTAAGGATAAATTCACTTCGGATGAAAAGAGATAGTTATCTGACTTAGTTGAGCAAACTCAAAAATGGTTGGACTCACATCAAAACGAAGAGGCTGATGTTTACAAAGACAAACTAAAAGAACTTGAATCTAAATTCCATCCAATCATGCAAAGAGTTTATGCCTAAACTGGAGCAGCAGCTGGAGCTGGAGCATCTATGCCTAATATGAATAGAGGACCTGGATCAGAATTCAAACCAACAGTAGACCAAGTCGATTGAAATTTATAGTTATTATATATATATATATTGTTTAATTATTAATTAAATTTGTTTTAATATCAAATTGATCAAATAAATTGATTAGAAAGAGAATTAGTATTTTAGATTGATTTCATTGAAATACTCGGTTCACATTTAAGCATTGTTGATTTATTAGAATAATTGCTTAAGTAAACATTTTATAAATATTTAATTAATGATAATTTATATATTTAATGTTATAATATGATACAGACTTCGGCAAAATATTTTACTGTATCTATACACTTCATAAAAGCCAACTGATTAGCTTAGATCGAAAGTCTAAATTAAAGGGTTTTATAGTTAATTCACAATAGATATGCTTATTACATTTGATGAAAAAATGACTGCCTTATTAACTAGTTTGCCCAAATTAAATGAACACTAAGTTTAAGAACGTCTCCTCATGATGGCTGATTCTCAATACGATTCTAACCCAAATATTGATTTCGAATTATCAGATGAAAACTATTCAATCAAGTCTTCTCATACATTGCAGTAAACTAGAGCTGCTAAACTAAAAAAAATAATAATCGAAAAAAGCACTTATAAATTAGTTAATAAATCATAATTTCAATATACTGCAAGATCTTCTAAAAGAACAGCCACCTAAAAACTCACATGAATATTGTTCAATTCATTTAAATATGTATTAATAGAACATAAATCGTATACAATTTGTTCCGTAATACTATCTTTACTATTTTCTTACCCTTTTCGACTGCATATCTAAATTTAGGTTAATAGGCATTTTTTTAGTTATCACTTTACTATCAATACCTAGATTCCACTTTATATAATTAAGTTTATCAACTGTTTGTTATTTGTAAAACTGTTCATTAATTTAGAATCAACCCCATACATACGCAAGTTTAAATTCTTATACAGACATTTAATTAAGAACATTTTTACTTTATTAATTTCTTTATATAGTATAATTAATTATTTACTCCGTTGTCAGTCTATTTATGTATTTAATTCTTGTTTTGCTCTTTCGCAATCATATTGAAGAACTATTTTGTAGATGTCTTAAACTGCTTTGACAACTTTTTGAAAGAATCATCGATCAAGTATATTATCTTTTTGGATCCATTTATTTAATTTTTGAGTTTCGAATTGATTTATTTTTCAATCGTATATATATATTTATAACACTTATTCCATAAATAATGATTTTATAATAAAATTAATTCTGTAGTAGAGATATAAATTTTTATATTATGTTAGATTAAATCGATGAATCCATTGATATGTCAATCAAGATGAAATCTCTTAAACCCTAAAGTATAATATGCCCATATTCAGATCGCAGTCCAGAATAGAAGGTTAGCTTGCTCAAGTTAAGGAAAAATTCGAAAAGTTTTGGAGATTGCACCACTGAAAAATTAATTACAATATATTGGTATGATCAAGAACATGATTCAACTTACGAATTTTCTCAAGGCTTCAGCGAAATCTTGTGTCTGGGTGACATATGTAATTGGGCTATTTTGAAGTTAAAAGAAATGAATCTGCCGAAGATTGATGTTGAACAAACCAAATTGTATTTGCCAAAAAAGAAACAAGGTAAACCAAATGAAGATTTTCCATGTACTTATTTAAGCTATCCATAGCATTCAGAAATGAACTTCAACTAAAAGATTGTGATCAAACTAAATTTTCTATTAAGGTCTCTTACATAGTACGATAAGTCACTCCTCCTTAGAAAATCGAACCTCGTTAATCGTACAGCAACTCATTAAATAAAGAAAAACGTATCCCCATTACTGAATAAAAAAAAGTTAAAAAAACAACTAATTTCTTTTGTTTTTGCAACAATGGTGAATGAATGAACTCATATTTTTATAACAAATTATAAAGCTGATTAGTATCAATTGCTTAAAAGTTCTTAACATTTGGAAACTGCCATCACTAAGAACATCAATGAAATTTAATTCCTAATATAAATATAAAATTTATTTAATTATAATCCAAAATATTAGATAAAAATAAGTGAATTCAGTTCGAAAGCTTTTCTTCACATAGTAGTCTTAGATATTTTTCGGAATCTTACGATATTCTCCCTTGCTGATTAAGTAAATTAACTTTGTATATGATCAATAAAATTATTTAAATTCATTCAATTTTTAAACTAATTAAATAATATTAATTAGTACCTCATTATATTATTTTACAAATATACATCTATTCCTTCTGGTTTAACAGATCAGTAATTTGAATTTCATGATAATAGAAGGTGTCAGGTCATTTACAATTGAAATAACTCATTTAAGAAGTTACCTATTTAATCTCAATAAATTTAAAATGAAAATTTAATATTGAGAAGGTTGACTGAAATTTGATTTATAATTTAATTTTATTTAAGCATATTAATATATATATTCAGGGAACCGATTACCTATTTTATTTGGGTATTTTAAATCGATGTTAATTAGAAATAAATAGTATAAGTCATTATGTAAACTTATGATATAAAAAACATATGTTTAAATGACGAAGTTTGATGAAATTTATTTAATCTTAAATATTTTATAAATTAAATTGTCATTTTTATGCAATAACTAATAAGCAATCTTACATTAATGGCTCATTTAACACAGTCAATTTATGCTGAATTTTCTCATCCAATTTTATTAACAATTATTTATATAACTCTTGATCTTTTTAAAGAAATTCAATCATACCAGGATTCTAACCTTCTATTATTTATTCAGCTTTAAATCTATTGGCTGCTGTGTTCTAATACCATAACACTAAGAATTAATTTGAAAAAATACATACAGATATTCTTAAATCCCAAACTCTCTAGGAATTATTTTAGTTCAGCCCTATCTGATCCTAAATGGAAAGCGTCATGACTCTTTGGGAACACATATCCAAGTTCTGCAGCAGTCGCTCTGAGAAGTGTATAATTGTCAGCTATTTCTCGTCTACCCCAAACAGAGAATCCAATTTTACCTCCAGGTTTCAAAATTCTGTATGCTTCTTTCAATGCTGAGATTGGATTTAATACCAAATGAAAAATAAATCCACCATAATATATATCGAAATAATCAGAAGAATATTAGGATAAATCCTCGGCGTTGGCTACTTCAGCCCTCCAAGAAATTTATTTAAACAAATTTTCTGAATCTTACTCTTATTATCCATTCGGAAATGTTAAAAAATTGAGTACTCTTTGCTTAGAAGATTCAACCATGTTTTCAGATATGTCAGTTGAAACAAACTCACAATTTAATTGCTTATTCAAGAGTATCGTTGGAATTGTCAATCCAGGTCCGCATCCTGATTCAAATATTCGTGAAGCATTTGATACATCAAGCATGTTAATTAGAGTTATACCAATGCTAGCTTAGTTTCCTTGTATTTTTGAGTAGTTGTCAACATAATTACTCCAGTAGGACTTTAATTAATCTTAGAACTGGATGTTCATTGAATGGGAATAATAAATTATTGAATATTAATATAATATTTTCATCCAAAAAGCTTCTATCCGATAATAGAGAATATCTATGTAGAAATTTGTTTAAGAACAAAAGATGCAAATTCATCAAATTGCTATTAATAAATTGAAATATCATACTTCTTTTGTTGTCGAAAACTATTTAGGAGATCTATATGGTTCTAATTGAATAGTAACATCTTTGAATCTCTTAATTTTAGAAGGATGTTTGAAAGTGGCCACTAACTTAAGTTCGCTTACTTGTAATGAATTAAAATAATCAGGTATTTATTTAGATATATTTTCCATAGCCGCTATTAGATTATTAGTTTATATTTACTTTTCATTTATTCCTTCTTTTCAATGCTCAATCTATTATTCCTTTGTGTAGATTCATCACCAAAGAAGTAATTATAGAATTGATCATACAATTCATCTGTCAAAATAATTGTTAATGGATTCATCTTGATATCGTGTTGATCAATAACAAACCATTTTTATTGGTAAATCTAAAGTGGATAGAACTTTTTGATCATTCTAAAGAAGGGTTGTTGTTTAGATTCTTTGATCTACTGACTTAATACCATTCTATAGTCAGGATCTTATTCTATTTTATTAATTGCATCTAAATCCTAGAGTAGAATATCAATTTTGTGACTATCATTCTCAAATAGAGTTTCAATGATTCTAATTTATCTAATATTGAATAAAATAAAACTAACTTCTTATTCATCCAATAATGATAGACTTGTTTCTTTGATGGCATAATCTAATTTTGATTTTTCATTTCCATAATGTTCAAGATTTTCTGATATTTTCTTCTTTATCAATTGATCAATTTATTTTATGCCATATTAATTTAATTCTTTCAATTTATTTCTATAGAATCTCTCTTTGTTTTCAAATTCATTTTTTGTAGTGACTGCCATTTCCAAGAAAGTTAACATGTCTAAGAATTAATCTAATTAATATTTTTTCATAGTTGCATTCAATTATCCAACTTTTACTTACACAATTGGTCTCCTTAATTCTTGATTCCAATAATTAGGGTTGTGTTTATCACATTTTTATGACTATATCTCAGTGAAATCCCTTTCATTTTCTCTTCGCTGATAACTTTAGATCTAAAATAGAGCATAATCACATTTAATAATCTTTTCATAATCTTGACTAGTAAATCTTACAGTCTATTTGGCATCCAAATGTTTTTGTAATACTTAGCAATCTAATCCATTGAATATCAATTTTGTAACCAGTTTTTTATCAATTTCTTGGGTATCAAATGGTAGAATATACTCTGATATTATAATCTAACAATCTTTTGGTGATGTTAAGATCATTTAACAATTAGCATAATGATATTAGAAATTGAATTAAGGATTGACCAAAGAGACCATTAATTTTAATTCTTCTCTACAATAAGATTTAGGTTTTGTTTATTCCATTTACGCATCAAAATTTTATTTGGTCTATTTATTCTAAGGAATTTCAAGACTTTCAAAAACGTTGCTCCAAATTTCTTATAAGTAAAATGTAAATAGTAATTGACTATCCAAGGCAGAAATGAAATTCTTTATTATTTTCTCTGTCATCCCCGTATTAACATTGTTCTCTTCATCTTCAACCTACAAAGTTATTTTTTGGTTCTATTTATACTCTAATTATTAAGCCTTTAAGAAGATGTCAAAAGCATTGAATTCATTTTATTGTTATGGTTTAATTTGAATACCTGATGTTCTACCTCTAACTTTAAGATCTTCCAGTGAATCATCCAAATATGATTGATCAGTTTATAAATTAAATAGATGATACTAAGGAGTGAGTGTAGTATTAATAATGAAAGGCTACTTAAGGAATCTCTTCAATTTTTTTAGTTCATGAAAAGTCATGTTTTATAGATTCTATGATTAATTTAATTCACTTTAATAATAATCTACTGGTTGAATATCAAAGAAATTAACAAATTGCTCTTGTTGACTCAAAGGTTCTGGTTATTCCATCTCTAACATCTGTTTCCCATCAAACATTGAAGATACCAACTAATCACATTTAGCAGCTATAGATTGCACTTCGAATTTCCATCCATTAGCTTTATGATTAGGCTCTAATTGTACATTCACTTTTAATGATTAAAATAGTGTTTAAAATCCAATGAATGGAACATCTTTGTGTTTCAGGAAGGTCTCACTATGTGATACTGGTTTTTCTGAGTTTGTAAAGAACATTCTAAATTTATTTGAATACACTCTTATGTTGATCTTCTTCGTATGTTAAAATAATGATTATTTAATCATGAGTGATTCCATCAATTTCATGTAAGTGTAATTGACCAATGTTTTGTAGTCAGCATACGTATTCCATTCCATCTCATATATCTTATTGTCCATTACTTATGGGAACTTATTGATCTTGACCTAAAACATTCTCAAGATATCATGTCTCAATATCGGTCTATTCTTCAACCATCTCATAAATTAGTTTTAATAGTGAATAAAGAAACAATAGTTCTATTGATCTCTAAAATTGGACTCTTTGTAATGTTCATATTAAATGCAATCAAATTTAATTTCGATTTGCAATTATTGACTGATGAAGTCAGTTAAGCTATAATTTATTTAATTGAAGTATGGTTTTCTCATATAAAAGTAATGATCGTATTAATCCTTCAATGCAAACCAATTGAACTCGGTTACCATCTAGATTCTTGGAATATAGAGAACTTTTTAGATTTTTGGAATTCTACTCAATTTCAGTTTGTCTGCTTATCCTTTTACTGTCCAATTTAAAAACTCAATGTTTATTAATTTAGATGAAAACTTAATGCAATCAATTGAATAAGGCAATATATCCGTAGTTATTTAGAAAACTAAGTGTTCTAATTGAAAGTGCAATTTGCCATGGAACTTCAATCTGAATCTATCCCAAAAGGATAATTACTCTTTAATTATAATTTTATTTTATTGTTAATTTACACTTTAACCCATAATTTGATTAATTCTATTAGAGATTTCCCTAAAAGCAAACACCAAGTTTAACCCTGCTGTTATTTGCAATTACTTGATTTCTAAACCTAAATCATAGAATATTCTAAACCCTATCTAAATATTCTAAGTGTTCAATCTTGAAAGACATAGAAAAGTATTCAATTTCATGCCTCTCAAATCTAGTAAAGATAGCTTATAATCTCTAATAGATATTTTAATTTATTCTAATTAAATTTCGCAATTGGCCAACTCAAAATATTCAAAGAATGACTCATCTAACTAAGTAGGGTGAGAATCTAATTTTGTTATCTTATCAAGTACTTAATTGACTGTTAAGTTTAATTTCTTTAATTTTAGATTGAGATTCTAAAATTTCATATGCAATAAAGGATATGATTGTTATGTTTTTAAACCTTCCAATACTCTACTTTCATTTTACCTACTTTTAACTGTTTCAAACTTTTCTTAAAATCTTCTGTATCTACATAATGCATCATTTAATTTGGTATCCTGAACAAAAACTTCGAAATTAAAGATACTAAGATTTGTATTTTTGCCAAAGATTGATCTAATTTTTGTTGTTTGATCTAAATCATTGGATATGTTCTTAAGGACACCATCGTGAGAGGATCTTCTTTTCTTTAATTAAGAAGTATCAATATCTTCTTGATTAATATCAAATATCTATTTTCTTGAGACAATGGAATTCATTTATTTAATACCTAACACAAATACATTAATGTCCCTAACATCTTCTTCAAAATTGATTATCGCAGATTTAATATTGATTTACATCAATTCAGAACTATTTTTAGTTTAAATTTAATCTATTGTAAACAAGCATGAATTTTAAAATTTAATGGAAAATTGATTTAAATTGATATTATTAGGATCTTTTGTATTGATCTCTGACAGATCAATCTCTGCCAAGAAAGGAGTAGATAAATATTAGAGCTTGACATTCTTGCAATTTATAATTTTCTCTTTGATTATTGGTTTATTGGCTTTAGATTTTTTCTTTTCTAAAGGTGTCAATTTGAAAGATGTAAATTTTTATAATTATTACCGAAATACTTTTTATAATTAATATATTCTTAATACCTTCTCTATGTTTATCTGTTCTACTAATAATTCAAATGTGTTAAATGTGTAATTGACTACCTTAGGATTTGTGTGCATGTTTAAATCTTTGATTAAACCATCCGTCTAACTAATATTGCTAGTGATTTGACAGTTGTCAAATTAAGTTTTAGATTCATTCAGATCTCCTTCGTTTGAAATATAATGAAATTTATTAATAGTGATTGAATTAATAATTGCACCATCATAGATTAAATTAATTTAAAATTTATTAGTAACTAAAAAATCATATGAATTGCTTAATGCACTGTTGAGATCAACATTCAAGAATTCACAACACATCTGCTTAGCAATGCGATTATATTTTTTAAAGTATTTGCTTTATTCATAATTTTCAATAAATGCAACTCGAAATTCTGATGCTAATTCAGTTTAAATAAGTGTGAAAAATTTAATCAATTGTGGAGACAAATTAATGATTAGATCCCCATATCTGATATAATGTTTTGTATTATCATTAGAATGAACGGTTAAGCTGGATATAGTGTCAATATTCCATGTGATATCTTAGAATCTAACATCTTCCTGTAGAGTATTCACAGTGAACTATTTGCATACTATCATTCCTTTCTTAGTTTGATCTGTCTCAACTATATCATATAACCCATGATACTTCAATTGTTGCCATTCAAACACAAGCTTATTTTGAGTATATTTATAAAACTTTTGAGTTAAGATATTAAAAGAATGTTTCTTATCAGTGTCACTATCATTGAAGATACTAAATTCTATTCTAAATATGGCAAAATTAAGTTTAACTTCTCTTGGTTTCCCTAAAAATTTAAATCCTTTCTCATTGAAATGTCTCTTAAGAATTCTATTAATGTCAGGTCTAGCCCAAAATTCATTTGCCAACACATCCATAGTGTAGAAATATTCACTTTTGCAACACCATCGCACCTCCTAAATGTCAATCTCTATTGAGCTGTGTTCTTGCAATAGATCTATTATCAATCCAGGCTTAGTGATCGCATTCATATTAATAGCATTGATAGTCAAGCATTATTCCATCTTAGCACCTTCGCTAGTGAGCTTCCATTGTAAATGGCCATTCTAATTCAAATGAGAATGTACTGATGTTTAGCCTAACTTTACAACAATTTCTGGTAGATCCTTTTCTTTAGAATTGAGTTTGGGCAAAGTGACATTGATTACATTGAAATGAATATTTAGGCGAGAAAGCGTTAGAAAAAAACAATTGATGGCTGAGGATTCCAATAATAAGGTAAAGAATGGTATTTGTTTATTTTTACGATGTTGTATTTTTTCTTAAGAATAAGGCAGGAATTTGGATTTCAGTCTTTCCATATACAACTACTCCTCAAATTAAAAGCCTATTTTGATTGCTTAGTTCGGAATGAACCTTATATTCAAATCGATGATATTCACATTGAATCTCCATTAATTTGGAACTCTTGCTATCTGTATCCGCGCTATGCTTACAGTAACTATTATGTGCTTTTTGTATTAATATCTTAATTCCATATTGTAAAGGGAAAATGGAACATATGAATACTGGAGAGCAAGGACTTTCTTATGCAACCGTATCAACCACTTTATCCACACAGGGCAAAAAAGAAATGTTATAATAAAAGCATTGATTATGAGAATCAATGTATTAAGCATTTTTGTATTTTTATTTATAAATCTCAACCTTCATTTTTATTTTTAAAATTAATCAGAATTTCCAAAAGAAAGCCAATGATTAAGAATCTCTTATCTCTATTTTTGTCTTAGTCTGTATTGTCGATTATGTCCACCTTTTCTTAAGGCTTCAATTATATGCAATATAAGCTAATTTCACTATTAATATGATATTATTTTAAGATCAATTTCTGATGAAAACCCCTTGTCTAAATCCATCATTCTAAAGAAGGATACAAATTTTCAAAATTGCATATAAGATAGAGGAATCAAAATCCTATCGATACAGTATCAAATTTTCGTACAATCACAAGTAAAGTGTTCTTGATTTACATCTAATTAGTATATAATGCAACATTCTTACATTCTATTCATTGATTGAAGATTTGACACTTGCGATAAATAGAGTCAAAGCATAGAATTTCAATATCTTTTTATTGTTATTCATCTTGAATATTCTCTTTTTATATAGTCTGCCAAATAAATAATTACTGACCTCCCTTATTTTGAATTTTTCCCCATAATGATTTTTCTCTATTTATAATATTAGATTCCTATTGAAACACAGGAAGTGCCTTTTCCTTACATACAACCAAAGTGGAACCATCTGGATAAACAAAATATACTACAGCTCATGCGTTATTCTTTTCCAACATTTCTAGTTTAACAGTATTATTAATAAAGTATTTCTTATTTTTAAAGCAAGCAATAACTTTACTCTATAATTAGAGCACTGAAAAGGTTCAATTTATCAGTCTTAACTTAATATACTAAACCATTATCAAAAATTCTTAATTCATAAATTATAGATTTACTCTATATTATCCTTATAGCCTTTAGATTCATCTTATAAATTTACTTCAATTAGATTCAATCATTCTTTTGCACATTAAATATGATCTTATTAAATATTCTCATACATAGACTCTACTTTTGAAATTAAGTTTAATGACTCTAAGACCACTCATATCAAGAGAACTTTTAGAATGTGATATTTCCTCTTCTTGCTAGATTACAATAAAATTCCTCATTATTATTTTATTTATTTAATGTCAGAGAACATTTTGAAGTTATCGCAACTAAATTCACTTTTCAAATCCAAGAGAGAAACAAAGTTAGATGATAATAAGAAAAATCCACCTGAGTCCCTAATCCAATATTCTAACTAATAGGAAGCCACGTTATAACAAATTAGAAAAAAATAATCTCTTCCTGTCCCTGCTTTAGAATCAAAACCCACAATTGATGTAAATGTTGTAATTCAAATTTAGGAACTATTAAACTCTTTAATTAAGCCAAGAGATTGGGAAATTGATGGAAGACGATTAATGTAAACAGTTTCAATAGTCCCTCCATCAAGAGATGACATCACTAATTTGCAAAAACTTCTTGATGAAAGACTTGTTTCGAGATAAGCTAGGGAATATCCTTTATGTCCAATAAGAGAAGAATTATTTGGCTAATGTTTTGATGAGATTATCAGATAAGTTACTATAGATTGTCAAGAAAGAGGTATTTCCTTAAGACTATTCCTTAAGGGGTAATTTTGGCAAGAGTTCGAGATGATCTAAATAAGACTATTGTGGCTTATAAAACATTATATGAGGGATCAATGCCATTTAGTCTTCAAAAGTAATTGAATGCTGAGGATGGACTCAACAAATTAGAAGTATAGATTACAAAATTGAATGAAACTAAATAGGAATTGGAGTTGAAAGTAATCCATTTTTATTATTCCGATTAGAAGCAATTTTTGACCAATAAAAAAGAGGCAGTTGAAAGATCAATTAAGGAGAAGAAGGATGCTAATGAGTAAAGGAGAAAGGCAGAGATTGAATTTTTGAAATATTAAAATTCTCATTTGGAATCTTATCAAAAACAAGTAAATCCAAACAAGAATTAATGAATTTTACAATCATATTTTATAAAATTAAAATAATCTCTTATATATATATGATTATCATTTATTTTTACTTGTTGTTTTAGTTGATTTCTCCTTAGTTATTTTTTCTTCTCTTTGAATAATGTCTTTTTTTTACTAAAATTCATTACATTTGAATAATTACTTTAAGACTTTTATTCGATATTTTTTAATTAGCTGGAATTTATTATGGTTCAAATTAATGAGTGTCCATAGAAGACTTAAGAATATCCATTTTCTTTTATGAGGGATCTATTTCATCTTTTACTTGAGACTATGTGGGATCAAAATCTCTCTTGTTTTTTACAGAGTCTGTTTATTGCCAGGTTTAATTATTAGGAATTAATCTCTCTTTAGGTTTTTTTTATTTTTAAGATTGTTATTGTTCTGATTGAGCTAAAGTTAAATTTTCTACTTACATTATTGAGTTTCAGATTCCTCTTTTGATTCTGAGATTGAGATAGTTTATGCTTTGACTGATTATTCACCAAACACACTGGATTACAATTCTGCTTCCTTTCTATTTTTCGCATAAGTTTCTGGATCAAATTCTTTCACTTAATTGTTACTCTGACCTCCAACAGTACTCCATTTTTAAGTTGATGCTGTTAGTTTTTCAACCTTTTAACCTTGAATTGCCTTGCTAAATGAATTTCATTAAAAATTACTTGGGACTATCGCCAAAAACACTTGATTGATTTTCCATCAATTTTCTATTGCTTGGATTCTAATCTTATTATTTTTAAGATGATTTTTTAGTTTTCTAAGGACTTGAAACTTCTAGATTGACCTCTTTGGTGGGAAGATGTTCTCTAGCAATTTCATTTCCATAAAGTTCTTTATTTCTCCTATTATTTGGATCATAAGCAAGTTTCGGTTTAAATTCATTTAATGTGACTGCTCTCTTTAATGATTTATATTCATCAAAATCTCATAATATTTAATTTCATTTACCACTTTTACCAAATAAGAATTCTTTTCCATGATCAACTTATCTATTATTATTATTCTTTTTTTGATATCTTTTAACTTCTTATTGTGATGTTTCAAAAGTTTAAGTATTTCTTGCAGGAGGAGGAGCATTTTAAATGGGTTCTGATGAGAAAATTTGAGATTGAAAGGTTTTATTTTATCGAACCTTTGATATCAATATCTAGTACTTCTTATTGCTTGGTTGCATAGGTTTCCGTACTAAATATATCTGTTTTAGGACGAACACTCTGCCTTGATTGTTATTAAGCAGGAGCAGGAGAATTGACTCCGAAAATATCAGATTTATTTTAGATTCTGAATATAAATGCATTATTTACACTTGTCTTGTAACAGGTGCTTGATCAAAAGTTTGTTTAGTTGGTTTGGATCCAGCTGCTGGTCTATCATATTTAATGTCAGATATACATGTTAGATGTATCCATTAATATATAAATAAAAAACTAAATATAATTTATCAACTATCATTGATATGTATGTTTAGTTAATTTCTGTGAAAAATAAATTAATTGGGATAGATGTTGTAATTATGAGCTGATATTAATTTTTTTTATAATTTCTAATGCATATTATTAATGCTTTTAAGACATATATATGGGAATATACAATGATAAATTCAACCAAGATTTCAGTTTTGAAGTATAAAAAAAAAGAATTGCTTAAAACAAAGTGGCCTTACTTTATAAATTTATGTCGCCTTCAAATATTTTTAGCTTTAATACAATTATTGATCAATTTCTTATTAATTGAATCAATTAATAATTACGAAACTTTCCTTATTGATATGGGAATATCTCTAATAATAAATATTATTGATAGATGTTGTTTGCGTAGACTTAACAACAGAAGGAAATTTAGAGTAATCATTCTATTAAATTTCTTTTAAGGTATTTATATAGGAATTTCAGAGAAATTTATACATGATAATGAATTAGTGTAATTCAACCAACCCTTATTAATCCATTTTATGACTAAAATAATGTGGATGGTTGCTTTAATCAGTACACAACCCCTTTTTACTTGTAAGATAATAATCTTTCTATTTTATTATTTCATCATTTGTTACTCTGTATAAATATGGAAGACTACATTGTATGATCTCATTATCGTAATATTAATATTCATATTCTACACAGTTCAAGAGGAGGAGAAGTTCAGAAGACTCATTTGCAATTAAATAATTCCTGAACAAATCATAAGTTCACTCCCATAGCCAATATTCTTAATTGATTTATCCACTCTAGAATTCGTCATCTACAATGATATGTTTAAATAGTATCTTAATTCCTAAAAAGACGAATCTGATATCAGATCTACTAAGAAGATGTTATCATAGTTTTAATCTTACGGAAACTAATAAATATTTAATATAATAGATGCTGGAAGATTGAATTTGTTTGAAACAATCCAAATAATCAAAATCCAAGGCCAAGTGATCACATAAAATCTGAATTATCAATTTATTCTAAATGATAAGGAAGTGTACGATGTGAGATTCCACAACAATATCATGTATAATGAAAAGAAATGTTTATTGGTTTGTCTATCTGATATATCAGCCATTATTGAAAAAACCAAACTCTCGGAAAGAACAATTCTGAAAAGTAAACTAATCAAATCCTTATCACATGAGTTGAGAACGAGAAAGAATATTATCCAAGGCTTATTAAAATTATATTTGGATAAAAATAATGACGATTCAAATAAAGAATTGATATGTCAAGCCTATTGCAATTCAAAAATAGAATCCAATATCATCAGTTCAATCATAAACTACAATTTATGCCTAGATAATCAAGTCATTATCAAATATAAATTTGTAAAAGTCAACGAGATCTTGGACAAAATTATTGATAATTTTAAATATGAAATTAACTCGAAATAAATCAAGATCCTAGCCAATTACCATCCAGAAACTAATCATTCTTTATTTACTGATCCAGATATATTTGAATAGATTATTACTAATATTGTAAGCAACTCTATAAAACATTGTGATAAGCAGAACTAATCAATATTATCAATATCTATTTGTAAAGAGACCAATTCTATTGCAAATTCAATTCCAAGTCAAAACCCAAACAATCCTTATATACCCTACTTGTAAAAGATGTCAAATTGCTCTTCATTTTAAAGCTTACAAGAATTACACATCCCTTAATTAGAGAGTACATTAAATATAAAAATAGTAGATAATGGATCTGGAATTAATTCTCAAAAACTCCAATTGATATAAGAAATATTAAATAATGATAATTATTACTAATTCACCACTTCATCATCTGATGGATTCTATCTAGGTTTAAGATCATGTAATCTACTCCTCTAAAAATTAAATTAATAGTCAAAAGTGAATATTCACATTTGCTCAACAGAGTAAGAAGAAACGGAAGTTATATTGAAGTTCGTGATTCATAATTAAACCAAAGAGTACGAATAATCAATTGAATCGGAGGATTGTATTCAATAAATAAAGATTTAGAAGAAGGTCCAAAATAAATGTAATTGTTTAAAATAGATTATGATTGTTGATGATGAGCCCTTTAACAATCTTGTATTGGAGCAAATTCTGAGATCTCTTCATTTCAAGGTGATTAAAGCAGAGAATGGATTGGAAGCTTTGAGGTTATATAGGGAATAGTATAATCTTTGTGAGATGGAGGAGTGTAAATTGTTTTATGCTATTTTTATGGATTATCAAATGCCCATAATGAATGGGTTGGAGAGCACGAAAGCTATAATTGAGGAATGCAATAAATTAAAATAAATTTAAACCAATATTATTGGATGCACTGCATTTTCTGCAACTGATGATATCAATGAGCTATTGAATGCTGGAATGAAAAATGTATGCATCAAACCAATTAATAAAGATTCGATCAAACAAATATTATCTCATTTATAATGATCATAATAATGTATGAATTAATTTATCAACAACAACACTTTTTTATATAATTCTGATCATTCTTTCACCTTTACTCCCACTTAACTTCGAGAAGTTAGCACAGAAATTCTGCAGAAACCATCAAAAAATAGAAATCATAATGATATTAAGGTATTCGTTCGATTTTCTAATTATTCCAATAGATTCTATAATTAGCCACTCAAAACATCAAGTTTTTTCAAGAGATTCTGTAAGAGGAGAGCATAGCAGTGTTGCATAGATGTTTATAAAGAATTCAACTCGAAATTTATCCTGAAGTAATCTGATTGATCCATTTTTTTAGAGCACCATTGTTTTTGAGAAAGGAGACAAGGGCAAAGATTTCTACATCATTCTCTCTGGTAGTGTTGGAATTTATATATATTCAAATAATATAGAATTGCATCAACAAAACAAATTGCCTGCTCGTTAAGCCATTAAGGAATAAGTAAATCAGCTTATTGAATCCGGGATGCGTCCTAAAAAAGAACATCCACTTGAAATAAGGAAAATCTTATTATATGAAAAAATCAAAAAGTATTAGTTTTTCAGAGGCTAGGTTGTTCAAAGTAAATGAATTGCATGATGGAGATTCTTTCGGGGAAAGAGCACTAATAAATGAAGCGGCTCGTTTAGCCACAGTAGTATGTGAGACTGAGTGCTTCTTTGGAGTGCTAAACAAATAAGATTACAGAGAAATATTATAATAAGCATAGAGTGAAAAGATTTTGCAGTAAATTACAGAATTGCAATCAGTCTAAGGATTCTAAGGAATGTCAAGGAAGTTGTTGACCATTCTGCTCTATGCATTTTAAAGTCAAGAACATAGATATAGAGATATCATCTATAAATAAGGATCGATTAATAAAAATGAAATATATTTGATCTTGAATGGAGAGTATATTATTACTCAAGGTCAAAGAATAACAATGCATAATCCTTTGCGAATTAATCATTAAGGAGTCAAGCAAATAGCCATTTTGCAAAAAGGCTCAATATTTGGAGACAAGGAGTCCTTTTAAAAACTTGACTTTAGAACTTAAACTATTACTTGCAATAGCGAGTATGGCAAGGTTCTTTGCATTCAATTAGATTGCTTATAGCAGAGATTGCAAGTAGTTATTTATAGTAAACTCTAAGGCTAATAATGAGTCGCATTTGATTAATGAATTGAAGTAACAATGCGAAATAAAAGAATAAACTAGAGAGAAAAGAATATCTTGTAAAATCTAATCACCAAGGCGATCTAAGAGCTTTATGGTTTCAACCTCACCAAATCAAAAAATAGATTATATTGTTAAATCGAAGAAAGAGATATTTAAATAATTAAACAAAAATCTTAAATCGAAAATTCAATTCATTTTTGATATCGCTTTGCCTAGACCTAAGACTCCATCCAATTATTCATAAGAAAGTCCATCTTAACCTATTAGAAAAAGATCTGCTATTGATAGAATCTACTTAAACACGAGAAACAACTCAAGAATACAAAAGAGATAATCATTGCCATTATAAATGTAAACTTAATACCAAAAACCTGAATAAAAAAGATTCTCATTCATTTGATAACAAATTAAATTCTATATTATATTTAATCCGTTCATGTAATATAAATTCTAGCTTGTTAATACGAATTATGCATTTTATTAATGATAACAATTAAAAATACATTCTTGTTTATGCAATATTTTTATAATTTGTCTAATTATAGATTCACTTAAGCAAATCATGATATCATTTTCAAGTATTAAATGAAGTCATTCAAACTAGCATATTGATTAACAGTTAATAGTGAATCATCAAATTCTTAAATAAATAAGTTCCTAAACCCTTAAAATGCATTTGTTTATATGCATAAAATTCATATGTTGATTCAAAGAATAGTATTTGGTTGCTTAGAGTTTGGATAGTAATCTAATCTCATATTAAGTTCAATAAATATGTTTATATTTAATATTGATAATAAGGTCATATATTGATAGGCTTGATTTTCTTCCAACTCAAATCTGCAAATCCTCCTTGATTGATGATATCAATTTCTTCTTATGTCATCTTTCTTCTTTAATAATCCACAACCTTATGTACATATTTGGAGGCTTATGCAACATGTTGATGAGAAACTTAATTAGCTCTGCTGCCAATAAATTTTATTTTTGGAACATATTTCAAGGCTTAATTCATCTCCTATATTTTATAATAATATTAATAATAAATATTAAGGCAACTATATGTTAATAATCATACACTTAGTTAAACTCAAGACTATTTAAGACTATTGCTCAATATTTTGAATCAACCTTTTGTTTTATTTCAATTTTCTTAAAATCTCATTTTTATTTAAGCAAATATTATCAGTTATTAACATTTAGAAACAATCAAAGTCTTTATCCTTTAAATCTAATCATGGCTCATCGAGAGTGAAACAAACCTCCATGGATGAAAAAATTTAATATTGAAGTTAGCTCTCACAATTATCAAAATTGCTCTCATTTTATTTGGACACAGGTATATTAATGGCATAATATATTAGATCAAAGCACTTTGAGTATTAAGAATTAATTTCATATGAATATTAGATAACAATTAGCAACTTAGTATTGGATGAGTATATATTTAGAAGGAGAGTTATTTTTTTAAGAAATGATAAATTATAATGGTTTCTATAATTATTATAATGATTAAATTAATTATTATAAATGTAAATCGATTTATTAGAGTAATAAATAGTAAAGAAGAAAAGATCGCGATCAAATAAAGACAATGGAGATTCCATACCTGCATTTTTATTGAAAACCTATGAAATAATAGATGTATTTAAATTTTTAAAATTAGAATCCATAAAATCATGAGATAATCAGTTGGAATGAAGAAGGAACTGCCTTCATCGTTAAGAAAGTTAATGAATTTTCTGACATCATCTTACCTAAATCATTTAAGCATAGTAACTTTGCTTCGTTCGTTCGATAATTGAACATGTACGATTTTCACAAAACCAGACATGATAACAACGAAAATGAATTCAAGCATAAATTGTTTTAAAGGGGTAAAAAGTAAGTTTTTTGTATATTGTAGGCATTTGCTTAGTTAAATCAAACGAAAGACAAATGATGTCAAAGAATAGAATTCATTGAGTCTAATCAAAAATGAATAGGTAAGGAATGGACAAAGTGAAATTCCAGAGGTATGTCTATATATATAATTATAAGATTATAATGTAAATGGGAAAATTATCAAACAAGTAATAGGAACTAGAAAAATTAATGAAAATTCTGATCAAGTAAAATGAAAAGATAATGAAGGAGAACAAATATTTATGGAGTGAATTAACTAAAAATAAGTACTATATATATTAATATAGAGGCATAAAAATGAAAACTCAGAAGAATAAATAATGAAATGGGTGTTGTAATCATTATAAGGAACTAAATAGAATAATAAGCACAAGACTAATTTCTAAACAAATAATTTGTTAATGTTGAAATAAACCAGTGAAAATGATGATGAAGTTTAACTTGAAGCATAAAATTAAAGAAATTTTGAAACTGAAAAATTGTAATTTGATTAGTTGCCATCTCAAATTATCAGTTAAAATTTAGAATAATAGATTGAAAAACTATCAAAAAATCAAATTATATAAGTGCTTATGAGTGCTATAACAAGCAATTAAAAATAAGAAAAAAAAAATACTATGAAATTTGAAGATGACATTAGCTTTGATGATGAATATCCAGTTATGAAGAAAATCGATTTAAAACAAGATAATTAAGATAGAAAATAAGAAAATCAACTTATGGTTTATAGTGAACCCTATTTTTTCCATAAATTAGAAGATAATTATATTATTTCAGAATCACCTAATCCAAGTCGCAAAAATTCTTTTTATGATCAAGATCCTATTCCTTAATTTTTGGAAAGTGAATTATGATATTTTAATCAAAATAAACTTCTTTATTTATTATTAAAATTTATATCGAATGTTTACATTAAGAAAACCCAGTCTGGATTAAAATGTGAAATATGACTTTAATATTTAAATAAAAACCTATATCAAATTTTATTGTTTTAAAATATAACTGCATGAGTGGTTTGTAATCTCAAAAAATAATATTGTACTCTTAATTATTTATATGGCATTTTTTATGTTTAACTATAATTTAAAAGATTATCAATCTTTTATTACAGATTCTTTGATTACAATGTATTACTTAAAGTTACAATCTTTGATTTCTTGTAAGGAATTGAATAAATGTTTTTACGCTAATTGAAATTAATAAAAAAAAGTCGGGTTTTCAAACTATTTAAATTGACTAATTGTTGTAAAAAGTGCATTTCATCAAATTTAATGTTTAAAATTAGAATCTTGAGATGAATTCATAATTTTAATTTGCTTATTTGAGAATATTAAAAAAATTATCTTTTGATGAGATGATGAATTTAAAATTTGAAAATTCAATCCCTTTTAGATTGTTCTTAGAATCAAGATTGTTAAATAGAAATAGAAATTCAAACTTATAAGAGAATGAATCTTTTCTGAAAATCTAAGGCAACATTTACTAACTCGTTAAATTGTAATCATCTTTATCAAATTAACTGAAGAACTCAATTTTATATTGATGATTCTTTTGATATCTTTCCTTTTTATAAATATATTTAAATGATTTTATATAATGTTCTTAATATATATATATAATATCCAACCCTCCCTCCCTATCTTTTGAGTTTATGCAACTCAATGTTGTGCAAGAACTTCTTGTTCAAGCACCATTTAACCTTAAGGCTAAGCTTATGGTTTAATTTGGTTTAGCCACTAAATAGCAGATTCAACATCCCCATTAAATACGGATAAGAATTTATATGCCTTCTTAGGATTAATATTCTTTCCATTCAAATGATAGAATTTTTAATTGAATGCACCTTTGTGTTTTCTAAATTTTTGATACTCTTCTGATGATTTCCTATTTTTGTGTTTTTCTATTGATTTTTTAATTGAATGACCACTATCTTTGTGTTTGATCCTTAAAAACTTATCAAGTATTGGTTCTAAGTTTCCTTCAAATTTCAATAATAACTTAGCTATTTTCTTTTCATTAGTGTATCCCATTTCCTTAAGTTTTTCAAATTATACTGTGAATCCTAATTCTTGGATCATTAATTCAACAGGTTTATCAAATTTCTTAAACTTTTTCTTACTTAACTTTTCAATTGATTGTTCCACATCTCCATTAGTTTTTAGTAGAAACTTCAAATTTTTCTTAACTTCATTAAATCCTTTCTCTACTAGTTCCTAATTTTTATGAAGCCATCCCATATTTTCAATAGTTTTTAATGCTATTTATCTCTTCTCCTCCTTCTTATTTTAGTTCTCATTGTAAGAAAGGATAACCTTATGAATATCACCATTATGTTTATTTAATTGATGATAATTGAACCATGGATTAGTTAATCCTTAGGCAATCAACTGTTCATGCTTCTCCAAGTAGCCAGCCTTAATTAATTTATGAATGACTTTTTGTTCTTTAAAGTTCATGATAATAATAATAAAATTATTTTATTGCTTCTACTTTTTATAAAGGCATGGTATATTAAATTCTGATAATTTTTCTGAATAATTCGGACCAAAAAAATTATATGTTATAATTGTTTTTCATATTAAACCTAATTCATCAACATGTTTTTATGTTATTTGTAATAGCATAATGTTTCCTTAAATAAGAAAATTTATATTATTCATAGATGCTTAAAGGATATAAACAATAGGCCTTTTTGAAGCTAAATATTGTATTTTTATACTTTATTTTAATTTAGACTTAAGATTTATGATCCTAATAGTTAATTCTCAATAATAATTAATCTTAATTAGATTAATAATTAAACAATAATAATATAAAAAAAAAATCAGATTGTGAATTCCGATCAATGCCCATAGGCTCAATCAAGAGGTGTCAGTTTTTCATCACATATATATATATATAATAGTATAATTTATTTCAGACAGCCAAGGGTTGTAATTCATGTATAGTCATAGACTCTAGTTCTTATTAGTCATCATATATATAATATTATTAATTTATCAGATAGGAGCGAAAGATTGGAATCATGATTAATCATGGACTACAAAATCATCACTTTATAATATAATTGCAATTTAGATCAGAGATCTTGGTGGTTAATTTCATCATTCTATTTCTAGCTTAACAAATATTTTGCATCATTCTATATAATTTTATTTGATCAGACGTAGCCGTATCATCAGAGTCTTTAAGACTGGGGCGGCAATAAATTCCTCATATTAACAATTTTATTTTTTTCAGGCAAATGCCTCAAATAATCATTTATGTGAGAATAATAGATGGATGTCTATTGAATCTCTCATACTCGTCATCGATTCATCACATATATATATATATATATTTATTATAATCAGATAATGGATATGTCGTCTTTAATTCAGAAGCAGAACTGTTATGAATTCCTCATATATATTGATTTTATTGATAACTATTATAATTAATAAAAATAATCCCAAATTAAAATATGGGTTTGGAATAATGTTTTTTTTAAATTATAAAATCCAATAAACTTACTAATAGTTAGATGATATTCAATTATAAAGTTGCATTCCATTAGTGCACAATATAGTAAAAATAAAAATGATTAATATTAAATAAAGCATATAATCAAAAGTATAATTTCTATAATTATGCTATTATTTAAGAAATAGCATGCTATTCTGAGTCTTATTGCCTTTCATATACTTTTTACTTGAATGTATCTGCTTCACTTTCTTGAGGAAAAACCAATTCTAATTTTTCATCATCCATTAAATTCATGAAGATTATTGTTTATTTTTGATCAAATGAAGTAATTAGTTTCCATTTATCTAAATGAAAGTGTAAACTATTAGTAATGATTTCTAAATTGCATAATTTAATTAATCCATCATTAAATGATAATTCATCGTAAACACGAGGATTTATAGTTTGAACGAAAGGATTCTTTAGCCAATTTTTTTAAAAACTTAAATCTAAAATTAGTAAGAATTTAATAATCTAATGAGTTACTGGAATCTTTTAGAAGATTTCTACACTTTTGGCTTATATTGATAACACAATCTAAGAAAAGTATCTATAATAGTCGATAGTTTGAGATTGGATATGTTCTTCCATTTGCCTCAATAGTTTTAATCTAATAAATGAAAGGAAAAAGTTCTAATCTTAATCTTCAAGCAACTAATTAATGATTCCAATTGACTTCAAACAATTATTTAAGGTATTTATTATTTTTTATTGTTCATCATGCATAACATTTAGTAAATTTATAATAAACATTTGCTTTTGGGATTTTGAGATTATCGATAAAGTTTCTGATGTCAGAGCCGTTTCTAATAAAGTTAAAACTGAATGATAGTGCTCTTCATTAAGACTATTTTATAAAAAACCATATTTACAAATGATTTGTATATTCATCTTAAAACAATAGATTTTCCTTAAATAAGATGCTTGAATTTAACTTTTATATGTATCCTAAGGATTGCAATGCTTCATACAATTCCTGCTTCGGAATTTCCTTGGCAAATAATTAATTATATGAAACATAGGATATGGTTTAAGTAATGGATTATAAAAAACCATTTAATCGTTCTCCCTCCTTGTTCTCTTTTTAAGTTGTTTTAAAAAACTTTGCGCACAAGTTTACTAATTCTGGGTCTTTGGTTGGCAAATAGTTTAATTCTAATGAAATTGATTGATATTTTGGAATTTCCTGTGAGAATAATAGTATGAGTATGCTAATTAGTATTCTCTTGCTAAATTTAATCTCAGCATTGAAAAAGCTTGATAAAATCAGACTACTTTATTGTTTAAGATTGTCATCTTTCTATTATAATGTTTATAGAAGAGGTAAGATGATGATATTAAAAAATAGATTATCTAAGATCTAAGGAATAAGCTAATAATTACATCAACCAAATATGGTGCTATTTGATACAAATCTTTAAAAAAGTAATACATGTTCTTTAATTCCTCATGATAGTAATCTTGATCTTTGCTCCATTTGTATAACAGTTCTTTCATAAATGCAATGTGATTTGCTAATACTTACAGAAATGGATAGCATTGAAGATATTGCAATAGTTCATTCTCCATCTAACTGTTTTATACGATCTAAAGTATTGATAATAATATATGTCTTGTGTAAGTTCGAGTTAAATTATCTTTAGCATTAAAGAAGTTCTAAGAATATAGCAGAAGTGGGAATTATGCATATCTCTAATGAAGTTATAATCAATTGTTACTTAATTAAAGAATAAATTGATGTTATCTCTTGTTACCTTATTTGATAGAATTTTAATGAAATTAATATAGTAATCCTAAGTTTCATCATTGGTTAGATCATAGTTATAAATAATAAATTCGTTTAATTAGGGTAAAGAGAGAAGCACAACAATGTTTTTTCCAATGTTTGTTCTATTTAATTTAAATAATTTGGTACATCAGCATAGAAATTTGATGCAAGATAGTATTTACTATATTGGTATCCTTAGTTGATTTCAATATTCTCACAAATTCTTCTATAATTTTAACTTCAATGAATTAACTAGATAGTATTCATAAATTTACTCAAAGAGGTCTGATTCTTTTTAATCTCCTAAGATGGCAAGTTCTGAAAGGGAAGAGACTGATTCTATTATGTTAACATTCTGCTTTAAATTATTAGAATGACGAGTAAATAAATCCATGATGTTATTAATAAAAAAGCATATAAAATAATTTACATTATAATTCAATATTGTATGTGAATTCAAGGGAACATATAGTAGCTGCAACAAACTTTAGCAAGGCCATCCTTAAGAGGTGACTCAAAGAAAAAAACTGAATACAGCAACTAAGTCCCGATTAGAATGGATACATTCAACATTATTTTTTAAGAGGACGACTAATAGAATTAGAGGTGTATATGGAGGTATTTCATTATAAATTTTAGTTTTCAGATTATTTAGATAGGTTGAGTGGTCAAAGGAAGTGAAGTTTGGATTAGGTATTGAAATCAGAGTTGAAAAATTATTAAATGGATAAAGAAATTCAGAAAGAATTGTGTGGTTATTAATTTTTAGGGGGAAGAAATAATAATTTATATAAATATTTTATCTCCAAAGATTTATTAATTAATATAAATTTCTAATTTCCTCAAATTTTCCATGGATAAAAACAAATCAAAATATACTATTCCGTCATTCATTATTAAACTGCATGCCATTTTGGAGGATTTAGTAATGAGTAATATATATAGCAAAAGAATAATTCATAAATTATTACCTGGGCCCCCCAAGGAGATGCATTTATCGTTTTAAATCCCGAATTGTTGGAACAAAAAATACTGCCTTAACATTTTAAACATAATCACTTTACTTCTTTCTTAAGACAGTTGAATATGTATGATTTTTAGAAGATTCGAAATCAGAATAATTAATAAGTTTTTTGGCATCAAAATTTTTTAAAAGGAAAAGAGTATAATTGAATAATAAATTAGACATCTCTTAGTTTTGTTAAAAAGAAGCTAGAACAAAATGTAGTAAAAACAAAAGTTAAATCATCAATGTTTTTAAAGATTCTTAATAGATGAGATTACTTCAATAAAATAAAATTTGAATCAAGATGAATAATAATTCACGCACATAATAAATTAACACGAGGTCATACTATAACAACACAAATAAATATATTTAGATTTACAATAACAAAGGGAATAAATGGAAAATAAATATGAAAAATTAACTGGATAAGTTTAAGCAATAATAAGTTTGTAAAAGGTAGATTCGACTAGTTAATACTTAGAAGGCTGTTCTTAGGAGGAAGAACAATCAGAATTTTTCTATTCCTAAAATCTCTGATAATATTTATTCATCATATTACGTATAATTAAATTTAAAATTGAAAAAAAGACGCACAATTTAAAATAAGCTTTAACAAGTTTTGTTTGTATTCTTAATTGATGGTTATATATTATAATTTGCTATTTCGGTAGAAGTATACTAAATTTAAGGATAAATTTTGGGTTATTTTTAATAATTAAATTTATGTTTATGTTTATTTTTATTGCTAATTAAATAAATTATAACTACAATCTACCTCTCTAAGAATTTAGATTATCTCTTAATTATTAGAAAGAGTAACCTAAAATCAATTCTAGGATAGATTTTAAAGATTTTTTTCACTGTTTTTTCTAGACCTAATATTTAAAAATTATGTGGCTCTTCGAGAATCAATTTCCTCAGGAGTACGAGATTCCTCATTAAATGAGTATAATTAGAGTTTTTAATCAACATTTGCCTATTAATCCTTTAGTTATTTATTTAATTCATCATAAATCTTCTTCAAATGTTTAAGATCATTTTATTCAATCCCTTTGATGTCTAACTCTATATTTTTCTCCAAAATTTGTAGATAATGTTTTTTCTAAATATCTGTATATGTAGATCTCAAACCTTTGGTTCTATTTTATAACCTAAAACTTTAAAAAATAATATAATTACAATTCAAACAGCATATTTTACTATGACTGAACAGCATTTCGATATATATCAAGATTTTCAACTAGATAATCAATATTGTCTTAAGATTATAGATTTTCATTTTTATTGAATGATTAATCCTCTTCAGATCCAGAATTCTTTTTTTAAATTTGTTTTGAGAATTTTGATTATTATAATACATCAGTTTAAGGTTGAACCAATATACGTTAACTTCCTTAGATAGAATCTGATAATAATTAAGATTAATCAAATTGAGCTTATAGATGGTGGTCTGATTCTGGAGATTTCAGCTGAATTTTGAATTGTTGTAAACTAGTTTTATAATGTTAATCATCTTCAATTAATTCATCCTATTCAATATTAGCGAGACTTTTGATATGAATGCCTGTTTACCCTCTATGAAGCTAAGATGATTAGTAGAAAATAGCAGATGGAGGATGGTGAGCAATATTGACTGTACTTTCTTAAGATTTCCCTAGATTTTTCATTGTGTTAAATTATTTTGATTTCAAAAGATGAGATTTTGATTTTTCAAATTCTTGAAGTATTTTATCTTCCATTTATGCTACTTTTTCTTTCGTCTGTTATTCTCTTATTTATTCTTCTTTTTCGGCATTAAGTTAAATCAAATTTAGTTTATTGCTAATTTCTTCTTCTAAGTTATTTATTTCTTTTGTATAAGTTTGATCAATATCTTTTATTTTTCCAGTGACTTCTAACGTATTTCCTATGAAGTTTGTCGTTTCTCTTGCTAGTTGGTCTTTAGTGAATTAAAGCAGTTGATAATTTAAGGCTATATAATTTTGTTGATTTTATTAGATAACTTTATTACTCAATTGCTATGTCAATAATTGATTCTGCAAAGCTTGATTGATAGTATTGACCTCTTTTTTATTGAATTCTCCTTTATGATATTACTTCATATGTAAATCAAACTAAGACTCTGTTGTGACCACTTTATCACAATAAAGACATTAGATTAATTGGGTGTTTATAATTTTCTACATGAATTTTTCCTTCTAATTCAATTCTAATTACAGTTTTTTTCTTGCTGCCTTTATGTTTACTTTACTTTCTAAAAGTTTTTTTTCCGTTTTTCTAATCTAGAAATTAATTATATGTTTACTTGTTCCACTATGTCTAATGTCAACTTTTCATTGTATTTTTCATACTCAATCAATTCTTCAGTGGAATGTTCATAATATTGTATTGCTAATTGGTGTATATGCAGCAATTTGGCTAGATACACAGGGTGCATAGTTTAAAAGTCTTCCAATTATATTTCAAACTAAACTTTTATTAAATTGTACTTTATAGATGAGGTTGAGATAATACTGTAACTATTCGAAATCCGTGCATCCAGAATAGTTTTGGATCTCTTTCCAAAAATTAGACATTTTTATAAAAGATTAATTTTAAATAATTTATTATTTAATATATTATGGGAAGGAATAAAATTGACATTCAATATCTTAAAGATGATCGTATAAGGAATGTAAATTTATTATTTTAATTACTTATTCTACTATTTTTAGAACCACTATATAATTTAAATTACTGCTTAATATTATTTTAGATCACATTCAATAAAAGAAAAAATGGTTTGTTGAAAAAAGCATGTGAGTTGGCTGTGTTGTGTAATATAAAAATGCTGTTGTGTTTTACAGATCTAAGTGGAAATGTATATTAATTCACCTCTACTGACAATATTGAAATGGAAATGATTTAATCTAACCATAAAAAGGTTTTCACAAAACAAGATGTACGTTAAATATCAAATATCTTAGTATCCAGGATTTCAAAAGAGAAAAGAAAGTGAAACATAATCAGAAGCAGAAAGTGAACAAAGTGTCGACTAAAAAAGAACCAGAGCTTCAAGTAAATAACAATAAATTTAATAATTGAATCATTAGTAATAACAACCTAATGGATAATAGTAAATGAGGCTGAGAAATAAAATAGAAAATGGTGAGAAAATACAATAATAATAATAATAATAATAATAACAATAATAATAATAATAACAAAATCAGTTTTAACAAGATTCAAGGAAAATGGTAAAAATGGAAAACAAATAGGAGGAGCAAGATTTGTAGAAATCCAAAATGAGAGTTAAAAATAAAATGAATAATAATGATGAAATGCTTGTTAATGACATTATCGACCATCAGTAAGCTAGAAATTTTGATGACCTATATTAATGTGGAAATTACAATGATGATTAATCAAATTCCTAATAAGATCATTAGGATTATAAATAGTAATTATCAATCTTTACTAATTCTAACCCAATTAAACTGATGAAAATGGACAGTTTACTAAATGGTCTCAATAACAGCAAACCAAATAATAATAATTTTATAAGTGAACAATATAATAAGTTTTTTAACAAAGAAAGAGTACATATTCATAATTAATAAAGATTGATTCCTTAAACAATAGTAAAGTATTACAACCTAGCGTTTAATTTATTGTTCCACCCTAAGTGTATTTTAATATTCCTCCTTCTCCTATAAGTTAAGCAATGAACAAAGTCTATGTTGGAGTAGATGAACCAATGGAATATAATTTAGGACAGTCTCAATATATGGATGGGTTTAAAAAATACTCTAAATGAAAATTTAATAATTTAAACATATTTCATATCCTAAAATAACAAAAAGATTATTTTATTCTAATTCCTTATTGTGAGTAAGATTTCTAATAGAGTATTCCATAGGCCATAAAATTTACTGTATAGATAAAAGTCATAATAATCTATATCTATTAAATATTATCTAAATGTTGAGCCTATTTCTATTCATAATTTCCTATATTTCTTTGTGTTTACCATCTTTCCCATAGTATAAATAAAATCTTCAATAATTAATAACAATTCATGGTTAATTTATTATATTTCTATAGAAGGTTAACTGCTTTACTCATAATTTATATATAATTTAATTCTTTAAGATTTTATTTTCTTGAAATCAAAATTCTAATTTAATAGGTTGATAAATACTATGTATACAGTAAATTTGTTTTTGTTATTTTATTAGCATTTTATAGACACATTATTCAATTATTCAAGATTAATATAAATAACAATTCAATGCTAGTTGATTTCAAATTTCCTTTTATTCATATGAAATTAATAAGATATGGTTATCTAATTTTTTTCAAACGAAAATACTTTCTATAAAAATAATTTTAATCATATTAGAATAAATCATTATTAAAATCGTCTGCCCATAGCTGCTGATACTATTTATTCTTATTTTAATTTTGCTTAATGAAAACATCAAATTTATAAAAAATTGTTACAAATTTCATTTTTTTAATTATTATAGAAATCTAATTTTCGACCAAAATTAGATATTATAGTTCCTTTGTATTAGATGTAGGATTAGAAAGAAGTTGGTAACTTAATTTTAATTATGTTCATTTGAACCTTTTAAAATTGAAATAAGCATATAACATGACAACTATATTAAAACGGATTATATTAATATATATTAAAATAGCTAATGTAAAAAGTCTTAGCTTTTATATTGACTATTTATTTAGTCAGCTCTGTTGATCCAAGCATGGTGTAATTGAGCACCGAGAAAATTGATGAGCTTTCTTAAAGTAATTTGGGGAGATTTATTATTGAGATGGCCCAGACTCATGCAGAAATGAGAGGTCCATTAGGTATGAGTGAGAAATAACTATAAAGATGATTTGGTGACAGCAATTGGAGATTTGGAGAATGAACTGACTGCTGAATTGCAATAATTAGAAGACGATTTTACTAGATCAACAAATCAACATCAAACAACTCAGGAAAACTTAGACATTAACATAGGTCAAACAGAGATCAACATTTTTAATGAGAAGGACTTTATTGATGCAATATTATTACCAAGCATTGATTAAACTAATTAAAAGATTGATAGATTGAATGGTTTTATAAATGACAATAGAGATTCATTAGCTAGAGAAACATTAAATAGATAAAATTAACATTAAGCTTATCTAGACAGAGGTAATATAAATAAAGATTGTAGTGAGTGAACACCAAGGAGCAATTAGTGCTGTGGATGAGGCTTTGTAATTGATCAACTCTTTAATTAATGGAAATATAGCATTCACTGAAAAAGCAACAATCCATTAGGCTGTCAAGAGAGTCAATAATAAAATCGCAAGAACCAGCACTATTCACCCAGTCGTTGAAGCCTTGCTTTAATTGACACAAAACTTCTCGGATTAAGGATAGGCCTAGAAAATTAGAGACTTGTTATAAGACACAAGAAACCAATTAGTTAGTAGTCTGAACTAAGTAATAATGAGATGCTATATGATTAGGAAAATGCTGATGAAAAATAGATTGANCTAATTTAATAGGTTGATAAATACTATGTATACAGTAAATTTGTTTTTGTTATTTTATTAGCATTTTATAGACACATTATTCAATTATTCAAGATTAATATAAATAACAATTCAATGCTAGTTGATTTCAAATTTCCTTTTATTCATATGAAATTAATAAGATATGGTTATCTAATTTTTTTCAAACGAAAATACTTTCTATAAAAATAATTTTAATCATATTAGAATAAATCATTATTAAAATCGTCTGCCCATAGCTGCTGATACTATTTATTCTTATTTTAATTTTGCTTAATGAAAACATCAAATTTATAAAAAATTGTTACAAATTTCATTTTTTTAATTATTATAGAAATCTAATTTTCGACCAAAATTAGATATTATAGTTCCTTTGTATTAGATGTAGGATTAGAAAGAAGTTGGTAACTTAATTTTAATTATGTTCATTTGAACCTTTTAAAATTGAAATAAGCATATAACATGACAACTATATTAAAACGGATTATATTAATATATATTAAAATAGCTAATGTAAAAAGTCTTAGCTTTTATATTGACTATTTATTTAGTCAGCTCTGTTGATCCAAGCATGGTGTAATTGAGCACCGAGAAAATTGATGAGCTTTCTTAAAGTAATTTGGGGAGATTTATTATTGAGATGGCCCAGACTCATGCAGAAATGAGAGGTCCATTAGGTATGAGTGAGAAATAACTATAAAGATGATTTGGTGACAGCAATTGGAGATTTGGAGAATGAACTGACTGCTGAATTGCAATAATTAGAAGACGATTTTACTAGATCAACAAATCAACATCAAACAACTCAGGAAAACTTAGACATTAACATAGGTCAAACAGAGATCAACATTTTTAATGAGAAGGACTTTATTGATGCAATATTATTACCAAGCATTGATTAAACTAATTAAAAGATTGATAGATTGAATGGTTTTATAAATGACAATAGAGATTCATTAGCTAGAGAAACATTAAATAGATAAAATTAACATTAAGCTTATCTAGACAGAGGTAATATAAATAAAGATTGTAGTGAGTGAACACCAAGGAGCAATTAGTGCTGTGGATGAGGCTTTGTAATTGATCAACTCTTTAATTAATGGAAATATAGCATTCACTGAAAAAGCAACAATCCATTAGGCTGTCAAGAGAGTCAATAATAAAATCGCAAGAACCAGCACTATTCACCCAGTCGTTGAAGCCTTGCTTTAATTGACACAAAACTTCTCGGATTAAGGATAGGCCTAGAAAATTAGAGACTTGTTATAAGACACAAGAAACCAATTAGTTAGTAGTCTGAACTAAGTAATAATGAGATGCTATATGATTAGGAAAATGCTGATGAAAAATAGATTGAAGAGACTTGGGCAGAGAGATAAAAAACATTGAACACTGAGTATTAAGAATTCAAGAGATCTCTCCTTGAAGCTACCTATGTTTTGGCTGCCTATTAAAGTATTTACATAAATAAATTTAATTTCAGATAAATTGAAATCAACTCAAGAAGCCTTGGCTTAGAATGAACTTGATTTATAAAATTACAAGGAATCCTTATGTAAACAATAAGTTTTATCAATTAGAATAGGACAAAGATGCTCAAGCCTAAGAGATCCAAATTTACAATGAATTGAAGGCTCAATATTAAATTCAACTCTAGACTACTAGAAATGCTAAAGACTTTGTGAACTCTGCAGAATTTAGCACAGTCATTAGAAACAAATTAAATTAAGGAGGATTGGCATGATTAGTGAGAATTAAATATTAATATGTAAATTACATAAAATTCGCACTCACCACCACCTGCAAAAAAACAACATCTCAAATTGCATGTCAAACCAATTTAATTGCCAGATGTAAATGTGTTGAATAAGACCGTGGGCAATTCAGATCCGGAGATTAGTAGTAAGATTATTAAGACAGAAAGAATTACAGCAATTAAGCAAAGCAAAAAGTTTCACATTAAATAAGTCTAAAACAACACTCATAATCGATTGTAAACAAATCATCCAAGACTTTTGTTATAAGAAAATGACGGTTTATCTCTAATATTGTAGAAATAATCCTTGACTACGACATCAGAGAAAATCATCACAAGTATCATCTATATATAGATAATAGAATAATTGGTCGCTGAATTGAAAAACAAAATAGATTAATAGGACTCTATTATTAGATTATAGGAGTTCAAAATTAATAGATTATAATAGGAACTGTTATCATAAAAATACTATTGCTCAAATTTATTAGCTAAAATATTTTAAAATGATCCTAAAAATTAATACATAAGTACACTGAAAGTGCCAAAACTAGGATTTTAAATTTAAGAGAACACCTAATTAAGTTCCTTATAGCCATCTTTGATAAAGCCATCAAATAATCTTGATTAAACAAGAATTAAAAATCTGCAAAATCAAATTACATCACTTAAACTGTAATAGTAAGAATTCAAAAATTTTATCAAAGATGCTTTTTTTTCATTTAAAAAGATTATTTAATCCTTTGAAACTTAATCAAGAGAAAAGATTTAAGGAGTTTAAACTGAGCATAAATTACTTTTAAGCTCTCTTGAAGAAATTATCAAAACGAATAACATGTAATTACTTGTTTTCTAATTTAGAAATAAAACAGAAGAACTAAGCAAAATCAATCAAAAGGCTGAAATTATTTGTTAAGAGTATATTCTTTCTGAAGCATAAAAGGAGGTCTACTATTAAAAATGTCTTTCATTATTAAGTTGATTTTTCATCTTATTTATTACATCAAATAGTTTTATTAGTTTAGAATATAAGATTATATAACCTGTAAATATATCTCTTTCAATATAAATAAGAAACTCTCTAAATCTCAAAGATTAATCATCATAAATATTGAGTGACATAAATAAAAATTGACTATGTGAAATGATATTCTATTTTATGCAATTTGCAATTGTTTCATAAAATAATATAAAATAATATAAAAATTGATAATTTTGTAAGAGAAATGGATTAGGGATGGGAAGTAAGTGAAGAACACTACTTAGAACATTTAATGTAAAACCCTCTATTTTTAAAGAGGTAGGGATCTTAATAAATTGATAAGCCTGCCATTTTGGCATCTTAAGAATCACCGAAAACAAGAATGAGATTTAGAACAACTTCAATGGCAAAATTGGATGAGAGCAGCAAGCCTAATTCTCCTAACAAGAAGCCAGTTATGGAACCATAAGTAAAAGTAGACTCCCAAATCAAATAATAGCAGTCCTCAATGATATTGAAAACACCTATAAGATAGCAAAAATTTTAATTATATCCTCAGAAGATATCTCTTCGGTCGACCCTATTTTAAACTCCCTTGGAGGAGAGTAGTCCAATAAAACTGGGGAGAACACTTTAGCCAAAATAATTTAATCCTGTATTATAGAATATCAATGACATTCATTACAACGGAATGAAAGGGTAAACTAGATCAGTGAAGAGTGCTTCAATGAGCAATCTTTTAAATAATGATGAGCGTATAATGTAAAAGAAGAGATTGGAAGATTTCGTCTTCAAAATTAGGCCACAAAGAAATGCTAGTATTCTGTATGTGAACTCTTAGAGCTCTCTCCAGACTACTACAGATGATATTGTACTTAGAAAAATCTAAAAATGATTGAAATATTATTTATATTTAATGACTAATTATTTATTGTAACAGATTAAGGGTAAACAAAATAAAGATTAACTTATTAATGTCCCTAAATCCGAGAGACACCCTATGTTTAAAATAATTGATTAGGAATTTGCATTGCCCTCTATGCAAAATGAATAAAAATATAATGAGTTTATGGGCCATATTAGGTAACTTTTGGATAGGAACAAGGTTAAATCTCATAACAATGTAAACCCATTAAGAATTCCTAATAATTTTATTTTGAACAAGGGCACCAAGCAAGGTTCTAGGAGAAAATTGTTTGAAACGAAAGTAAATGATGAGTAATAATAATAAAAACAAGTGCAAAATTAATAGATTTTGAGTGATCCCACGGATTCATAGACTTAAAGAGTATTGTAGTATTAATAACGGATTGGGTTGGTAAGGAAACATGATAAGACCGAGATATAATTAAGATAGATAGCTTAGAAGCATAACATAAAATGGTGAATTGATTTATTAATTATATACTTATGAATCAAATAGTTTCTGGCATTCAATTCAACGTAGGCGCTAGATACGAAGTGAAGAAATTATTAGGCGCTGGTGCCTATGGACATGTAGCCCTTGCTATTGACAAGAAACAAACTGATCCAGAGAAATAGAAGGTGGCTATCAAGAAGCTACATCTAGTAAGAGATGAGATCGACGCAAAAAGAGTGTTGAGAGAGATTAGAATTTTGAGAACAATGCAACATGAGAATATTCTTCATCTAGAGAATCTCATCTATGATGATTCCAACAAAGAGTTGGAATTTGGAGAGGTCTATTTAGTTACTAATTACCTTGAAGTGGATCTCTACAAGATTATTAAGAGCGGATAAAATCTTACTGATTAGCACTACCAATACATAATGTAATTACCATACTCCTATTTAGATATCAATTACTTAAAGGACTAAAATATTTGCACTCTGCAAGTATTGTCCACAGAGATATAAAGCCAAGCAATATTTTGGCTACTGAGAATTGTGAAATATGCTATTGTGATTTTGGACTGGCAAGATAAATAGAAGAATTGGAAGCAGAGGATAATAGATGCCAAAACATGTTGACAGAATACGTAGTGACAAGTATTAAATATCTAATAAATTTAGGGTATTATAGAGCTCCTGAAGTAATGTTATCATCTCATGAATATTCAACTGCAATTGATATTTGGTCATTGGGATGCACATTTGCAGAATTAATTACAAAGCAAATTTTATTTAAAGGAACGAATTATATATAAATGATAAAGTTAATTTTTGACACTCTAGGTAAACCTTAAGATGAAGACTTATAATTTATAACTAATAGTAATGCAAAGAAATATGTGAATAGTCTCTAGACAAAAATGAAATGTTCAATTGGCAGCGTAATCAAATATACAAATCCACATGCAATTGATTTGTTGGATAAAATGCTAGAAATTAATCCAAAGAAGAGAATTACAAGTGCTGAGGTAATAATTTTAATTAATTCCTAGGCGTTAAATCACCCATATTTAGAATCAATTAGAGATCCTGATGATGAACCTTCATTTGAAGGACACCTAGATTCTCAGTTTGAAAATGATAGCACCATATTATTAAAAGATTTGAAAGTGTTAATCTTAAATGAACTCAATTTGATGAAATAAATTAATAACGAACCTCTGATTAATATTTAATTAGAAGTAGAAAAAAGGGAATAGATAGTCAAGATAAATCAATAAAAGAAACAATAATTGAAACAACAACAGTAATAATAATGAAGAACTAATTGAAACATATAAGTTATTAATTTGTTTAATCATAATATTATCTAATAGTGCTTTATAATTAAGTATTTGATATTTTAAATTATATGATTTATTCAGAAAATGAATGTTATTGTTTTTGATTAAATAAGAATAGAGGAGGTTTAGATTTAGAACTATGTAAAAAGTATATAAATTGGATGTAAATTTCTTGGTGTAATAAAATTAACAGAAAATTTTAGTAGTATTAATAAATTAAATTTTGAAATGGCAGATCTAAAATTCAAAATTCCTCCATCCAAATCCTTAGAATAGGAGAAATAAAAATTGCTTAAAGAGAAAGATGAGATAGTTTATAGATTTGAATAATAATGGATAAAGGATTTAGAAGAACCAGGTAAATACAAAAAAGGAATCAGGATAAAAAACTATGTTGATGGAAGTAAGTATGAAGGGGAAGTTATTAATGAAAAAAGGAACGGGAAAGGAATTTATCATTATAGTAATGGAGATAAATATGTTGGAGAATGGAAGGATGATAGGTAATGTAGATTGAATAACTTAGATTCCATGGAAGAGGAGTCTATATATTTGCAAATGGAGAGAGGTATGATGGGGAATTGAGAGAGAGTGCAAAACATGGAAGAGGAGTGTATTTGTATGTGAATGGAAATAAGTATGAAGGAGAATGGATGAATGATAAAAAGAATGGAAAGGGTTCTTACACTTACTTTGCAACAAATGAGAAATACGATGGACAATGGTTAGATGGAGAAAAACATGGAACCGGTATGTACATATATACTAGTGGTGACAAATATTATGGAGAATGGAGAGACGGAGAAAAGTCTGGCAAAGGTGTTTTTGAATATTAAAATGGATCAAGATTCGAAGGAGAGTTTTTAGAAGACAAGGCCAATGGTTTTGGAGTTATGCAATATTCAAATGAAGATAGATATGAAGGAGAATGGACTGCAGGATAGAAACATGGTTAAGGAACCTATTTTTATGCAGATGGAGCAAAATATTAAGGAGAATGGAAGAATGAGAATCAGAATGGACATGGAATATTTTATTATGTCAATGGTGATAGGTATGAGGGAACTTTTGTTGATGGTGAACGTTGTGGCAAAGGAATCTATTATTATTTGAGTGGAGATAAGTATGAAGGAGAATATAGGAATGACGTTAGAAATGGGTAAGGAGTTTTGATGTTGACTAATGGTGATGTGTTTATAGGAGAATGGGCTAATGGAACTAAGAATGGTTAAGGAAGATATGAGTATGCAAACGGAGATTAATATGAAGGGTTCTTTTAGGATGGTAAGAGATAAGGGAAGGGAACTTATTATTGGAAGAATGGATAGAAATATGTTGGGTTGTGGAAAAATGATAGAATGGAAGGAGAGATAGATCCTATAGTTGCCATCAAACAAAGTAAATTTTCGAATGATTACTTAATTGATGTTTGAATTAACTTATAATTAAAATCTTTATAATAGTTCAATAGCAGCTATCCTATCTGATGTTTTTGAATTTTAAAAGATGTCTACATCTCAATAATCATTATATTAGCAATCCCCAACATGATTATAATTATTAGTTTTGTACAAGATATCTAATAACCATATATTTCATTCAATATAAAAATCCTTTTATAAAATTAGTTACTCCTTTTTTGAATAACAAAAGCAATTCCATTTTGATTTACAAACACTATTAAATTTTCTCTCCAACAAAATGCCAATAAATTTATATGCTACAAACATATCACTTAAATTGATAAAAACTTAAATAAAACAGTTCTTCAAGAATGTCTTAAATTATAGCTCATTTTCAAGTAAGATGAATCTATGAAGATAAATCTGCAATAATAAATGAACAACTAAAAAAAGTTCTAAGTTTGAATATATTATTATTATTATTAATTTTCATGAGTCTAACATTACTAAATAAAAAATATTAAGCGTTGATGCTTAGGGAAAAGCAAATCGAAGACCACTTTGATCCTGTAGGCAGACACAAGAAATAGCATCATAATATTGAAGATCTTCGTTAAGATTATTAGGAAGACTTAGAGAACTACGGTATTTATTTATTGATATGATTTCCAAGGATTTTCCAAATAATCTTTCAAGGCCAAAAAGGAATAGGAATTAGAAAACCTATAAATAACTCCTGAAAAATAACTAAGGCCAATGACTGCTCTAATATCGCCTGTTCAGAGTTCGGCATAAAGATAAAGACCAATTACAGCGCCAGGTCCCAACACTTAAACAAAATAAATGATGAAAATAGACGAAAATGAAGAAATGATTTAATTGCCTTATCAATCAGAGACTAAATATTGGAGAAACACAAAAAAATATGATAAAAGTTTCATATTATTAATATATTTATAGCTAATCAGAATGTTGTTAGAAACCATTCAGCTTTGAAGAAGGTGTCATTAGGAGGTGATTGTGAAAATTTTAATATTGAAGAAGAAGAGATCAAAAATCATCATATGATTGAGAAATAAATTGTTAAGAATCGCCTACTCTCCCCAACTTTTGTTTCACAAAGACATCAAATAAATGATAGAGACGTCTAATAATTAACCGAGGGCTTCTATTAACATGTGGCTTTAATAAAAGGCACTTCCAAAATATAGGCGAGTAAAGCATAACAAGGTTTCCAATTATATGATAATCTGCTTGACTTGATGAAAATTATTCAACAAGAAAACTCCAATAAAAGTCCAATAATTACAAAAACATCCTCCCAGGGATTCAGACCTTAAACTGGGGTGAGTAGATAAATCAAGAGCAATCAAAGATCTAGACCTTTCAGTGGTAAACTTCAATCAGTAGGTGTTAGAGCATTTTAATAATGAAACATTTTTTCTCCTAATATTTAATAATCTTTTACTGAGTTCTATTTTATAGAACAAGGTTAATATTTAAAAATTAAATTATAAATTTCATACTCATTTAAAGTAACAATTAGATTGATACATTTAGTTATTAGTGTATCTTTGTAATTTTGATATCAATATTATTGAAACTAATATGCTTCTCATATGTATTTCATCGAAACGTTAGATGTACAAAGAAAAATACAGTTTTTATTGATTAATTATAGAGAGACATTATTGAAATTAATAAATAATATAATGAACTTCTTAGATAAGAGAAATAAAATAGAGATTCTTCAAGAGAGAGCTGCTCTTTATAATAAGGCGTAGGATGAACTATATGAAAAGGAAGTTCCTGAATTCGAACATACAAAATTAATTAAACCAGTTTTAGATTAGCACATTGAAGAGTTTGCTACATAATAACCTCCTGCAAATCTTAATAGTCTAACAAGATCATTGCCTAAGCCTCCTGTTTCAGTTTTGACTACTTCTGCATTGATTTCATTAGGGCTTGATAATTATGGGACTATGACTACACAAATGTAGGATGTAAATCGTAAAAGGGAGGACGATTTTAACCATTACAAATAACTAAAAAAGGAAGGGAGATTAGAGGAACTCGTGAAACCACTAAAATAACAGAAGGAAAAAGATTAAGCTACTTAAGCGATTCTATTCAAGGTAGATCATATTAAAGATTATGAAGATAAAACTCATACAGGATATGGCTAACATAAATCAGCGCATAGAACATATTATGGTATTTGAGATATGGTATATGATATAGTTGTTGATGAGACTATGAAGGAGATGATCAATGAGCCAAACATAAAAAATCATCTGATGAAAAATGACTTAAATACATTCTTCGACTCTTACCTCAAACACAAAAATACTTTAAGAGGGGCAGTGAAGCAACCTGCTCGTGCAAAATGAATAAAATTAAGTTCATATTATATAAATGTTATTAAAGAAAGTTAAAACTAAATTAAAATAAATTTAGAATGATATTAAACAGTTGTAAGTGATATGAACAATTTGTTGGGCGTTGAGAGATTTTAGATTTGCTATTGCAGTAATTTATACAAGTTAATGAAAATGAATGATAAAAATTCATAAAATTGTACAAAGACAAGGAGATTCTTGAGTTGCCATATCAGTGTTGTATTATTTCCAATTTTCGACTATTGAAATCAATTCATCTAATACCTATAAACACTTCGTTCTTCTCTCTAAATTAAATCCGATGCTGTTTTTGACCATGCTTTATATAATTCCCATAGCTGTCTTTTCTAGTATCTATATCCCCATCTGATAATGAGTGTCTGATTTTGAGTATAGGAGTCAATTGTTTGGGTGACTCACTATTATAAACTGATTGATTTATTCCAAATCTCTAATAATAATTTGATTCAGACATTTTTTTATTATAAATTATTTGATTTATTCATAAATTTGCGAGTTTCCACCATTTATCAATGAATGGCTTGGATAATTCCAAAAATTTCTTCAAATAGCCTTTCTTTTAGGCTACTTTCATAGCAATAAGGAAGGAAATAAAGAGGGTGGCATTAACAACATGTCTTTAAGGCAACTCAGCAAATTTGAAACTAATAGATAAATATACTTTTAATACAATAAGGATAAGGTTTGTAACTTATGTTTGGTAAATGGAGGATATCTAATATTGAATGGATAGATATTTAATGTAGACTTACTAAAAACTGGTTTAGCATGACTACAACCTTTGAATCCTGTAATTCCATGATAGGCTCCATATCCACTATTTCCAACACCTCCAAAAGGTAAATTGGGATCTAGAATGAAATTTAAATTTACTCAAAAGATGGAAAACTGAATCATTGAATACTAATGCACCTGAAGATGTTTTTTATTCAAGCAGTCTTTTATGATGGCTATTGCTTCCATAATAATATAAAGCCAATGGTTTTGGTCTTGAATTGATAAATTCAATGACTAGATTAATATTCTCAAATAGGAGAATAGGAAGAATTGGACCAAAGATTTCTTCTGTCATTAGTTTGGAGTTTACTTTTGGTTATAAAATGATGGTTGGTTCAACATATCTTTGGTTGACATTCACTTAACCTCCTACGACTACTTATCCCTAATGGTCTTTGAGGAGTTCTTATAATCTTTATGTGTGGAACTCAGTCACAATTTTTGAATAATCATTGGAATTTTAAGAGTTTTCTCCAAAGAATCTTTTCAGTTCAGTCTTCAATTCGTTAATAAAAACATCCTTAATTGATTCATGAAGAAACACATAATCACAGGCAACACAAGTTTGACCTGCATTTGTAAATCTCCCTTAAATAATCCTTTGAGCTGTAACATTCAGATTACAATCCTGATCCACTATGGTAGGTGACTTACCACCCAATTCCAATATACATGGCACTAAGTTTTCACTGGCAGCCTTTGCAACCAACTTGCCTTTCTCTGGACTTCCTGTGAATATAATTAAATCTAATGGGAATGTAGTAATCTTTTTTGAGACTTCTACACCTCCTTAAATAACTGCATAGAAGGATTAATCAAGATATTTAGTAACTAAATCGTACATTGCTTTTGAAGAGTGTGGAGCAAATTCTGAAGGTTTAAGAATCACACAATTTCCAGCAGCAATTGCAGCAGCCATGGGAGGTATTCCTGTGTAAAGAGGATAGTTCCATGCAGCAATAACCAGAACAACTCCCAGAGGTTCATATATTATTTTGGATGAGCCAGGACCAATGACCTATCATATAGAATTAGAATATTACAAATGGTGTATCTACGTTAACTTCCTGACTCCATTCATCAATATGTGCCAATTGGTTCTCCACTTCTGCTTTGGTGATGATGGTTGAAGTCATTTAACTACTAAACATTGTCACACCTAGATCCTTTTCCAAAGCAGTATGAAATTGCTGTTCCATCTCTTCAAGACCTCTTAGTAAATTTTTGAGTTGAGCCTTTCTAAATTTAACACACTTTGTCTGATGAGTACTAAAGGATTCCTTCAACTTTTTGAAAATTGGTTCAATAACATCGGGATTATCTTGTATTTAATCCATCAAAATAATTAATTTAATGATAAATCAGCTTGATGACTAGATTTTTAAAAAGATGATTGATTAAACAAGTCCCTAATCAGTTACTACCCAAAAATTATGTTTGAGATTAGGATACGATCCCAATGATCTCATCTATAAGTCTAATTGCAAATTCTATCTTTTTAGATCCATTGAGTAGTTCCCATCGGTCTCGCCAGAAGTCCAAATGATGAAATACAATCATTATAAAAATAGGATAATGAGTATAATCTTTGAATATAAAAAAAGGGATCATTAATGAAATATAGGCAACGAAACAAAGACACAAGTTAGGAGATCAATCTCTTAAGTAAATTTCTTTCAATCAATAGGAGAACAAGTTTTAACTCTTTATTATTTTAGTTTCTCAAATCTCAGTGAAGAGAGTGTTATTATTGAGGAAAAAAAGGAGAAAAAAAGTTTATCAAGATAAAAAATATTGCACAATCTAATTTATTAATAATTGCAAGAGGAAAAAAGGAATGTTGAGTATTTATAGAAACAAAATTCAAAATTGCATCATCATTAAAATCCATAATAAAGAAAAAGTGAAACTAGTTTTACTAAAAAGAAGGAAAGAGAAAGCAATAAAAATAAATCAAGTGAAGAGGTGGATGAATTAGAAAAGAGGAATCAATACTTTATTACATGCGTTGAAAATGAATCCAGGATCCAAGAATAATTGTAAGGCAGATTTTTAAAAAAGAATTTTAAGCATGATAATTATACTGAAAGAGCACATGAGAAAAGGAAATAATAGGAGACTTTATTTCAGTAAACTATTACTGAAAGATTGAATAAATTGCAATTAAAAGGTATGAATGTTTTAATCAAGAAACCTAGGCTCAAACAAAGGTGGAATTATACAAAAAAGATATGAAAAACTATTTTGCCTTTAAAAATAGTCAAATCATCAATAAATAAGAAAAGAGGTCTCAATTACTTGAATTTGAGTAATAACAATACATTAAAGAATAATATGAGAAAATGAAAAAGTTCTAAGAAAACAAATCCCAATTGACTCAAGAGGAGAAGAAGAAATTTAAGGAGAGAAAGGAGAAGTATTCCAAAATGCTAAGAAAGTGTTAAGAAAGCAATTTTGAATAATAAAATGTATGAATATTGTTTAAATTAGAAACATTAAGAAGGGTTCAGCAATACTTATTAGCAAATACTTTAAAAACAAGAATAAGTACTTTTAAATAAAGAGAGGTTGCTAGAACAGAAATCTCTTGTGTTGAAAGATAAATTATAATTGAATTTCGAAGATGTTGAGTTTAATAGAGCTCATGCTCAGAGGATTAAATTAAATACATAAGTTAAAACAAATGGAAATAAGGATACGAAGTCACAGATATCAAGTCGGACATCTGATACTTGGAGAATGAAAACTTAGTTGACTCAAAAAGAATAGGAAAATTCATTATGGGAAAAAGCCAAGTAGGCGGCATCCTTGTTTAAAGATCCAATTCAATATGAGCAATATGTTGAACAATAATAAATGATTTTGTTAAAAAAAAAAAAGTCGTTAGATAAAAAGTTTGCTTCGGCTGCTACTATAATAAAGGAAATATTACCTAAGCATGAGGCCGAGAAATTACTTATGCCAACAGGGTTGAAAAATTTTATAGAGCAATAAAGTCGTATCAAAACATAAAAATGAGTAATAATTTTTGTTTATTTCAAAAATATTAATGATTAAACTAACGGAAAAGTGAGCGGAATCCTTAATTAAGGCTCAAGTATAAATTTATCAATTGGTTTTAAATAAAATTATATAGGTTTAGTAATCATTTATTAATGGTAGTGTCATATCTGAACTTAGGTATTTCTTTACTGCATTTTATTGTGGGTTCCTTCAAAATAGGCTGCTTTAAAATGGATAATATAGTTCCCTTCTTTTTGGTAACCAATGCGAAGGACTTACATTCTATTTCTTAGAGTAATTATTCTGTAGTAAACTTTGTTTTTAAAGGATTTCCTTTTTGATCTGCAGAGAATACTTCGTAAGTCTCAGCATTTTCATTTATATCTTAATCATAATATATTTGAGTGAAATAATCAATAGCAGTTTCGATGGCCTGAATCATTAAAGAATCAGGAGTAATTTCAATTTATACTTATAACAGTTTGTTGGCAACTTTCAAACTAAAGTTATATTAGCTTAATTGCATTTCCGTCATGTATGCCGATTCAGCAAGAGTTGATGAGGTGGCCTTCAAGTTTTACTTAGACATGTTTTAAAAATTGCTAATAAAATAATTATATATATAAATCAGTCTTATTATTCAAAATTAGAAATAAAGCTTAGATCATTATCGATAAGTTATTTTTTATTTTGTTTGATATCTATTTTTGAAACATCAACACTGAAAAGATCATTCCCAAATTCTTAATGATCATTTTTATTTTATTTTTTACTCTATAATTCAGCTAATAATAATTGAATTTCATTTTTAGTCTAAATATAATTAAAAATATTACGATGGCCACAACTGATTATTTGGGTGGTTAATTAAAAACAATGTTATTTGTATTTGAAAAGTATAAGAATGGATTGCTATATGATCTTTTGATGCCCTTTTTTTGAAGAGGTTTTTCTTCTATTTATTTCATTAATTGCAACTTTTTGACATTACTGAACTATCACTATTTAAAAAGTTATTTACATCTAATTTTTTAAAATAATCATTAAACATAGACATTAAAAATGCAATGCATTCCTATTTTGTCATATCGTAATATTGAAGTATTTATCCTTATTATTATTGATAATTCAATTTTTTTAATTATTGAGTATCTCCTCTGGCTGTTTGACAAATATATCTGGCATGCTCTTCTGAGGAGGAATCATTTATTTCTAATTGAGGAAGAATAGGCTTTTAAGTAATAGCATTTTATTACTTTTAGGCCTAATAATATTAGTTATTTTATTATTAGAGATCTTTTGAAGATTACTTAATTTCATATTCATTGATTTTTTGCTATTAAGTTTTCATTGTGGATGATTATTAAGAATTAGGTTATGGTTTCTATTGAAAGCGTGGACTGAAGATATTAACAGCAATGTCCTATTCTTAATTAAGAACAATGGAATTGAATGTAGTTTTTCTACTTCTCAATTACTCCATTAAACTTTGGGTTTGTTTTTTATAAAACTACAACTCGATCTGTTATTTTTCATTTCTTTCATCTTTCAACTGATTAGACTTGATGAGCAGTTCATTTGTATCTAATATGGAGTCATACTTTGAAAGTAGTGTATTATACAATTATCGAATATGAATGTTGGCGTTTTTTTCTTTTTCAAACAATTCTTTAAATCCTTTGACCATCATTTCCATCTTATGCAATTTTTCTTAATATATCATTCTCTCATTTTTGCTTAAATATTTGAGTTACTAAGGTTCTGGAGAGAACCCATATCCTAAACCATTGGTACCATATAATTCTTGATGCAGAGACTCCAATTTCCCTCTATGATTTTAAACTTCTCTGTTCAGATCCAAATTGTCATCAGTCTTATCAAGAAACTCTTTGTAAACAAAATCTAGTCTTTATCTAAACATTATTACCTTTCATACACTAATAATTTGTTTAACTGCGTAGGACTATTCTCATTTTAAAGATTTCTCTCTTCAAATGCTATTTTATTAGATTAAGACTATACATAATTGACTTCTCTAAGTGTATTATTGGTTTCTGTAATGGATTAAGCTTCGTTAGTAATTTTGTTAAGCAAATTTCGAACATTTTCTAATTCTTCATGCAATTTTAAATTCTGCTCAGAAGGAGTGACAATTTCAATTTATTTTACTAATTATCCTTCTCTTTCTTAGATAGGTTTCATCCTCTCCAATTCCTGGATTGCATATTCCTTATCATGGATATTCCTTTTCAAGTCTATTAACTTATATTCTAAATCGCCTATTAAATCTTTGTAATAGTTTTGCTGTTCTTCTGAAATCTATTCTTGTAGTAGTAACTTCGTTTATAATTATTAAGCTATTTTCTATTGATTGGAGAATCCTTTCATGAGTTTCTCATTTTCTTCATTCAATAATTTTATTACACTTTCCAATTAAGAATTCTGATAATTCGTGTAACACATGGACATTGTGCTGGAATCACTTGTCTATTTAATGATTCAAACGCATTCGTACCTGACCTCGCTTGTTCATTCCATCCATAGTAAGTGCCATAGCTTACTTATTTAGTTTTAAGGCATTTTCAAGATCAATAATATATTCCTGCAATTGCTTGTTCTCTTCTTAGAGGTAATGAATTTTAGATTGTTGTCTATTTGAAACAAACTCGTTAACTTCTGTTCCCAAAATCATTTTTTTCTATTTAATTAATTAATAACAAATGGGTAGCATAAGTTACAACAGAGACATAAAAAGAGGACAACTTATTAATTGCAAGTTTTAATTGCATCCAACTATTTATTTAAAAAAAAACGATTATTGTCTGTGTAAATGCTTGTTTTAATGTGGAGGAGCATCCAATTTTGTAAACATATAGGATTATTCTTAACTTCCCATTTAAACATTTCAAAGGCTATATGAAAGATTGTTTTCTAAAGATGGAGACGAATTTTATAAATTAAGAAATATGGTGTGTTGTAAAACCTACAACATGAGGATAGTTCTATAAAAAAATGAGCCATCAAAAAAACAAATGAAGTCTGCCTTAGCTCTTTTAGATCGATTAAATCTGTATGGTTAAGGATAAAATATAGACAATAAGTAAAAACTCTAAAAAGAGGTTCTTAATTAGATAGATTTGTAGCAAAATATCTAGGTCAGCTAATAAAAATAAATTAAATATGTATAAATTCATAATCAAGAGAAAAATAAACTTTTTGACATAATAAATTCATCTATTTTACTATGTAAATCCTCTTTTGAGGAACTAACTTAGACACAGAATTTAAATTTTACCTTAAAAGAAACCGATTTGAAGATATTCCAACATTTAAATAAAACCAAATTTTATTCTAATGCAAATCTATTGTTATTTCATTAAAATCAAATCCCTATGAAAAGTAAAAACTATTCCCTTTATCAATTCAATGAATTCTTAGGAATTGCTTTAAAACAAAATTAAAAAGAGAATGAATTAACTGTTCAATAAAAACCAAAAGGATTCTTAACTCTAATAAACATCAAAGAGTAAATTCAAACTGTAAAATAATAAGAATCAAATTAAAAATAACAATTAGCAAATTAAAAATAATAATAGAAGCCTAAAAAATTTATTTAGAAAAAATAAAAACAATAAAGTAACATAAAAACTAAAAATTTGATAAACTCTGAAACCTTCACATTTGAGCAATTTTAGGTTGGCCCTCTTGTTATCACTATTAAGTATTCATATAATTTGATAATTTTAGAGATTTAAATTCAAATAGAGACATAATTGACTTTATATATTAGTATCATAAGGTTGTGCATGATAGACCAAATACTGATGAGGAAATCATAAAAATGTATTGTAGAAACTACTTAAATACTAATACATTTTTAGAAGACTTCCAAAAAAATATTAAAATATAATTAGGCCAAAGATACATGGAGTATAAATTAAATGGTAAATTAATTGCATTGGGTGCTATTATATTAACTTAAGAGTATTTTGTTTCGGAATATTTTTTCTATCTTCCTGAGCTGAAAAACTTTAATATTGGAGTGTTTTCAATTTTAGTTGAAATTGAGTATGCAAAACAGATTCAGAAATATTTCCCAAAATTCAAATATCACACACTTGGCTACACTACATTAAGGACAAAAAAGATGGAGTATAAATTACAATTCAGTGGCACTGAAATTCAATGTCCGGATTCGTACATTTGGACTGAGTACAATGATTAAGTTAAAGCCAAAATGATAAGCTAAGATTTTAAAATCGATATTCCTATGCAAGTTCCACCATTAGACTTCTCAAAAGTCACAGTCTAGCTCTATGGTATGAATGTAAAAGCAAATCTCTTATGCGATGATTAAAACTAGGATGAAATCTCAAAATATTTTTTATTCTATGCTTAAGAGTTAGGAAATGAACTTATGTATGATTTCAGATTTATCTATAATGAGGAAATATTTTAGAGTTGATACCATTATTACACATTTATTATTAAGGCTATAAAACATATTTAAATTGATTCAAGTTTGTTGTGAGGGTAAATCATTGATTTATTTGATTCAAATTTGTTGAATCCATTATATTTAAATTTTATTTCAAATTTTATCATTTAAATGATGTGAAATCAAATTTACGATATATTTTTAACTTATCTCATTTCAAAACTATATTTTATATTGATTATATTGTGAAATAAAAATGGGATGCTGCTGTTTGTATACAAGTACATAAACATCGAATTCTCTCGCTTAATAGAATTAGCAAGAAAGTAAACATCATTGTTTAACATTATTGAGAGTATTGAAGTCAAATAAATCCTCTTGCTTATATGAATGTGGCAAATACTAATATATTTATTATCTACATCCAATAAATAATTTCAATATCGAGACTATGGAACTTCTACTTGAAAGAGGATTTGTGAGAAATGCTAAGTATTATCGAAAATACAATCACATCTAATCTTGTTGTGTAGGCTATAACACAAGGGTTAACATATAAGAAAATTAGCCAAAAAAAAAATAGAAGACCATCATTGACACCTTCATTAATTCTGTTATCAAACAATATCCCAAAGTTGATTTGGAGGGTTATGCTCATTTAAATTAGGAAAATGATTATCCTTAATAAATGAACAATTAATAAAATAAAAAGCAATTGAGAAAAGTTTAAAAATATATTCCTTTGGAAGATGTTCAAGACATAATGAATAAAGTCTAGTAAGAACTAATAACATGTAGCAGATTGATAAATGAGGAGATCGATTTGATTCTAGATTTTTAGATCAAAGATTAATAACAATTAAAGATTTTTGGGAACTCTGAGGATCTTGGCTATTACACAAATCACAACCTAATCTTGTTTGATTAAAATATACAGGCCTTGAAATCAATTTAAATGGTCCAATAGTAATTTAATTAAATGATAGGTGCTAAGTTAAATGACAAAGTTATCCTGGATAAGTATAGACTATTGTAGAATAAGAATGGTTATTTTAATATTGTGCATCTTAGAAGTGAAGAGGGAATATAAAAAAACAATAAGAAATAGGGCAATAATTCAGAACTAAAAAACAAGCAAATGAAATAACTTAAATAGGAGTAAAAAGAAATTTAGAAATCATAAGTTATTAATATTATCGATGATAAGTCATTTACAGTGAATGATTTTAAGATAGGCGAAATGAGAGTGTCAATAGTGTATTAAAAATGATTAAAATAGAGATCCCTACACGAGTGAAGAAAACGCGAAGCTTTATATAGATTACATGGAAAAAGTTCATTCTTAAGTTTCAAATCTTCAAAGTTTTCAAATGTATTACTCAACGCGCATTCTATTGAAGGATTAATTCTTATATAATTAAGGCGCAAATGTAAAGTTGAACTTAGGTTAAAGGTTTATGGAATATCGTATACGGGGAAAATTGGTTGGATGCGGAGTAATTATTTTAACGAGAAATCAATTGCTGTCTGAATATTTGTTCTATGATCCTATTTTAAAGCCTCATAGCTTTGGAATTGTGGCTGCTTTTGTGGAAATTGAATATGTTAGAAAAGTCAACAAGTATTTTCCAGATTTCAAATATTCGTCTTTGAGTTACGTGATTGCCACTTGCAAAGCGATGAATTACAAATTGTAATTTAGAGGTTTGGAAATTCAGTGTCCTGATTCATATATTTGGTTGAAATACAATAAGGAATTGAAGAAATTGATGTAGAGCAATTGTTCAAGGTTGAATAAGGAGAGATCAAATAAGATGAATTAAAACTCAGTTTTTTCGTATGTTTAGATATCAGTTTAAAATGAATTTCATGATATCAACCAATTAGATCCCTAGACTTAGATTGGTGTAGTGGAAATCTTAGAAAAGAATAAGGATGTGCTTGGGGAAGATTTACTCAAGGGGTTGACGTTCTGTATTTGAGTGATGATTTTGAGGAAAAATCATTTTAAATATTTTACTTCATCATTTAATTAATTAATAATTCAATCTCAGTATAGTATGGTAAAATTTGTTTACTACTATCCATCAATTAACATGTCCAATTTTAATGTTTAATTAAAATTTGATAATGAATGTTTTTTTTTGGAATTAATAAAAAAATCATTCTTTTCTTTTTCTCAATGCAATTTATCATAATTTGGTCTAAAGCAAAATATTAAATATGAAACATAACAAATAATAGAGTCACTACGTTCTGGACTTTTCAGATATAGAAGACATCTCGGATAATGAGTCGGAGAGTTCTAATAAGTCGAATCAACAATAATAAATAAATCAAACTACTCCAACTCCAAACAGAATAGAATTGCAGATGCCTAACTTGCAAGTGAAAAAAGAGACAGTCGAAATTCCATCCATCTTAATACAAGAAGAGGAAGAACCGGTAATAAGGAGAAAGTTGGATTTTTAAAATTAACAATGGTAGGTTAATTTTGATGACTTGTCGGAACAAGATCAACAAGAGAGTGACAGGTCAGAAGTTGCCATTGAAATACCGAGAGACCCAAGTCCACCTACAGTAGCAGTTGAAGAACCTTAATATATTGAACAATATTTTGAAGATCAAAATGTGATTGAAGAGATAGATATTGAATAAGAGTAATTGAAAATGGAGTAGAGGAAGGAACAATTGAAACAAGACCTAATAACCAAAAAATAATAACAATAAAAGCAGATTCCAAAGGTTCAATAGGTTTAAAAGGATTAATAATAAGGCTAGGAAATAAACTAATAAAAAAATAAAAATTCTGAGGATAAATCAAAGTAAGTACATAAATAGAAATTTTATAATCCAAAAAATTCATTGATTTATTTGAGATTAAAAGGAAGGGAAGATTTATATAAAAAATAGGAGTATGTAATAGATGAATAGACCAAACCTTAAGATTAGGATGAATTATTAGAAGGACTGGAGTGCATCAATAATTTATTGATTGGATTATCTAAGATAAAAGATAAGAAGGTAGGTGTTGTTGAGAAGTAATAGAAGATATTACCATTGTAAATCTAAAAACATAGATTAGATGAAAAAGGAGATCATCACAAGGAGTCGAAACTTCAAAAGAAAGATGTAAAAGAAAAAGAAAAAGAAAAGGACAATGAATAATAAAAGTAGAATACTAAAGATGCTCAAAAAAAGGATCAATAACAAACTGAATTAAATATCAAATAGTAATAGTTACAAGAAGCACAATAAGCTAGATAGATCAGACATGAAAAGTAATAGTAGGAGAAGGAAAAGTAACGACTATTAGAATAAAGGCAGGTTTATAAGATATTAACAAAGAAGTAAGTTAACTAGGGATTAGTTCTTTACAAGTGCTTATTAAGATAAAAGTAAAAGGACTCCATAAAATGGTTAAGATATACAGNCCATCAATTAACATGTCCAATTTTAATGTTTAATTAAAATTTGATAATGAATGTTTTTTTTTGGAATTAATAAAAAAATCATTCTTTTCTTTTTCTCAATGCAATTTATCATAATTTGGTCTAAAGCAAAATATTAAATATGAAACATAACAAATAATAGAGTCACTACGTTCTGGACTTTTCAGATATAGAAGACATCTCGGATAATGAGTCGGAGAGTTCTAATAAGTCGAATCAACAATAATAAATAAATCAAACTACTCCAACTCCAAACAGAATAGAATTGCAGATGCCTAACTTGCAAGTGAAAAAAGAGACAGTCGAAATTCCATCCATCTTAATACAAGAAGAGGAAGAACCGGTAATAAGGAGAAAGTTGGATTTTTAAAATTAACAATGGTAGGTTAATTTTGATGACTTGTCGGAACAAGATCAACAAGAGAGTGACAGGTCAGAAGTTGCCATTGAAATACCGAGAGACCCAAGTCCACCTACAGTAGCAGTTGAAGAACCTTAATATATTGAACAATATTTTGAAGATCAAAATGTGATTGAAGAGATAGATATTGAATAAGAGTAATTGAAAATGGAGTAGAGGAAGGAACAATTGAAACAAGACCTAATAACCAAAAAATAATAACAATAAAAGCAGATTCCAAAGGTTCAATAGGTTTAAAAGGATTAATAATAAGGCTAGGAAATAAACTAATAAAAAAATAAAAATTCTGAGGATAAATCAAAGTAAGTACATAAATAGAAATTTTATAATCCAAAAAATTCATTGATTTATTTGAGATTAAAAGGAAGGGAAGATTTATATAAAAAATAGGAGTATGTAATAGATGAATAGACCAAACCTTAAGATTAGGATGAATTATTAGAAGGACTGGAGTGCATCAATAATTTATTGATTGGATTATCTAAGATAAAAGATAAGAAGGTAGGTGTTGTTGAGAAGTAATAGAAGATATTACCATTGTAAATCTAAAAACATAGATTAGATGAAAAAGGAGATCATCACAAGGAGTCGAAACTTCAAAAGAAAGATGTAAAAGAAAAAGAAAAAGAAAAGGACAATGAATAATAAAAGTAGAATACTAAAGATGCTCAAAAAAAGGATCAATAACAAACTGAATTAAATATCAAATAGTAATAGTTACAAGAAGCACAATAAGCTAGATAGATCAGACATGAAAAGTAATAGTAGGAGAAGGAAAAGTAACGACTATTAGAATAAAGGCAGGTTTATAAGATATTAACAAAGAAGTAAGTTAACTAGGGATTAGTTCTTTACAAGTGCTTATTAAGATAAAAGTAAAAGGACTCCATAAAATGGTTAAGATATACAGAGATTGCATTAATAAGCAAAGGTGAAAGTGAGATCTTCAATTTTGAAAAGAGACTATCAGATCAATTATTTATGTAATTGCACAAGGCCAATATGAGATCAGTGGTAATGACAAAATAAGCTATGTTTGATGTAGTAACTATACATTATGTAACTGAATAAAAGGAAGTTGAGGAAGTCAAGTAAAAGGATAAAGGATAAACTGGGAAAAATGAAAGAGAAAATCAAATTATTGAAGAAAAATAAATAAAGGAGAAGAAAGCTACACAAAATAATGATAAAAAGAAAAAGAATTAGGAGTAATAAAAGAATGAGGTACAATAATAAAAGAGTGATAAACAATAATAAAAGGGTGATAAGAAATAATAAAAGGATAAACAATTAGTATAGCAATAGACACAATAAATGTAATAGGAGAGTGAAAAGGATTAATAAGACGCTAAAAGAACAAAGAATAAAGTTAGTTATTTGGAAAGTGATGAGGAAAAGAAAGATGAGGATCTTTTAGATGCTGATTCTATTTAAATATTCAAAGTTACTTAAGAGAGATAAAGAAAAATAGATAAGAAAGAAAAAGAAAAAGAGTAGAAACAAGCACAAAGTAATTAGTAATAGGTTGAAGAGTAAAAATAAATTGAATCAAATGAACTAAATTAAAAACAAATTAATAATTAAAATAAAGAATAAAAGAAAGTTAAAAATATAAAAATTAAAGAATGTCCATTAAGTAGATTGGAAACCAATGATGAAATTAAGAAGAAAGAGTAAATTAATTAAAAAAGAAAAGAAAAACGAAGGTAGGAATATCAATAATATTTGAATGAAATGGAGTAAGAACAATTAGTTGAAGTTACTCACTCAAAACAAAAAAAGTTGTAAAAAGAGACTAAATAATAGGAAACCAATAAATAATAAAACAAATCAAGTAATAAAGGTTCAAAAATAAATAATTAATAAGAAATCTAAAATTTGGAAGAACAAACTAATTCAAAAGATAAAGAAGAAACTAAGCAGTCTAATTCTACCAAAAGAGGTGGAAGATAAAGCACTAGAAATCATAAATCACCATCTCCAACGAAGGAATCGATCGAACCAGGTTATGTGTCCTCCAAACGTATATATGAAAATAGAGATCAAAAGAAAAAGAGACTCAAGGTTGTAGAGGATGAAGAATCTGAATTTAGTGAACAAAATGTTAAATAACCGCAAATAAAAGAGCAGAAGAAAAGAGTTAGATAAAAATGAGGATATATTTTATATAATTATCAATTTTCTAGTAATTTATGATTAAGAATAAGTTGTAATTAGATTAGTAATGAGGATTAGAAATCTATTTGAAGAATTGAGTAAATTACAAATTAATAGAGTTGAGTAATTTGCAAACAAAGAAGTTAATTCTTCCTATAATAATAATAATAAAAATAAATATACATTAGCAAAAGCATAGAAAATTAGAGAGCATAATACATGAAGAATCAATAATCATATTCATATTAAAATAAAGTATAAATGGTGAAATTATAATATTTAATTAACATAATATTTAAAAACAATGTAAAGTTAATTCCCTAGTTAATACCCTTAATTTGATGATTTAGAGGAAATACGATAGTTCATAATAAGCAGAACAAATGCTGTTGATCTCAGTCTTCAGATGCCACCCTACCTGTCATCTTTTTATTAGCCATTGAGAAAGCAAACTTTTTAAAATTATTTAGTATAAATTGTGATTTTAAAAATATTAGGCTGCCAAAGTAAGTGATCCAAATTAGAGGAAATAGGCAATCTACAAATACATTCAATTAGTCGATATCGAAATATTGAGTTTATTTTCTGAATAGATCATTAAGCCCTATTAGAATTTGATATTGGTGAGACATTACGGAATTCCTTAAGATTTGGATGTGGAGAAATTGAAATTGGACAATAAGACATTGGGGGCATTGAATGATTTGGCTAGTTCCATAGCATAGTGGAATCTTTAAATTGAAATAGCTGTAGACAACATTACTAGAGTTCAGTTGTACGACCTTTGGAATCCGACAGGAAAGATTAAGGAGGCCTAATTGACAGCTGAAATAAAGGGAATTCTCAGTCCATAAGATGATTTTGATTTTAAGGTATCCAATAAGTAGATGAAATTAGACATATTCGAAACATATATTAATACGATTATTGGCTTAGGGAGCAGACAAGTTTGGAAAGTACTTGTACTCAAATGGTTTATCGGAATCAAATTTGTCTTACGGGGCAGCCTTAGTGATATATCACGCCTTGGTTGGTAAGTCTGCGTTGCCATGGAATGTCATAATTCCCAATGTCTCATTGAAGTGGCTGGTATTGATATGATTATAACATATAGTTTGGTGGATTGGTTGGATCTTTGGCTTTGGGGAAGGTTTCAACATATTTGGAGAAATGTGATTAGGTGTAATAGTTAAGTGGATGCGCGGAGGTGTTTTAAGAGATTACAAATTTTCTGATTAATTTCAATGAGACTATATCTGTGGCAATAAGTGAAATATTACTGACAGTCAATGAAGAGTAAGAGAATGAGAAGAAAAAAAGTAATAATTTTTTTGAGTTTTTAAATAGATTTGGGTAATCTGATTGATTAATTCCTTTAATCACCAGAATCAATTAAGGATGGTTAGACTGAAATCATTACTTGCGAAGATATCATTAAACATGAATAGGATGAGTGGCAAATAATTTATTGATTATTATATATATATACAAAATAATTAAAATACTGTTATTATATATATTTCATAGATATAACATAATTACTAATGGAAGAAGTAGATGTTACTGATAATTTTGGTTGGATTTGGTTGAGTTAAACAGTGTAGGAATAGATTCAGGACCACTTTGACAAATGCTTTTATATTGATTCCAATGACATTCATCCTTTCTAATCTAACATTATTCTTCCTGGTAATTGAAGTTGCATTATAAAGCGCATGAATTTAATAATTAGCTCCATTCACACTTAGGGGATTGAGAGCAAATTGTAGATGTCATTAAATCGTTGCATAAGAGTGAGGAACACTAATTATTAGTGAAATAGCAAATTCCTTTGTATGAGTTGCATTCACAGACCTCTTGTATTGATTCACATTACACGCATTTGTAATTTCTTAAGACACATGCATAATTGTTGATCTCGTTGCCATGACATAATGAAGAGGATGTGCCCAACATTGAACATGATTGTGATGTGCATATCTTAGTTGCATCAAGTAAATTTTGTTATTGCCAATTACATTTTTAATTATTGACAGTCAATTGATTACAGATGGCTGGGTCATTAATTTCTTAGCAAGATTTAATGAGTTAGCATTGATTATTAATAAAAGCACAATTCTATGTAAATTCACATTCCTGTTGTTCCTTTATATTAGTGCATTGTTTCAATTTACAAGTTCCATCAAAAATGCAATATTGATTAAGACAGGAAGGTGAGTATTTACAAATTAATTCAAAATTATTATAGGAGTAACATTAACTAGTGTTAATTATCTACAGACAAGCAGTTCCTTTAAAATAGATATTTTAACAATCATAGGAATCAATAATGTCTTCACATCTACTTGCTTGAGTACACTATTTAAATTTGTTGAGGTAACATTTTAAGTTATTTAAAATCTAACCTTCGCATTCACTCTATGATAAATGATTGCACTATTTGACTGAACACACATTTTGTTGATATCTGCATGAATTCTACTTCTGACAATCCTATTTGCTTAGATTGTAACAAACTTCAGTGGAGGGAGGGCAACCACACTTAGAAAAGTCATGATTCCAAACACAATACGAAAGTTATTTGCACCCATTGATATTTAAATTGGCACATTTAGTTTTGGTCAGTTGATAAACACATCTTTCTTCAATTTCATTATATTCAACATAATCGTTGACTAACATTCGACATGTAAGTTCATTTACATTACTCAACGATATATATGACTCTTGTAAGTTATCAAAATAGTAACACTTATTATCTTTGAATATACATGGTTCGTATAGGACTTTCATGCATCCTTGTTTATTTAATCCAATAGTAGAACAAGTCAATTGATGTGGATTGTAGATACTAGTGCAAGTGTAATTTGTAGGATTAAATAGACATAACTTATCCTTGATTAACACACATGATTATCCAGTGACTTGCAAATCATCATCACAATAAAGTTGAATATCAATCAATTTACACTAATTAGCTTACCAATAATAATAGCCACTCTTGCTGAGACAGGCAAATTTAGAAATGCCTTCTAATTTAGTGTTTTCAACGTAATTTACACAGCTGTTATTATTGCTATATTGACACTTAAGTTAGGGTATCAATTAACAAGCTTTTATGGAAACATTAGTAATTTCACTGCATAGTGAGTATGTGGATTAGATCTAAAAATTGACACATTAATTATCGACATATTGACATGCATAATTCTTATTATTGACACATGTAAATTTACTTATTCCCTCAGAATCACATTGTATATCATCCAATACAACACATGAGTTATTCATATAAACCCTATTCTAAGAGAAGTTGCGACACACATTTATGTTAACATTGATCATGGATTAATCACCCTCTTTATAGTTTAAACATCTTAGATTAGACCACTTGCAATTTTGGGATGGATTAGTAATTCTAAGGCAAGTCCAAACGTTGATGTCAGCATTACAAGACAGAGTTGAAAATGTAGAGTCATCTTAGATATGGATGCATTAATTATGTATCCATTGACAATAAGTGTTTGATGTATGCAAGGAGAGACAATCTGATAGAGTTAATTAACTCTGACATGCAATATTGACAATTGGATCACCTAGATTGATTGAAGACTTGTGTTCTATTTGGCTGTAATTTAGAATGTTAGTGCATTTGAATTGTACATATGTTGTTTCTTGTTTTGAATAGTAGATGCAGACATTTTTATTGGCTGTAGCTGGTAAGGTGAAGAAATCCACTTTTTGATCCACAATATATTCCAGACAACCTTTATCAGTATCCCAGATGCAACTGAACATGTCATTCAATAAACAAGATTGTTCATTGAAAATTGAAAGACAAGATGTAACCTCTACTAATTCTTAACATTGATTATTATTCCATTCACAGGTTTTATTGATGACGTTACGACATGCAAATTTACTATAAGTATTATCACATTCAACTGGAGTGTATGAGAAACTTTCACATGAGTTGGTCTGTTAGTTGTATTTACATTTGAGATTCTAATTGTTTCTACAAAAGGTGATGTAACCATTGGAAAGTTGGCATGAAGTGAAATCCTCAATCTTTATGGAACATTTTGAATTTTTCCATTGGCACATTTATCTAGTAATGTTCTTGCATGTATATTCTGAAACATCATCTTCGCATTTTTATAATATAAAATTCGCCTCTTCACAAATTCCATCTGCCCAATAGCAATTGGCAAGTTTGGTTTCCATCAGACAGGCCTCTCGATTTAAACCTAGACCTGTACATTTAAATACAGACTTGTATGTAGTTGTAGCCAAAGATTCACAACCATTTAAGGTAGACTTCTAGATACACCTCAAACCACTTATTTTGGCACAAAGTCCTTGAGAGCTCAGTTAATTTATATTTGCCGGCACTTAGGCTTCACAACTAGTAACTGCAAATAATGTTTTGGTATCTTCTGAACATAAATTGTCGGTATTATTCCATTGACAATTTAATTTGGCTACTGCCAAACAAGCATTTTTATTAAGATTAGCACATGAGTTCAAATTGATTGCTTATTTAAGTGTTAATTCAGCACATTCCTTATTGTACCATCTCAAGTAGAGGTTTGCTGAATAGACTGATCCTAGTAGAAAACAAGCCTTTTGATTCAATTAATTTGGGTAATGCATTAATTTCAAGCTATTAACTTAAATGGAGACTGTAGGACAAGTCCAATCATCGTTATTAAAGGCGTAGGCTGCAGTCTCTATCTGAACACATCCATATCTATTAATTTTACTTGTAGAAGATAATGATGATGATGTGCAGGATTAATAAACAGAATTAACATAATTAGCATAGCATGCCAAATTAGCAAACATGCATTGGATTTCAGATTAGACATCTGAGCATGAATTAAAGTAAGAATAATAAGTGAGTTTGCAAAGATGAGTTTTGAAATCGTAAGCACATTGGTTATTGTCGTTATCACTTATGGTTTAGCAAAGATTATAATTGACCTGGATATTTTAGATACTAAGACAATTTGGGATATTTGATTCAAAGTGTACACATTCATTATTTATATACTAGTACAACCTATTATTGGAATTATTATCTAAGCAATTCTGACTGAGGGAAGTTTCCATAATCTAGCATACGTTTGTCGTGAAATCATAAGAACAATTAGAGTATCGCTTGCAAAAGTGGAATGAAGTGTAATCAAATTAATTGCATTTAAAGGACTCAACTTCTGTTACATTGAAGCAGATGTTATTGTGAAATACACAGTATTGTCCTTTTAATTTATTATTCACACATTAATCCTTGTTGATGATCTCATCACAGGTTCGAGGTAGCTAAAATTAACAATACCCATTTAGGAACTCACAATAGATATTTTGGGATTTGCAAACACTCTAAGATAATCCTGGAAGATCACAAGGGACATTATTGACTTGACCAACTATGCATTGTGAGTTGAATCCGTAACAATTCTATGCACTCATTGAGCACGTTGACCAAGAATACGTAAGGTTTGAATCTATTCTCTTGACACAATCTAAGCTTTATTGCAAACATAGTTTTAGATTGGAATTGTATACACATTTTAATTGATTACTAGTAATGCATGCTTAGTAATTTCTAACTTCACAAGCTATTGGATTATGAGTTCTGTGATATTAACATTGATCCTGATAGAAGATGCATTTACCAACAGTTACTTACATACAACCAGTAAAAGATAATGCCAGTGTATGGCAATAAGCGATAGAGGCTGATGGGAAAGCCTAACATTTAGAAGCACTTGTAGCATAGTAACAATTATCCGTTGCTTTACTGCAAATTAACTTATTAGTTGAAGTACTTGATGTAATATTACTACATGATAATTTATTAAACTCTTAGTTAGCACATCTGGTATCTATGTAATCGAATTTCAAGAGAGTTGTGAATTTGCATCCTTATGATGGATTGGTAATAACCTTACATGTATCGGCATTGGCTTGTTCACACAACATTTCATTCAAGTACAATTAATCTAATCTACTCGATGCATTTGATACATCAAAGCACTTGTTCTGATCGAATAAACATGTTCCAGTAGTGTATTATACACATCTGTGATAATTGATCGGTTGACTAGTACCGCAATCAGTTAGCACATCATTTCTTACATCGCAATTCAAAGTGGTCTCATTGAATTAGCAATAATGGTAATAGTGATATTAAATAGAAGTTGAAGCTTTTTGTGAGGTACAAGCCTATCGATTGAGTGAAAATTGATCGCAATATTGGAATATCTGATCGTATTGTCTGCATTCAGAGAAGTAGGTGTCCCACATGCATTTCTAATTCTGAGTCTCAATATTCTTGCATGTTGATTGTGATACATATGCGGAACAACTTAATTATTTCAACATATCTGAACTAGCATCCATACATTGATCATTCAAAATATCATAATAACACTTACTAGTAGATTACTAACATGCAAACCTATTAAAATTGGATGAGCAATTGTTAATAATGATGTCATTGTAACATAACTTTAGTTTTTCATCGTAAATACATGGTTGGTTATTGAATATATTCATGACACAAACATTTCGATTTACATTTCTCCATGATATGCACTGTATATTATTCACTTCTTATATTGATAATTCTACACACTTTCCTTGATTCCATTGTCTGAATTACTTGATGACATCCACATTGTAACAATCACTCTCCTCTTGGATCAATTGGTCTTGGTTGGATCCTTCATAACAGGAGAAGGAGTCCCAGTCATATAAGCAGTCATTAGAAGGATTACTCACCTTAGCATTGAGACAGACTCTAAATGACACATTGGTTAATTGGTTGCAATAGTAAGTATCACTATTCAAAATAGTCATGCACTAATTCAAGTAGTCATCCCATTTGCAGAGATCATTCACAATGTTATAACAATGATACTTGTTAATCATTCTGTTATTGCAATTAATTTGTAATTTAGTCTAATAGCTACACTGGTAATTAATGGGATCAAACATAACTAAAATAGCATATATATATATATATTTACAATTATCTTTTTTAAAGTTGATACACATATTCCTGTTCATTTTGTACACATAGGGCAGTGTATTAAACAAGTACTTCAATTCATAATCATTGAAAGTGATACATTGTTCATTATACCAAATGCACATTTGATCTGATTTCTAGACATTCAAGCAAACATATTTGTTGAATGCTTGTTGACATGTCAATGAAAATGCGTATGCCTCGCTCATCTAAAAACAATGGCCATCTTACCAATCACAGTAATCTTACAAATATTTACAATAATAGATATCTAATCCTAATTGATTGCATCCATACAAAGGCATGCATGACAACAAGTCATTCTGTTCATTTTCATCAATGCCTGACCATAAACAGATCCCACTGGATAAACAATCAGGTTTCTTCCTCAGACCAAAACAAAAGTCTGAGCAATATTGTTTATTTATATCAAAATAACAGTATTTTATTTGTTCGCATCGATAATATGGTTCGAAATCACGTTGTAACATGCATTCTTGGTCCAAGTCTACTCTTGACTCCCCTTCCAGACAGGTGAATTCTTGGGTTTTGTTTGGGATATAGCATTTCCTTGTTTTTGATTTGTAAATTGAACATAACGAATAGCTGAGTTATTTGCATTAGATCTTATTGTCATCTATAAAGGAAGTAGTAGCCAATAGAGCTGGGGATACTTGTTGGCATCTGCCATTCAAGAATATAACATAATTGGTGTTTTTTTCGAGGTATTTGCAATAGAGATGATTGACTCCAAAAGTATCTTGAGACAGATTAATCAAAAGGTTGAAATCGTCGTCATCTCTAATGTCAATGGCATTGCATCCCAGTCGATATCTGTTGGTTTCGGTCTAATACTTTTGCCCGAACACAAAGGGTTTGAAGATTTGATTTCTGGTATTGCTATTTTATAATAAACTTAAATCTTAATCTATTTTTTATGCTGAATTCAATATATATTGATTCACTTCCCACTACAAATCAGGCTCGTAAGTCAACAATTCCCATAAGACTGTGTGATGGATGACCAAATAGTTGGTTACATACTGACAAGCATTACTACTGTAATAGACCACATTGAAGTTCTCCTGGATTTTGTTGATATCTTGTCCAGTGACAGTCAGACATTGGTTGTTCTCCCATTTACAAATGGAGTGTGGATTCTGTATTGCTAGACACCCGTATCTGTTTAGATTATCGGAGCATTGTTCACTCTCCAAATCCTTGATTTACTAACATCTTCCATCGAACTTGCCTTTTCATTAACACATTTTTAATACAGTATGCCACTTTAGCGATGCTGGATCCCAATTGGGATGTGCACCCTATTTTATTGATGTAGATATTGCATCCAATTAGGTAGTTGTCACTTTGCTTACATTATTCAAACACAAAATCCCACATGCCTAATCTGAATCACATACTTACAATAAACTTATTCACTTGAAATGCATTCCGAGTATGTTTGATGTTCTAAACATTTATCTATCAGACCAAGCGTACTTTAGCATAAAAATAATAAATAAACAATCATCATATTATTATAATAATAATTATACAATAATCATTCCAATAATCATTGAATTCATTTGGATCTAAAAAATTGGCATGTATTCATTTACAATTTAATATATCTAGAAACCATGAACGAAGACGAATCCACTTCATTCCATCAATTGTCAGCAAATGACAGAGCATCCAATTTACAATACATGTAAACTTGGTTTCTCAATCAAAAATTAGCCATCACCAACACCGAATTGCTCACCACACAAATCTTCGATGATCTCAAAAAACAATGCGAATTACAAATCGAAATCCTCCAATCCTCCCCAGAATTCCAAGAAACCAAACAATTGATACAGTCCTTCTATGCTCAAGCACACAGAATCAACTTGAAAATCAAAAAAAAAACAGAACCTCGTCCCCAATTCTAGGACAGAATCAAATACTAGAAAGTCAAAGAGGACGAAGAAGTCGAAAAAAACAGAGAAATATTGATAGAAGTCAAAAAGAAACTACTCTGCGTTATTAGAATATCCAAAGCCATTCCCTTCGTCATCAATTTCATCAAAACCTAAAATGTGAGGGACAAACAATACAAACTCACCTTAATGGTCGAAGATGCCTTGCTAGACGGTATCAACTGGTATCTTATGCTCCACAACATCAAAGATTCCTAGTGGAATAAGGAATTGCCATAGGAATGCAAACTAAAGGAAATTCTCCACTAATTACTCACCATCATTTGGCAATAGAGACAGGACTTGAAGAACGAATTAAACGAAATCTTCTTTAGATTGAAAAAGACTCAACTTATCAAATTGTTGGACAAGTAAGGGGAGTTATGTGAAAACAACGATGAATTCACACAATAATCTACCAAAATTTTAAAACAATTACAAGAATTTTGCAATGGACTTGAAACCATCAAACTATCACCCAATAAAGCAAATGGATTGTATTACTTATAAAGGATCTTACTATCATATTGTTGGGTCAAACAAATTGAACTATCAGAAATTCTTTATCACACCAGAATTGCAGGTAGACTAGATAAGTTAAAATAAGACAAGGATCACAGCAATGTCATTAGACTAAGATAGAAAATCACATTCTTAAGATTCGTATATCGAATTCCTGCTGTGAAAGTGTGGTGTGAATAAAATCAGATCATCCCTTTTGAAATGCAATCAAATATCCCCCAATACCTTCAAGAAGAATACGATCAATTCATGAGTGACAAAAGAGAAAAACTCTTCTCTGATACTAAAGAAGATTATTTCATAGAATCCCAATTGAAATTTCTGGTCAAGAACTTTCACCTTTACAAAAATAAAATCAGAGTCATATTCAACGACTTAAGATTCATTTAGAATAAACAAGAAATCTATGAACTATATAAAGAGTATGTCTACGATGGTGACATTGATAAGGTTTAGAATCTACAATTCTAAAAACAATAGAAGGATATCATTATCGCATGTTGCATACGAAATTTAGAAATCAAACTCTCAAATGAAGATTTCACAAAGTCAGTTTTCCCTCTTGTTAAATTCAATTTCCTATTAAAAAAGGAGAAACACTTTCAATTCCAGTAATCCTCATATGATAAGTCTTATTACTCCTTTTTAGCCAAGCCTTCCATTGTTAAGATATTTCTCATTGACATCTTGGCTCTAGAATAGCCATTTCCCTATATTTTTGAATTCATCTATTATGAAGACGGGAAGTTACAGCAATCTATGAAAAGCACTACTCTCTAAGGCTAATTCTTTTATTGTCCCCAAGTGAGAGAACATTTATCCAAGCGATATCAATTTAATATCAAGTTAATTGAAAATGAAAATAGAGTGACCTTTACTTATCTACCAACTATTCACTATGATTATGTTAAACCAGCTGCAACCGTTTTATGGGAAGACATACTATTATAAGACCTCAAACTCATTGAATTCCATAGACATTAACTAGTAGACGAAATCAATTTTATGGTTCACAGTCATCAATTCTAGACAATCAAACAATAAATATAACAAGAATCAAAGTATTTTAGTGATCATCTCAAAATTATGAATGAGCTTGAAGTATTTTGTAATTTGAATTACAATGGTAAGAAGTTAAGATGTATATGATGAATCTAAAATTTATTTATTTAATTAACATATTATGATCTCTATACTTCTATTTTTCATTTACAAAGAAGAGATAGATTTAAATGAATTTCATAGAATTTATTTATATACAATAATAGTAGTATTCATGTAACAAATTATTAATATATAAAGGAATAATATAATGTCTATTTAGAATTTTATAATGATTATTTAGTAAATTTGCATTAATTACATTTCAAGACAGTTAGAATTATTACTTAGTAATGAGTTCATTAAAAATATTTAGTAAGTCCATTTTAGGTATTTAGGGTTTGAGTCTCAAAATCATTTGAATCAAGATTTGATAATCAGATGCACTGTAGATTCCAAATTCTAAGATTGCTTATTGGATTTCATTCAACAAATCCTCGTATTCTATGTTAAAATCCTTGACTGTCAATTCTACTTGGTACCAAGGTCTAGAAAATATAGAGTAATTGACTCACATTTGATCATTCAATTTATTCACTTTTATTTCATTAGCCTTGATTTTATACAACGATCCTAATTATATAGTGCTGAATGGAAAAATCTTTTGAGGAGATTTCAGATTTTTTTATCTTCTCAAAAGGGGTTCTTGAAATAGCAATTAGGTTTCATCACGAATATTTTTTGGACTCAATGATGTGATGCTCTCAGAAATAGTCTTGCGTCTAAACAAATAAGTTGGATAGAGCAAATAATCTTATTTTCTATTGACTCGCTTGCAATTCATAGGTTCAATACTTTGCTTAGGTGAATTTGGAAGTTTTCGTGGTGATATTAAAATCTGAGGGATTTGCTACGATATTTCCTTTAACTATTATAAATGATTCCAAATCTGTTAGGATATCATGTTTCTACCACCCAAATTACGCGCATCTGGTGTAAATGGAGGCATTATTCACTTTGAAAAAGTTGTTAAATATAATATAAATTCATTTTATAATCAAAATCGCATCTCTAATTCCATTCACATCCTCAATAAACATTCAAATATCCCCCAATCATAATTGGTAATCTATACTGATAATACTATAAATATTAGTAAATTATTATTAATAATAATCACACAAATAGTTTTTCAGTTTGTATGTTTTCCAAGAATTGTTTGAACTCCCGCATGTTTCTATTGGCTCCTTCCAATGTTTCTTTGATTTGATCCCACTTTTGGGACTTTTGGCTATTATGAAATTTATTTGATTTGAATTGGGTTGGCTCAGTTTTCAATTTCGGAGTGAAATTCCTATTGGTTAGCATCCCTAATGGTTTTCTAGGGGACATAGGCTATTGGATATTTATTTATTTGATTTTCTACCATATATGTTACGGCTTTTGGAATAAGATTGATCATATACGACATCAAATTTGTCCAATCGAGGTAATGGACCATCCGGTGGGACACCTCTAAATGGCTTATCTAATTGTTGTTCTAGAGTCATTTCCAGAAGAACGCGTGCATATAGCAAAGAATTCTATTTCCAAATAAAATTATGTGTTGGAGTTCTCACTTTATCCAACCATTACAATATTCTAATCTTCAGATGTTTTGCATTGATTTTCTAGCAACCATTGTATATTTTATTAATAGCTTCACTCAATTCTTGATCAAGGGTCTCTGCTCTTGGAGAATTCATTAATTTAACGGATAATATATATATTATTAATTAGTTAATATTATATCTATTCAAAGTTAAGTTTTGAGTTACATAACCACTATTACTCAAGACATTCTAGACTCTATCGTTGACAGTAATAGTCCAACAGAATGCTAACAAACTATATTTATTCATTCCTCCTCTCTTTCTAAATTACAATTTATATTATCGTATTTACATAAAATCTAAATTTTTCAATTTGTATTCATCTGTTAGTCAACGAAACTGAAATTAAATTTCAATTTACTTTTACCTTAAAAATTATTTGAATTAAGGATTAATTTGGTTTATTCGGTTTAATTTAGTAATTTTCTAAATACATTCCTTTATTCATGTTTTATCCTATTTAAATATTTAGAATTTCAGAAATAATTAATAATTAGAATTCCAGATAAAACTATTCATAAATTTATAATATGGTTAGGTTGATTAACCTTAATTTTAAAATAACTATTGCTTTTTTTTGAAACTTAACTATTTATAAAATGCTTAATTGTTACTTAGAATAATTTATAGAAAAAAAACATGATGTAATTTACAATTAAGGTGATTAAAATGTTGATCAATGTATGTAGAATTAAGAATGTAAACTATTGCTCAAAAGAAAATTCATTTTTCAATTGATTTATAACCATTATCATAGATCTTGGCTTTTCAATTTGGTTTTGAGAAGAACATTCTAACTTAAAATTTCAATTCATAATAAAGTATAGAAAGGATTAATAAACTCACTTCTCAAAACTGTTATATTCAAGGTTTCTATCCATAATAAAAATGTGTTCACATAAGGAAAATCCAATAGTTTAAGATGAAAACTGTTATTGATTGATAGATTTATTAAAAGCTTTGACGATTTATAATAAAAGATGGTAGGATTGGAAGATGACTATTTTAATTGAATTTATATATAAATTCCATAATATACTTATTTCTAAAACGAACAGAAATGACAATTTACTTTTCTGGCTATCGGATCTAATATTAGATTGATTTAATCATCTAATTATAAAGTAACTGGAATCAGCAAACATGGATTTAATTGGTTTAAAAAGGATTAATAAATTAACTGAGATTATTCGGTGCATAAAAATATCTAATTGATAAATGGATATTAACATTGACTTTTTTATATTAAATTTATGGATCAAAACAACTGGATATAAAAGTCTTCTGTTTAAGAATTTGGAATAGACAAGAGTGTTTAGCAGCAACAATAACAAGGATAACCGCCAGCCTCTTTGATTCGAAGAGTGTCTAAACGTAATGTTGCAATCAGGCCCACTCAGGAGACAGGAATGGCTCAAATATATGAAACATTTCACCCAGAACAAAAAGCATAGACCCTTGATGATATCAAATTCATCATAAAATGCTTCTAAAGTCATTTTGTATTTAGCTCAATGACTGATACATAATTGTAATACATTATGTTATTCTTAGAACACAATTAGCACACAGTATGTTCTATTGCAAATTGCAAACAGGAGAAGCAATTATCAAATAAGGGGATGGAGCTAGCTCTTTCTTCATAATTTAGAAGGGAAAAATAAATGTCTTGGTGGATAATGTACCACGTAAAGAATTGACAACCGGATTTGGGTTTGGTGAATTGGCATTATTATATAATGCACCAAGGTCAGCCACATGCATGGCAGTGGAAGAGTGCTATCTATGGGGAATTGACAGACACACTTTTAGAAAGAGCATAGAGACCATTATGAGGAGTGAGTAAGAGAAGAATAGAAAATATTTGGAGAGTGTTAAATTTTTTAGTATTTATATCAGATAAATAAATAGATTAATTAACAAGAGAGTAGAAGGATGCCGTAGCAGGAGTGCTCATATCCTAAAAATTTAATTAGGGAGAAATCATAGTGAATGAAGGAGATTAGGCTAGTTCATTTTACATCATAGTGGAGGGTTAATGCGGAGTTTTCAACAAGGATGGTTAATAAATAGCAGTTTTGAATCCAAGTGATTCTTTTGGGGAGTCAGCACTCAAGCATGAGAATTAGGTGAGAATGATGACCATTAAATCCATCCAAAAAGATACGAAAGTGTTGGCATTGGGAAAAGATATGATCTAATAGATCTTAGGTGATTAAGTACAATCCATCATCTACAAAAATATATGCAAATGGGCCTTGAATTCATCTAAGTTATTCAGCAAGACTCAATCTGCATATCAAGATAAATTGCTTGAAGGAGTGTAAATTAAGAAATTGCCTGCAAATTCTAAAGTAATTACAAAGGGAGACAAAGTTGGACAACTAGTCATCCTTCTTGATGTTGATGCACTAGATGACACCAATGCTAAAGCTCTAAAGGGATCCATTCTAGTCGAAGATACATTACAAGATAAGCTCTAAGGCACTTCTCATGGCAAAACATACACAATTGAAGCCGAAGGACATGTCGCCATTATTGATTATGAATCATTCAGAAAGGCACAAGGCAGCGTCGAGAAGATTTAATAAGGAAAGGCTTAGTAATCAGAAAAGGTAAATGCATATGAAGAGTAAATCAAAAGTCAACCATTCAAAAATTTAATATACCTTAATAAATTAGGTTCTGGTTAATTTGGTTCTGTGTACCTTTGCAAATTTAAGGAATTGGAGACTCTGTTTGCTCTCAAGTATGTTACAAGAGCACATGTGTAATAATTTGGAATTCAAAAACACATTTAATAGGAGAAGGCTGTCTTGGAATTGATGGATCATCCATTCATTCTTAAATTTTATAGATCCTACAAAGACAATGAAAATATCTATTTCTTGACTGAGTACATTCCAGGAATGGAGTTGTTCGATGCCATCAGAGTTATTGGTAATTTTATTGAAATTATGATAATATAGGATTATTGAGTAAGTATGATGCACAATTCTATGCTGCTCAAATGTTGTTGTAGATGGAATACTTGCATACATAACACAACATTGTTTACAGAGATATCAAGCCAGAAAACATTATGGTGGATGATAAGGGATTCTTGAAGTTAATTGATATGGGCACAGCTAAGTCATTTAAGAATCAATGTAAGGATATTGTTCATAACCATTGTAGAATCATCGAAGACATTCACAATTATTGGAACACCTCATTACATGGCACCAGAAGTAATTTCAGGAAAAGGTTATGGCTACTTTGCAGATCTGTGGAGTGTGGGAGTTTGTGTTTACGAGTTCATTTGTGGTGGATTGCCATTTGGTGAAGAGGCAGAAGATCCCTTTGAAATCTACAAGGAAATCATCAAGAAACCTATCAGCTATCCTCATTTTATGTCTGATAAATCAGCCAAGCCTTTCATTGAATAATTGATGAATAAGATCCCTGAAGTGAGATTAGGAGGATCCTACACTACTTTGAAATCTCATGCTTGGTTCAAAGATTTTGATTGGGTAATCATTGATCTTTTAACCGTTTCTAGGAAAAGTTATTGACCAAATCACTGAAGGCTCCCTTAATGCCAGGAAAGGACAAGATTATGACTCCAGCCTAAATTCAGACTGCCTAACAACGTGGGGTCTAAGTCCATGATCAAATTTAAAAGGATACTTCTGGGTAGAAGAAGGTATTGGCTAGTGCAAAGGATGCAGAATGGGATAGTGTTTTTTGATTAGGCTTTGATATTATAATAATAGTACATATTCCTTTGGTAATCTTTTTATGTTTTTTATATCAGTTATGGGCATAGTTTCCATTATATTTTATAATATATTATAAAACTATGTAAATCAGCCAGAACTTGAGGAGATGTATCACCTTTCACAAGGTGGTTTAATAGTTGTATGAGTAAGGAGAAATAAATTTTAAAGAAAAGAATAAACTTAAAACTGAATTCAACACCAACAATGAAGACATATTGTATTTGATAGAGGGTATGAAATCAACTTAAATATGAAGACATGGAAAAGGAGGACTTCAAATAACAGTTAGTTGAATACATTAAATCTAAGCATTAATCTCTTAAAATACCCAATTCCCCTGGTCTTAGAAGAAAGTCACTACTATCTGAATCCAGTCCTACCATTGGTAGAAAGAGTGGCTTCTCCAAGGAAAGCAAAATCACAGAAGATGAATTGATTGACCATATTACTAAGCTTAGAGAAGCACTCTTTGAAGTTTACCAATCAAGATCGAGTGCCTTTACATTTTTAGTGTAGGATCATCTGAAATCGTTGAGTCAATTCATATCCAAAATATCTAGCAAAAGTCCTTAGGCTTCCCTCAACTTACTCCAAGAATAGAATATTGCTGAAGAAATCGAATAATACTATAAATAATTGAAGAATCAATTTTTGAATACGCATTCCTTGTTAATTAACGATAACATAGTCTCGGTTACATCCAAACTTGTGTAGAACTTATTGAATTGTGATGAATTCACCTTCATTAATCCTCAGTATGGAATATTCGATTCGACCAAAAATTCTTTCAATAATATTGAATCCGATGATTATTTGCAAGATTTAATATCTGTGACCACAAATGTCAATCTGCTCACTGAAAATCAATCGAAGCTCTCTCAAATGTTCTCTTAGTATAGCAGAACCTATACTCTAAGAATTTAGGATGAGTGTTTCTTCTATCATCAAAGATAGGTCAGAGATACACTTCTAAACTTGACATTAGAATACAAATGTCTCAATGAGGTTCAAATATTGAGTAAGTTAATATCCAAAGCAACCATTGAGGCAAGAGTTTAATTAATTAGCCCTATTTAAATTGGAAATATGATAATTGATGTCGGAGTGGAATTCGTTAGATGTAGCAAATATCTATTTATTAATCAAATCGTTAATTTATTGCGTACCAAATACACTATTGAAAGAACAGACGCTGAGAGTTAAGGATCGTTTGGGTCAGTTTCAAGTACCAATCTTTCTCCAACAAGCAAATAGGCCAAAATTACTAAAATATAATTTAAGGATATATTGCCTATAGAAATTACTATTATTGGATTAAATCTAAATAAGAAAGATGACTTATAGATATATAAGACTATTACTAATCTTTATACCAAATACTTAAAGTTTATCGAGTTAAGTTACGATAGGATTATATTCTATAAATATTTTATCAAATCCAAAGATTCAATAATGTTAGAATTCGATAAGGAGGGCAAGTTGGCCTTTTTATCCAGACCAATACCTCCCTCTTTGAGTCGGGAATTTTAGTTAAGCTATTGTCCAAGAGGACATTATTATCAAATAATAAAGAATGAAATGTTGTTGAAGGTGATTGAACAACACTTGGAAAACAAATGGAATATTTAATGTACCGATCAATTGTATGAGATTTTTATGAAGGCCAGAAATAAGAAATTCAAGGGATTTGCCATTATATTTTCGGAAGGATTCTTACAAACAAGGAGTTTGGAGACTGAAACCAAAAAGATTAAATTAAGATAGGAAGCCACGTAGTACTTATCGAATTTAGAATAAAACAATCCAGAAATAAAAGATACGATATTGTCCTTCTATATTCCATCATAGGTATAAGTGCCAGGAATCATCCACAAAAAGAAAAAGAGTATGATTAATGGGTTGATTGACACCATCCAAATAAATTTAATTGATGTCGAGAGTATTGAGAAAGAAGCCATTTGTATTGATTAGATAGACAGTTTTGATTTCAATATATTCAAAATAGAAAACAATTCTATAGAGAAATAAAGAATAGTTTATTAGATATTGAATAGAAATAATTTTATTGAGATTTTTGAGATCGATAAAACCAGATTATGTGAATTTTTGGGTGAATTGGAATATCGATACAATAAACGTAGGAACCCTTTTCACAACTATAATCACGGTGTTAATGTCATGCATAGTTGTCATGTTATCATGAATAAAATGATCAATTAACCACAATACAAGGTACTCTTTGATTAATTGACTAAACTATCATTAATATTGAGTGGATTGTGTCATGATGTAGGACATACAGGAAGAACTAATATATTTGAAATCAACAATTTTTCTGAAAAAGCCATTAGATATCATGATAAGAATGTATTGGAATAATATCATGCTGCTACAGCATTGAAATTGTTATTGAAAGAGAGAATGAATTTCTTAAAGAATGTAGACTTTAGACAATTCAGAGAAAAATTCATACAGAACATCATCTTCACTGATAAGTAGGAACATTTCAATTTACTCAAGTTCTTTGAAGCCAACAATGAGAAAGATATTAAAATTATAACTGGAATGATCATTCATACTTCGGATTTTGCAGGGGCATCTGCAAAGTGGCCTATTTCTAAGTAATGGTCTTTGAGAGTGAATCAAGAGTTTTAAGCTCAATTTGAAGAAGAAGGAAGATTAGGATTACCCTAATAACCATTTATGAAGGATTTATAGAAGGTATTTAAGTCATTCTGAATTAGATATCTGTTTTGTCGAAATCAGAAATAGGGTTCTATAAATTCTTTGTTCGCCCCTTGTACGTATCATTGTCTAAATTTATGGATCATTAATTATAGGATAGAATCGATAATATTGATGAAACCATTATCGAGTGGGATTCTCTCGCATCCTAAGAGAATCAACAACAATGAAATTGCTCATTTATTTTTGTATTAAATATATAAATGAGTAACGAAATTATTATAAATTAATTCTAAAGTATTCTTACTTATTAGGAAATCTAACTTACTAAAGAGTAGATCAAAGAATTCTACGAATATATAGAATGAATTTATTATCACAAGACTATGAAAATTAAATCTGGGATATCACTGTAAAGATGAATCATATTATCTATATTTATGCTTTAAATTAATAAGACTGAATTATTATAATTAGTATAAATTTATTCAATATAATATTTATGCAAATGATTATAGAATGAATATTATATGAAAATTATCAGATTTCTTAAAATAAAATATTAAAAGTAGATTTATTCCAGCCATTTTCTTTTGGATCAAAATACTCACCTGGACCAGGTTAGTTATCATCTTTTTTTTTATCATAATTAAATCTATTTTCCTAATTAATCATCACTAAATATATTACTTTAATATTAAAAGGAGGATGAGGATACTTTTTTTTCTAAAACAAGGACGAACTATTGTGCATTCTAATTTATTCATCCTCTTGTTCTTCCTCAACCTCATCTATTGGTTTCTTTTCTTTATGCATGAATCGAGGTATCGACGATCCAAAAGCTGGTTTATATATGGCCAAATCAGGATCTTCTTCCTTTTCAATTTTTGTCATTTGTTCTATCGTGTAATTTTTGACATCATATGCACCCGGAGCAGGGAAATGATCCTTAGAAACAGGTGCTGCATCTCCTCTTTTTGTTTTTGAAGTAAACACTGATGCAATTGTTTTAACTTCCTTTTTGTGTTAATCATATGCTCCTGGGCCTGGCACTTCGTCTTCTTATGGTTTAAATCTCTATTAATTTGATCCAAAATTTCCAATTGGGGCTCTCTCTAATTTCTTTATCAATTTATCTTCTAACTAACTAGATGATAATAAGAATTACAGTTATTTTTGGGTTATATGCTTGTGGTCCTGGGCGTTTCTCTTAGCCTTTAGCTTCAAAACGTAAATTCGTGGATTGAAAAGGAGTTTGCTTTGAAGATATAGCCTCTTTTATGAAATCTTTTTCCAATTCATAATCTCCAGGACCGACATAACAAGGCATTTTTTTCTCTTGAAATCTTCTACTTTTAGATCCAAAACAGTTTTTTCCCATCTTAGTTGTAGATTAAGATTAAGTATTGGTTGAAATAGCTGATTGATTCGAGGTGTTTCCTAAATATTATCCAGGTCCTGGTGTGGTATCCTTTGAATACATAATAAAATGGCGTACATCACAAAAAACATATTCATCATCTTCTATATAATTGGGTCCTTTCTTTTAGATCATATCTTTTTACTTATCAAAGAAGATTTTCATAAACTATTTTTACTTCTCTTCTTTAGTAGAATCAAACATTCTTTGAGATTTCGATTGGAAATTTCCAGATGGATTTAACTTATGCAATGGTACTACAGATGTGTTTGGATCATAGGTTCCAGGTCCAACCATAAGTTCTCTTTCCTTTGAGATAGTGGGTGCTAATCTTGGGGCCTTAGATTTGTGCCAAAAACTTCCTTTGTACTTATTTTATTCAAAGGCATCCTTCACATCATATTGACCTGGACCAACTGAATCTTATTTAAGACCTGTAAATTATGGGAATGGAAATTTGTTTACCTCCAAGTCATGAGCTAATCTCTTTAAAATAATAACTATTACTTCCTTTCTCCATGTATCCATATCCTTAATTTGATGAAGGTATAGATGGTATTGATTGATATTTATTCAATTTCATTATGGTTTCAATGTAATGTTGAGATGTATATTATTGTTGAATAACTTTAGTCCCACTATTGTTTGTATCATATGTTCCTGGACTGAAATCCCTTTAAAAATAAGCAAATACCCAGGTGAAAGCATTGTTTTAGGGTGATGGAATCGCTTAGTTTAGGATGCGAATACTGATTGAGGTTGAGGTTTCTCAACAACCTTTACATCAGATTAAGAGGATTGCAGCACTATGTTTTGTCTAAGATGAAAATTGATGAAGGAAATGTACCCTTGCACTTCATTAAAGATATTATAACTCCCAGGTCCAGGAGAATTATCTTATCTCAATTATTGAGTTCTTGTAACTTGTGTATCGAATGGAGCATTCCCCTATTTTATCCTGAACTATTCATGAGAAAGGTAACTACCGGGACCAACCTATTTCAGTTAAATCATTTTTACATTTGGAGGTGCTCCAGAAGGTTTATTCAGCATATTTCTTTCTGCTTAATATACAAAAGCCATTTATATTAAATAACAATTCGAATATTTTATTATTATAATTCGCAAGATGAAAAATGGGCAACAGATCTTGAAAGACGACATTAAAAGATTAGAATTGATATATCAGAGAATGAATAGTTAGTCCATATGGAAAAACTTTAAAATTGAATCTCTTTTATAAGAAATAAACAATAGAATTTAAACTATCCTATAAATTATAGAAAGTGATTATAAAAGAGAACAATAATCCTAGATTTTCAGGATTTAAGGCGTGAATGACATTAATAAGTAAATTTATGAAAATTTGGATTCAGATTTATTGTACTCTTTCAAACTTGAGGATTTGAGCAAAGAACAGAAAGGTAACTAATTACAGGAATCTAGTAACAGATAAGCTGATGATTTTTAATATATAAATAGACCATAAACTGAGAGGATATAGAAGAAAGCTGTATAATCTTTAAACCTTCAGAATTAAGACAAGAACAAATTTTCCATCGAGACTTTAGTAGATCAACAACAGCAAAGGAAAGTTGTTCAAATTTGGTAGGTTAATGAATAAGACAATAATTAAAAACAGGTGTAGAAGAATTAGGAAATAGAATAATATACTTAAACTCAAAAATAGAATAAGTAAATTTAATTTCCTGATTAATAACAAATGATTAATATTGCTTAAATTAATAATTCAAAAATATAGTAATAATAGTAATAGCAACAGTAATAATAATAATAATAATAATAAAAACACAATAAATTACCTAACACATTCAAAATGAAAGAAAATATGAATAAATTTCAAATGACCATTATTCCTTAAGCTTCAGCAGGTGTTAACATCAACAAATGCCCCATTTGTTTAGAGGATTGTTTTTCTGCCCAAGATGAATATGTAATATCACTGAGTTGTTCTCATCAAATCCATTATAATTGTTTAGAACCCATGTTGAATCATGATCATCTTAAGTGCCCTATTTGTAATAAAATATTTGGTAAAATGATAGGAGATTAGCCAGATGGAGAAATGAGTGTATAAAAAATTAAAAAATTGTGTTAAGGTTATAATTGTGACTCAATTAAAATTACATACAACTTTTGGCCAGGAAGGAGAAATGGGAAAGATTATCATGGAGAAATGAGAGTTGCTTATTTACCAGACAATTAGAAGGGATAATAGGTCTTAAATTTACTCAGAAAAGCCTTTGATTAAAAGTTAACATTTACAATAGGGACTTCACAAACAACAGGTTAGGATAATTGTATCATTTGGAATGGAATTCATCACAAAACTAGTTTAGATGGTGGCATATAAAGGCATGGATATCCAGATGCTTAGTATTTGGATAGAGTCCTAGATGAGTTGAAGTCAAAAGGTATTGTTCCTAATTAAAATTGATTTAAAAATTATTTAAATTTTATAATTTAAAGAAATCTATGTCTTATTGTAACATTCTACTCTCATTAGAGAAATTAAATTAGGTATTTGATCTTATGAATTAAGATTATTCCCCATCATTTTCCAAAAAAGACAAATCAAAGACAAGAAGATGAAGTCATTGATTTGAAACAATATTTGTTTTTTTAATAATGATTGCACACTTAACTTTTATTTTATATATTTTATATAAATCAAATAATGTATTCTGAATTTAATAGCTTATAATAATTAAAAATTAATAATGCCAATCTAATTTAATATTCATAAGACAAATTAACACTGTTAATTTGATCTGTTCACCGAAGAAGTAATTCTTATTTATGAGGATATTATAAATATAAATATTATATTCATTTTTAATCATATATTACTCTTTTTTTGAAATAATAATTAAAAAAAAATAAAATTAAATTGATTTACAACCTAATTAATAAGCATAATAAATAAAATTGAAAAAAAGAATCAAATAAGAGAAAAATTAGATATTAATAATGAGTTAATTAAAATATATTTAGCTATAGAGTCAGAAATCATCTGGGTACATAAAATGGACCAATTTATGAATTGCAAAAAAATCTTTTTTAAAAATAAAGTAAATCATCTAAATCATGTTTAAATTTGTAAATCAACTTTCAGATTCTTTATTCAGTTACCTATAATGCCACAAAATGCTCAATATTTGATAAAACTACACTGCTAATATAGCTTCACATGGAATTTAATGATTAGAAGGTTATTGGAGACCAAAGATATATTCACAATTATATTAATGTTCAAAAATATCAAATTCGTAAATAGGATGGTAGGTAGCAGATGAACTTTGCACTTTAGGTCACGGTTTGTGTAAGGAATGCAATAGCTCTAAAACAGAGGAGGACCCCATTTTTTAGAATTAATAGGATTCCTAATGTTATAATTTCCTCGAAAATACTATCCTAGGTTCTGCAAAAGTATCAAAATATTATTTTCATATTTTAGAAATCGAAGACATTTTCGTTAAGATTTTTCTTCTGGATATTTTTAGTCATATTTACTTTTATTTCGAATTTTGGATACCATTATCTTTATTGATCAAATAGTAATGCTTCTTAATTCACTGCAACTAGTTTGTTTGTATTTATATCGAAGGTAACTCATTATATTAGAATTATTGAGATTGTATTTTTGATTTTAATATAATTTGCTATAATTTTGATATGGTATTAGTCTTTAAAGGAAGATTCCAAAGCTACAATTTTTCAATACATTATTATATTTAACGCATCAAATTTCTCTGGATTGATCAAACCAAATGAATTAATGATGCTAGATTTGTCCAATCGTTTCAACAAGATATCAAAAATTAGATATATTAAGGAGATTTAACATAAATATTTGTCATCAATTTTATTATGTTTATTTGTATTAAACTCTGTTATTAGTTTACCATTTACGCATATTTTAAAAAATATCAATTCCTTTTCATTACTTTCCACTTCAAGATATTAAAATCAATTCAACCTAATTCTAAAGATGCAATTTATCAGATTTCTCATTTTAAAAACGCAAATCTTAAAACTATCAAAAGCATAGGTTAAACTATAACGATTCTATAAAAGAGATCCTTTAAACCGTACCTTCAAATTTATATCTCTCCTCATTAACCAGATAGCAATTCAATGCAGCTGGAATTAAAATCTTGTTTCCATAAGGTAATGATTAAGATGAAAAGTTATAAAAATTAAAATTTCATATTGATAATTTGCTACTTACATTCTTATCCGCTAATTAATTTATACTGTATATTTAATTTTGAAAAGTTTGTATTTCAATAATAAGTCCCTCAACTATTTAAATTTACGTTTTATATATTTGGCAAATTTGATTTTTATAATTAATTTAATGGATATCAATTACGAAATATTATCATTTTTTGGTTGTTGATTTTAATTTATTGATATCGAAGATAAAAATCTTAGAACCATCAATTGGATTTTTAATAGTTTATGGGTTTTACGAAAATAAGTTGATTCGACACTTCATCTATCTACAATTTTTTAATTAAACTTTGGATTAAATCGCTATTTGAGATTCATCAAGTGCTAATTATGCAGAAAGAAATCATTAAAATAATAAATACTCTAAGTCAAATTATTTAGAACATTTAGGGATTGTAAATAGAAGTGACAATTACTATTGATACATATTGTTATTGATTCAGGGTACTCAGAAATCTATTGCAAATTCAATACAAAAATTCCATTGATCTTCATAATAATTACTTTGAGAAGGAGCTGTAATTTGAATAACAATTAGGGAAAGATAATAGCCAGGAAGAACAGGTTTCTTTTAGTAAAGGGAAAATTGATGAATTAGACAACTTCTTAAAAAAGAAGAATATACCAAATGGGATATACGTTAATAAATATAATGATAATTAAAATTAAATGGAGTACTTAACTAATGAAAAACTCCTTAAATAATAACAATCAGCTCTATTTTCTATCAACAACTCTCGTTCCAATAGTGTATCTCGATTCCCAATTCCTAGTTCAAGAGCGACTCACGATCCTGTTCAACCTCTCCGATCAGCTGATTTATTCAATAGATTAGAAGACATACTAAAATAAAAGTAGATGAGTACAACTACAAGAAAGAGATAAAAACAAATTTCATGCATTTTAAATTCATAAGCAACTCACGAAGCAAAAAAACATTATATCGAAAATAGTTGTTACAAATCTCCCAATAGAATACAGGAGGTACCATCCACATCTGGGTTTCTGAATGTTGTATGTTTCATTGTAACCCTTATTTTAGTATAATGTCGAGCCTAGAAGTAGAAAGCAAACATAGCCAGCCTACATTGGTTCTCCTTTGTTAAACTAATAAAATTAAAGTGCCAAAAAGAAAAATGTGATTCAAACTTAATTTCAAGAGAGCTACCTTCAAAATCGAAAAAAAAAGGAGAGCTTGAAAAAATTTTAGGATGAGTTTAACAATATGCAGGAGAAAATCAAAATTAGAAATCATGTATGTAATTATTTTAATTATTCAAAAAGTCTATTTTAAATGAACAACCAGAAAATGGTGGACGAGTTGATAAGCAAGAATTGAAAGAGAATAAGATGGAGATCAATATTAGTGCAATTTTAAATAAAGAAAATAATAATAACACGATTAATAAATTGAATCAATAATTGCAATTGTAAAATAATCACCTTTAAGAGCAATTATTATTTGAAAAAAATCAAAATTCTAAGTTAAATTTACTGATCAATAATCTAAATGATTAAATCGCTATCCTTAATAAGTATAATTAATTTTAACGGTATTATAGACAATTAAATCAGTAAAGTCAATAATCGAATGAAGATTAAGCAAATAGGGATACTTAAATTGCATAATTAAAATAGTAGATTTAACAATTAGAATCAAATTTACAGTAGAAGGACAATGAAATCCATAATTACAAATAGCAAATACTAGATTTTAATAATGTGTATAAGGAGATGCAAGAATTAGAGAATCTCTGTTAGTAGATGTCATATTTAAGTATGCAAACTTCTTAATAAAATTTATTAATTCTTGAAATTAAAGAGTTGCTTCAAATTCAGTTTAATATTATTGAGAAAGTAACAAATCATAAAGATTTTCCGATAGAGCAGCTGCTAATTTAGAATAAAAAGAAAAGACCTTAGATACCAAAATAAGTTGATTATTAAGAATTAAGTCAGGAAACAACTAGAATAATGGAAAATTTAGTTAAATAAATAAAGTCTTCTGTAGATTAGTTAACCGAAAGATTTATACATGACTTGCTTATTTGAGATAATATTATATATATATATATAGTAAATAAATTAAAGATGGGAAATGTATTTTGCTATGAACGAGTATTATATATATAAATGAAAAGGACGATGACAATATTCAGTGGAAATAGCAACTTGAAAGCACTTGCTAAGTAATGAAGAAGCAAATGTGTTGGGCTGAGCCTATTTTAATTTAGCTTAAAGATCTAAGGGTATCTAACAAGTATTAGAAATAACTACATTCCTTTGCTTAGAGTTATGATGAGTCATCACTTTCAGAGATTTAGAAATCTTTTAGATCTAGAGAATCTTCGAAGGATAACAGAAACATACAAACAATAATCAAACGAACAGGATTTACAGAAGACGATCTAGTTGAGAATTTTATTAAACCAAGCAGAGCATCATTTAATTTAAGTATTCAATCAATAACACCCTCTTATATTTACCATGAGAAAACATCTAATGTAGGGATGGGAGGATCTTAGGTGAATTTTGAGGATTAGATGTGTTTTTTTGTGCAAATTACAGATAAAATAAAGGAACACTTTGATCAACCTAATGAGTTAGGCATTATGATAATCCATTTCAGACATTCTTTAAATTAATAACACTAAAATCGTTCATTTCAATACTTACACGAACAATTGACATTATTTTGTAGAACTCTTTATGAGACTATCGTCATCTATTACGACATGATAAGCATAAAGAAGAAGTATCAAGTTCACGCAGTTTTGTTGAATGAAGAGACAATGCTAAACTTCATAGTCAATTATGTAATGTCAAACGAAGGGATATATCAAGTTTTACACAATTCCTTGCTAAAGGAAATGGGGGAAATTTAAAAATAGACTGAACAATGTATGAAACAAAATAAAAACATAACTGTTGAAGACATGGAAATTCCCAAGGACTTTCAATTGAAATCATAAGCAAATCCGTATGGGAAAGCCATACAAACCTTGTAGAAATTGAGTAAAAAATATGGTCCATCGTCGAAAGTGAAGGTGATAATCAACTTTTCATAACAAATTCAATAACATGCTAGAGAGGGTAATGAGAATAGAGGAACTAGTTTGCTTATGCAGGCTGATGATCTTTTACCTATTATCAAATACATTTTGATAAAATCTTAAATGTATGATATTGATGTTCATCTTACTTACATAGAGAAATTGATTACCAATGGAATGCTCAATTCAACGAGTGGTTACTATGTGGTGACATTGCAAGCAGCTTTAACTTCCTTGAGAAGTAATTTAAATTAATAATAATTTAATTAATAAAAATGAATATTGTATAATAATATCGAGCAATTATTTATGATCTTCTCAATGTAATATAAGAATAGCAAAACCCTATTTTAGATAATGACATAAAAAAGATTAAAGAACGATTCCATTAGTTAGAATTATAAAATCGTCCAAGAAAAATGACAGAGAACAAACAACTCACAAGGTTATACTCTATACCATAAAAGCCAAAAATAATGTAAAACAACTAAATCAGAGCTTAATCAACTGCATATCATTAACGATTTATATCATTGAATACTTGATTTATAATTATTATGTAATAAACTTATAATCCCGATGAAAGAATGCATATTGAGTTATTTTTGGCAGCAAGACAATTGCCCAATCTTGAATTCTTTTCGAAGAGTGATCCTTATCTAGAACTCTATTATTCATTGGCTGGACAACAGGAGCAATTTCTGGGCAGAACAGAAACCGCTGATTGTAATTTAGATCCCAATTGGGAAAAGACATTTGATGTTGAATATTGGCCAGACTTGACTTAGATGTTAAGATTCTAAATCTTTGATCAAGACAGAATGGGCAGAGAATTTATGGGAGAAACATAGGTAACCATAAAGGACATTTTGTAATACAAAAATTCATTAATTTAACTATAAATCAAGAGATATGACAAAGCAGCAGGGTCTTTAATTTGCAAGGCAGTGCTTTTTAAGGAATCCAATCATTCTGTATAATGGCAATTTTGTGGGATTAATCTTAAAAACATGGATGGCATATTTGGTAAGACAGATCCATTCTTAAAGTTTTATTTGTTTTCAGAAGGAGTATGGTGTCAAATTCATTAAACAGAATACATTAAAGATGATCTCAATCCTAAATGGAAGGAATTTGAAGTTTCCCTTTAAAGATTATGTTTCAATGATGAAAATAAAAAATTCAAAATAGAATGCTTAGATAGACATGAGAAAGGCAAGAATAATTAGATTGTAGGTTCATTTGAAACTACCATTGATGAAATTTTTAATAAAAATGTGGATTCATTTTAGTTAATCTAACCGAAAGGAGGATCTGCTGGTACAATTAAAATTCTAAATAAAAAAAGAATATATAGAGCTAACTTTGATGATTACATCAAATAAGGCACTAAATTTAATGTAATTATTGGAATTGATTACTCCTCCAACAATGGTGTACCTTCTTTTCCAGATTCATTGCATACCTACATTGAAAAGAATAACATTTATTTAAAAGCATTAAATGACATCGCTAAAGTAGTAGAAATCTACGACATTAAGAAATTGATTGCTTTGTATGGAATTGGAGCTGAACCTCACTTTTCTAATTATAATTGCAATAGTTATTAAACACTCTTCCCATTGACTGGAGATTTCTAAAATCCTTAAGTAATTGGATGTCAAGAAGCTGTCAATGCTTATCAGAGTAAACTTCGAGACATTGTTGTTAAAGGAGATCTCCAACTTGAAGATTTCATTAAGTATGTGTAGACTGTAGCTGAACATAATGCAGGGAAGCTAATTTATACAATAGCTGTAATTATAGGATAGGAATAAATTACAGATTTATAAGTGGTGTAGAATTTAATTTTAAGTGGTACAGAATATTTGTATAAATTAGGTTAAAAATTACCTTATTCTTTGATGTATGTTGGAGTTGGAGAAGATGAATTTAAGGACATTAAATAAATCAATGATCTTATAAACTAATAAAATCCACCGATTAGAAATAACTTCACTTTTTATTAGTATTAAAAAGAACTTCCATCCAGTCTACTTAAAAAGCATTTATTGAATGATTTGCCAAAACAAGTTGTTTCATATCATTAATGATTAAATTGTAAGTATAATATTATATCAAATATATAAAACAAATTACATTTTCATTCTTTTATTCCAACTTACTTCAATTTTTTAGCTTTTATTCTTGCTAACTTCTCATCCAAGTAAAATAAATAAGGTATATAACAAACACAACAAATGAGGACTGCAAAACCCAATAAAGATGCCGATCTTTGAAATCCATACCATTTTGTTAGATAACCTCCCAGAATCGGACCAAACAGTTCTCCTCCTGCAAGACTGGCATTAAAACTACTATAGATTCAATGAATATACATAGCAGATGCAATATTTGCACATTGGGTAGGATACTTAGCATAATCCTTAATAAGTATTTGGTTGATTTAAGGCAATGTAAGAACATATGGGAAACCCGCAGTGAATCCTACAGTTGACCATGCTAGTATTGTATACAATAATCTTGGATTTAAGTTGGTGAAACTATAATCAGGACCCATATAAAATTGTAATAATCCACTGATTACTAAGCCAAAGTACATGAAAAATTTTTTATGAGATTTTATCCTAGAAATGAAGAAGGTGGAAGCTCCAAATGTAGCTGCATTTATAGATATCCAATAACCTGAATATTCCTCTTAAATATCATATTACTCTAATAAATATATTGCTATTGTTGGGTTATAAAATGTCCATAAAGAAAGTGTTAATGTGTTAGTAACAAAGGATATTACAACTGGGTAATTGCTAAGTAGTTTTAAATATGATATGCTAAAATCAGCATCAATAATTGATTCTTGATTTTATATTGATTAATGTAGAATGACAGATTAACTGAGATCGACTTCAGGAACATCCAAGCTCTTTGAAAAGATTATCAGAAGCATAGCTAACCCAAATGAGCAGAAAGCAAAGAAAAAGAAAGGCAAGATGAATCCTCCCAATTAATATAGAGCCGATCCCAATATAGGACCTGCTAAAAATCCAATAGATGTTGAGACTTCTGCTATTGCTATCTTCTCCTCAATTTATTTTGGAAATAACTAAGGAATAAATGCATAAAACGGAGTCATAAACATGGATGCACCCTATTGATATTTTAATCAAATAGATACTATTCCACCAATTAATCTAGCCACAAAACTTCCTATTAGCACTATCCAATACGATTCAAAATAGTATAAAAAACCAAACATTAGTAAACCTAATCCTTATTAAGAAATTCCAATGACCATTATTTTTTATCTATTTTCCTATGATTAACATATTTCTTACGTGGGTGATAACTTTCCCTAGAATCAATGAAGAAATAAATTGTCCCAAAGGATGTGCTGCAAATATGATCCCTATGATATCCTCAGAAATCTCCCTAGATTTAGCAAATTAAGGGTAAAACGGAGCAATTATTGACATAGCAAGATTACAAACTACATTGCATGAAACCAATATAATGAATATTTGTGACTATTTCATTCAACCAATTTTAAATAATGCAAATTTAATCAAATAAATATAAAGTGTTGTTTTTATCAACATAATATATATATATCAATAGTCTGCATTAAAATCCATATTATTTCAATGCAACAAAGCACAGATATTTACGAGAGTGCATTCTCATTCGATTGGAAGCAATTGAGATTTCAATATTGGGGGATTTTTCCTAAAAATAATTTATTTATTAATCCAAATTAAATTGTACATTTCTCAAGAAAAGAATTTTAGTTAATTCACAAATTATAATGCAAGTTAGATTATGGATAGTCTTGAAAAGCAAATATAAATATTTGTAAATGATTATATTTTTAATAAATTCTAAATTATAATCTTGCAATGGAATCCTACTATTTTCGGGTTTATATTGATATTTGAATTGATTCTATATAATAATTTAATTTGTATATGAATTAAAACTAAGTTCTCAGTCGGCTCTCTTGCAAGGATATAAACGATTATAGTTTTGTGAAGATGTTGGGCACAGGATCATACAGTGAAGTCTTTTAGGGCAAAAACAAAACTAACGGAGAAGAAACTGCTATCAAAGTGATTGATAAGGTATTTTTAGCAAAGGTAATATAAATATATGATATTTGTAGCAAAATAAAAGTCATCTCATCTATTTGGAATCTAATGCTCTTATGTCAATAAATCATCCTGGTGTTATAAAATGTTACGCTACATACGAGTCTAATACAAAGTTATATCTCTCCCTTGAATTGATGAATTGGGGCACATTCAGGGATTTCATCAAAGGTATTGTATAACTCATTAATACAAGGAAGACAACTTACAACGAGGGAGATTCAATTTTATGCTGCTTAATTGGTGATCATTTTAGAGCAAGTTCACAAAAGAGGAGTTGTTCATAGAGATGTTAAAGTATGACTATTAATTAACTTTAGCCCGAGAACCTGATGATGACACAAGACAAATTCATAAAGCTGATCGATTTTGGGACTATCCTTTTATTTAAAGGAAACGAGGTTACAAAAGAAGAATCTGATATAAAATTTTGTAGAAAATCTAGTTTTTGTGGAACAGGAGAATACTTGTCTCCAGAATTACTTGATCAAAATTGTTGTGGTCCTCAATCAGATCTCTGGGCATTAGGTGTGATTATCTATGAATTGTTCACTGGCAAAACACCCTTTCAAAGTGACGTTGAATATATTATGTTTCAAAACATCTCAGACAAAGAACCAAACTATGATTTAATCAAGGATCAAACTGCTATAGACTTTATATAGATGCTCTTAACCAAAGATGCAAGCACAAGATTAACAGAAGCTATTGAAAATGATTGCGATTATTCAATCCTAAAGTAACATCCCTTCTTATCCAATGTAAACTTTGAAACTTTGTGGTTAGAACAAAAAGAATCACAGGAACAACCTAAATTTGATAGAAAAAATGTAATATTCATAATTCACAATAGGTTCTGAGAGCCAAAACAACCTTAGTTAATGATGGAGTATCTTTGATTCTAAGTGGCATCGTTGATAAGCATTCAGGAGTTCTAATGTTTGGATAGTATACTCCTAGAACTATGCAACTAATTTAAAAACATTTTTCTTAAGAACTTTTTTATTATAATCCATATAAAAAGAAAAATGTATTATCTTATTATTTATATTCTAGCATCAAATAGAATTGATCAATGCTAAATGTAAACTGGGGAACGATGGTGATTTTGTAATCACAAGTAACAATAAAAAATATTTCTTTAAATAAAGAGAACATCCAGCAACTTAGTGGGTGGCCTTAATAAATAATGCAATCTCTTATAACAAATAATTTTAATAATGAATATAATATTAAAGTTTATTAATAACAAATTTCATCAATATTTACTCATCAAACATCAAGGCTAATCAACTCTAATCAATTTTTTCATAACTTATTATAGTATTAATTGCATTTTCTTAATTATTTTTATTTCGGACTCTGGTCATTATTAATTAAATCTCGATTAATTTACCATTCTCCTCTGTTGATTCACTAATTAATCTTGGGAATTCACTTAAAAACTTATGTTCTTTATAGTTCTTAAATAACACATCAAATAAAGGTGGTTGATATAAGAAAAGGGAGTATTTCCTATTTTCAATGAAAAAATTAGTGCAAATAATTTATACTCTATTATATTGTTCTTTTTTGATTATATATAAGGGAGATTAATATCTTTTTTTTATTAATTATTTTTTATTTTAATAATGGCAAGAAGAGGTCAATAACCACCACCATAATAACAATAAGCTCCACCTGCTCAAAAAAATTAGGCAGGAAAATTCAACCCTGCTGAATTTGTGAAACCAGGACTCACTGAAGAAGAAGTTTTGGAAATCAAAGAGGCTTTTGACTTATTTGATACAGATGGGTATGTATTATTTAGATAATCTTAGTACTTAATCAATTGACCCAAAGGAATTAAAGGCTGCTATGACATCATTGGGATTTGAAGCCAAGAATCAAACAATTTATTAAATGATTAGCGATTTGGATACAGATGGAAGTGGTCAAATAGATTTTGCTGAATTTTTGAAATTAATGACAGCAAGAATTAGTGAAAGAGATTCTAAAGCTGACATTCAAGTATCTAAAATAATAATAATTTTCATTAGAAAGTCTTCAATCTTTTTGATTCAGAAAGAGCTGGTGTTATCACTTTGAAGGATCTCAGAAAAGTAGCAAAAGAATTGGGAGAAACAATGGATGACTCCGAATTATAAGAAATGATTGACAGAGCTGATTCTGATGGGGATGCTTAAGTGACATTCGAAGATTTCTATAATATAATGACCAAAAAGACATTTGCATGATTCAAATCAAAAATACATAATAATATACATAAATTCAATTTATTTATAATAACTTGATAAAACATTATATGAAATTAGTGTTTATCTCATTAATCATTCTCCTATCTAGGGTCAATGTATACAGCCGGAATCAAGCCTGCTCTAAAAGTAGATATCACTTTGTGGACAAGTTCCGATCGTTTGATTTTTGGATGATCGTTGAAGTCTTGTTGCTAAAATTCAATGAAATCATTAGAAGCAGCAGGAAGACTATAATAATGACTATAGAATCCAGAGTTACTCCAAATCACCAGAGAATACTCTTTTCCCATCTATATTTTCTGAGGAGTTTTGAAAACTATGTCATAACACCTATCAATAACTTTCTCATGTTTGTGCTTTATAGTTCTGCTTTCTGTGTAAATGGGCTTTTTTTAGAGATTTTTCTTGTGATACAACCCAACGTTAAAATTAATTGGTTTTCTTTGATGATTAAGTACTTATGAACTAAACAACATAGGCTATTTGAAACCCAACAATTTGAAGTTTCTGAGAGCTGTGAATATCATTACGAACTAAGCTCCTTATTCCAGTCGCCACGGCCAATTTTCTTCATTAAATGTTTTGAGTCTTGGTATTTCCAATTTGTCTAGCATTAAGTTTTCATCAATTTTTTCTGGATGCGTGTTTCCAATATGCTCTTCAGACTTAAAATGTTTAAGATTTAGTGATTATTTATTTCCATCTTGTCTCTCCATAAAAGGTAGACTATTCAACGAGCTAGGGAATTGGGGTTTAGTAGAACCAGTAGGTTGTTTGATAGCCTCAATAACTCTTTGAAGTTTAGACTAAATGGAATCTTTGAGGATCACAAAAATTTAATGTTTTTTCTTCAAAAAGGCACTTAGTTATGTTATTTCATTTGGGGGTTTTTCATACTAAATTTCTTACAATTGGGCAGTTAAATCAGTTTCTATTGATTGAACCAACTTTTGTATCATCACTTTGAATAGATTTACAATACTGATAGTCTCTTTTAAAAATATATTATCGATGAGATAGGATATAGGAACTGTCTCGTGTTCATGTTTACAATGTTTGCATAGGCATCTGGTTTAACAATTCTAATCAACACAAAAGTTAACAATATCTTCTTTATGCATAATGCAATAAGGATTCATTAAAAAACAGCTAATATAAATATATATAAAAATGAAAATTTACTAACAATTAAATATAGTTAATTAAAATATAATATATAAATGGTCATTAGCTGATGAAGTGGCTTCTCATCATATAGTTGCCTTTCATTTTCTATGGCTCATTAGCAGCAGAATAGTAATTACTGATACCTGGGATGTAGGAAAATGGATCAGAAACTTTATTACTAAACAATAAATCCAAGTATAGTTGACCGGATATATATTCCTGAAATACTACTTTTGAATCCTCATCAGACATGACAGATTCTCTTAAGTCCTTAATTTTGATATTGGACTACTTCTCATTTTCTCTCATTGATACAATTTTTTGAAGGCCTTTTGGAACTTTAGATTAATGACGGTATTTATGTTTTTTGATCCATTTCACCAAGTTATTACCAATCATCTTTGGAAGATTCTTGTACTTGATGTCAGCCTCTTTAATTGTGACTGTTTCTTGTTTTGTAGTAGTGGTGGGTTATTTAGTATATTCTTAGTGGGATTATAAGTCAAACTCATCTAAGTTCTCTTCTTCTATGTAGCTGTTGTGGATATATGAATCAGGATTAAAAAGGTCCAATGAAAGAGCAGCCATTTACAAACCAAAATGATAATTATTTAGTTATTAATATCCACCCTTGAAGCATTCGAATTCTATTACTATTACAACTAATTATTATTTATTAAATATAAATAAATATTTTGAATAATTATTTAAAATTATATATTCATAAAGTTTTAAATTATAAATGATTCTAGAAAAATAAACTAAATCATAATTTATTACATTCTTAATGATAGAATTTTTGTCAATTCATCACCAATAGTAAATAATTATGAAGCCATATTTCTAATTATCTGTTTAAACAATCTTTAAGAGTGTGTTTTTGATTTAGGACCAATTCTGTTGTATTAGATTGAATATAATTTTTCCATTTTCTTTTTTTTAATTAAATTTTTTAATAATTATTTTGAGATAATTCGTATTTTTTATTTCTTGAAATTGGTTTTACCATTCATTATAAGTGGATCATCTTAAGATTATTGATACGAGTAAAAATATTGGCTATGAATTAAAATTCACTTTATATATTGATTTTACTCACAGATGAACTCTAAATTCACAAAAAGTGATTACAATATTAGAAAATTGTCTTAATTATTCTAGGGCGGGTTCCAAAGAGCTTAAAATTGATTTTGTATTTGGTATGACATTCATAATGATGGTTAATTTGGTAATTAAGTCTACAATTATTCAATATATTAATGTAAATGATTTTAAGATTGTAATTTGATTAATAATACAGGCCACTTTAGTATTTGAATAAAAAAATGATGATGCAAAATTTATCCTGAAACTAATCGAAATAAAAAAGTTTGTTTGCCATAAGGTTTTCATTAATAAAATAAAATAAAACAATTGCATCCATATTGTATAAATTATTTTTCATTTTAAATACATATTGTTGAAAAAAATATTAATAATAAAGCATAATGAAATTTATATATTTAGTCATTTTGGGAATAGTCATTGTAGAAAGTCGAAACTCGTTCACTTTTTCAATGAATGCAGCCGATATTTATAATACAACATTGTAATTTAGAACAGATGCACTTGTTAGTTAGATTAGTCTTAGATGTGATGTAAAGTAATTCATAAGTCTTAGAATCTTTATTATGATGCTTGGAGTTCAGAGAAGTATAGTTATCTTGAAGTATCTCCAGAGCAAAGACGAAGTTTTGGGTGTTCTGACACCAACTTCACTATTACACTATCCAATGATCTCACTAAGGAGGTTGTCTTGGTCTCAGTTTATGATGCTTAATATTACAGAGAGATCTCAAGATTCTAATTTTTATCAGACAACTCCTATGCTCCTGTAACTTCTTTGATCGAAAACTCTGCTTAATTATCATCTTTTAGTTCGAAAAATAACGACTTTAATATTACTCTATATACTGCTTCGACAATCTTTTTAGAGGTTTTTAAGTGTGAAAATTCATACAGTTCACTAACTATAAAAGGTTATGATTCTAACTATCTTATCCACAACTTGACTAAGATGAGTACTAAGGATGCCTTTTATGACATATAATAGGCCGATTAAGGAGTCTATTATTATAGATTGTCTTAGAATTCCTACAAATACCCTGATGTGTTTATTAAAGTAATTTAATAAAATATTTATTTAGTATTAAACTGCTCCTTTTTTTTCTATTGACTAATAGAAGATCAAGGAATACGGTGACGTATATTACAGTGCCAGTGGATATGTAAGCTAAAGGAAAATACGAGTCTCAATCCCTGCTATTTATGTTACTAATAATGAAAATGTTGAATATCATGTTGTGGTGAGTAGGGATTCTTATGAGGGCAACTACATGAGCTGTATCTATGGGGATTATAGTCTTTATTATTCATATGGATAAACCTATTCCTCTCAATTAAGAACTTTCTATTAGTAAAAAAATTATGGCACCTAAGAAGTTGAAGTTGATTTCCCCAATTCAGAAACTGGATGGTTTAATGTTAGAGTCACTGCAATAGTGGATCATGGATATATTAAATAGACAATTACATACAACAAATTTAGAGTCTATTAGGATTATGAGACTTTCCCAAGCACTTTATTGGTTCACATTTTAGCTCCCATCATCATTTCCTGTATTGCTTTAATAGGCTTGATTTTTGGAGCCTGCAAGTTTTCAGCCAAAAAGAAATAGATGCAATAAATGGAGTTATTACAATAGTATTAAAGCAACATAAACCATAACATTCAAATCCAAAATCCTTAATATTGATTACGATAAAAATACAATATTTATATAAAGTTACTCATTTATATGTATTAATAATGATTGAGAAAGAATTCATTTTCCTTGCTAACAATGGCTATTCTATTGCAGACTTTTAAAAAAGCAAGGATTTGATCGGTATAAGTAACTATTAACCTTTCTGACCCCTTCAACTACAAGTAACTCATAATCTGGCACTCTTCCTGCTTTAGAACATGGGAGTTACAGCAAATTCTCTCCATATTTATTAAACTAATATATATATCTATTATGAATTGAACCTTTGTAAAATTCTTTGTTAACTCACATTACTAAATTATAGGCTTGAAAACACTTAAGTTCACAAATATAGGAATGAAGCAAAAATCAACAAGCGAGATTTACTCCCCATTCATATATTTTTTATCTTACAACCACTTTTCTACTTATTCTAAATTTGTTTTTAATAATTCCTTGTGTTTAAAGAATTTCTTATTTCATATATAATAAATACCTCCTCCTCCTGACTAAAAACGAAAATTGACATATTTTTTATTATCTCACTTGCGTATTCAAATTTTCCTCTGTCCAAAGCTTTTTATATCGGATCAGATGACATGATCTATGGAGGTGTCATTTCATCAATATATTCCATAATAGCATCGGATTCAAATAAAACAACTATTTTACATAATCATTCATAATATACTGTCATCTCCAATTATCAATATTGGTACTCTAGCCAAAGGACTGATTTTCAAAAACCATTCAGGTTTGCTATACATTTCTATGAATTTTATCTCAACTTTTATGTTCTTGTAACACATTAAAGCCAGCACTCTCATACTATAAGGGCATAATTTAAAGGTAACCAAGGTGTGTTTAAATTTTTGCATTTAATCTGAAACTTAATACAAGAATAAATTTAATTACGCCAATAAAATTCTTAATTCTTTAATTTCATACAAAGCATTGTATTTTAGGCATAAATGAAGAATTAATTAAGAAATTCTCATATGTTCTCTAATCAAATCAAGATTTATTTCTAAGATATATAATATAAAAGTATTATTCTAAAATTCTTAACTCATAATTCAAAACAGTTTGATTAATTGATATTTGGAAGATGAATTTTATAAATTTTAGTCTTTTTGTACTATCTATAACAATTAATTGTATATTTAATAAACACCATGAATTGAATAATATTACTATTATAAAAAGTTTCAATATATAAATTATCAAATATGAAACGTCGCCCTCAAAGTGCAATCATAGCTAAGATCGTTAAGGATAGATAAGAATCAGGGATGAATAAGTAAAAATACAATTCTAGCAGAGTTCATAATTGATCTATATTAAAAAACAAACTCCATAATAGGTACCACCAAAGGAATATTTTGAGGATCAGGAACAAATGTACTTTGCGAATTTGTCATTGAAATAATAGTGTAACGAATTAAAATTTGAGAATTCTAAACTCAAAGCCTTGGTATCTCAATTGAAAGTAGCAATTATATTTATAGAATAGAAATAAATTATAAAGATAGAGAAGGTCGATAAATATTAGGCAAATTGCGATCCTCTTGGAGTGATTTAAGGAGGTGAGGGCAGTATCGTACCAATTTTGAAAGCTAAAGTAAAGGAATAGCGTAATTAAATTGAAGAATTATAAACTGATTTGCATTAACAGTATAAGTCTGTTAAATTGACAAAATTATCAGAGTTGTAAAGAGAAATTGAGAATTAGTAAAATGAAATTATGAAGCTCAGATAAGTAATTCAATCCGCTCTCAATATTAATGATTAAGAGTAAACTATAATATAAGTTATAAAAGTTTGGTGAATGATCCGAATATAATAGAAAAGCTTTCAAAATTTACAATCACAGTTCACTAACAAGAGAATTCGATTTAATAGTTGATGAAGTAGAATGATAAATTGAAGCTGGAATATTAGGAAATGTCTAATGATAACGCTAAATTGTTAGAAGAAATGAAGTAATTGAATTTCGAGAAAATTAATTATAAAAAGCAATTGGATGAATAAACAATCACAGAAAGTGAAATGTATCAATAAAAGAAGAGAGAGTTCTTGGAAATGAAATTAGCGTATATATTTTAATTAATATTACAGTGCTACTCTGAAGTAATTGGATACGTTAAAAGGTGAGTTGTCTTTGTATGAGAATAAGTCAAAATTGTTATAGAAGCAAATCAAAGATTAAGAAAAAGAGTTTAAATAGACAATAATGGAATTACAGAAATAAAAATAAAGCTTAGAAGATCAATGCAATAAAAAAGATGTCATAATGTATTTTAAATACTATTTTAGATAAGACTTAAACGATAGGATTAATATTTTGGATTTATTGAAGCAGAAGAACTCTCCTAAGCCATCGGAGTCTCCTCTCACTTTGTAACTCAAAAAGTCATTCTTTCCTCCCACAACTTACAGGGATGAAATGACATAATTTCCAGAAAAACAAAACCAGGATATCAATCAAGATGTTAATTGTAAACCTATTAATAAGAATAAATTGGAAATTCTGTTTTAGTAATTAAAATTCAAAATCATCTCTTAAAAATTAACAAAGGAAAGGATTCATTTTACATTTCATAACAAAGAATTCATATAATTAGGAGATGCTGTATAAGTCTTTATGAATGCACCCTATAACTTTTAAAAATCTGATTCGATAATACTGGGTAGATATCTGATTGGAGAGGATCAAGGATTCTCAAATTCAATATAATGGTAGGATACATAGGAAGTTAGAGAAATTATTGAAATATTTTTTAGCCACCCTAAGATCAAATCTTAATATGTAAATTGATATATTTATATAATAGTTAACATTTTAGACAATCTTGAAATAGAATTACTATTCAAGAGCAGTTAATGAGAAATTAATGTAATGTAATATACCAAGTAAAATATACAATAAAGATGATTTGATCTTGCTATTGAAAAATAACTTTAAATTCACCTATGAGCAAATCGATTATATGTTGATGATGAACTATTTATATTCGAACGAAGTAGAAAATATTGATATAACTGCTCTGAGATAATTCATATAATAAGAGTGTGATCTCTAAACAACACTTCATAATTTAACTTATGTTTGTTAAGAGTCTGTTAGATATGTACCCAAATAAATCAAAAAAGTTTCATATTCAGATGACGATGAATTTAATTATCCTATAGTTGAAAGCAAGAATTTGAAATCTAACTAAAAATAAAGAGACGATTCAAAAATTGAAATTAAACCACCTGAATTATCAAATCAAGTACAAAATATCATTACAAGTGAACAATACTTAACGTTTTCATGTATAATTTATAGTATACTTAGAATTTAAAAGCAGCGATTAATAATAACTAAAAAGTTCAGAATCTAGAAAGCCAAGCAATCATAATAATAACAATAGTGATATCTTCCAATATAGTCAATCATTACTACCCCAAACCACATTGAAAAGGCCTTCGGATTTATAATAAATGTCATAAGACAACTCAATTTAATTTAATATTACAAACTAATTTTAGTCCCCATAACCAAATAAGAAAAAGACAAATCAAATATCTGAATTCTATCCTGGAAAAGAAATTGCTGATTAAAGGAACATCCAATATAATGTTGATAACGATACATAAATTACTGACATCAATAAAAAGGAAGATGATTATTATGAAGAAATTTTAGAAGAATACATAGAAGAATTGTGATAATTTATTTAATAATAAATTATATTTTTATATCATAATTTAACATTTAATAAGTATATAAAATATATCATTCACTTTATAATATCAATAGATTTATGATATAAATAAATAAATGAAATCTCAATAAGTAAGGTAATATTAATTTATATACATGTAATCAGACTTCATTTAAATTAAACCAAGTACTCTTCAGCATTATATATTTTATTTCCACCATAGATGATCTCTTTTTTAATGCTTTTAGCAAATTCACTTAATTCAGCATATTCATTATAGCAAGCCCCATCTGGAAAACACACCAAGATGCCTTTGATAGTTTATAATAGACCGAATTCTAATCTCTAACATAGAATTGAGAAATACCGAAATATTCTTAACTCTGGAATCATACATTGTCAATATTGATTGTAACTCATCGATCTTCAATTCATTTAAAAACAGATTTTCCAACATTTGGACAATTGCAGATTTCTTTCCTCCTATTAAAGTAGAATTAATACATACCTTACGATAAAAAGTTTTAAACATTTTTCAATAGACCCTTTCCCGAATTAGGCATCTTGGAGGTGATGGCAGCGAATAAGGATTTATATGCACTTTGCTATTTATTGTTTTAATTAGAAGCCACTCTTTATTTAAAATTAGAAAGAATGTTTAAGTATTTTTCATTTTTAATTGAAAACAGCTATTCAAATTTTTTAAATTCTGATTGATTGTAATTGTTTAATAACATTAGAATCAATAATCTGAGTTTATCAATTTCCTTAGATTACTCAATTTAATTATCTTCTGATTGTGGATAATCGTTGATTGTCAAAGTATCATTTTATAAAATACTTTATCCCAGTTAATAAAATTTATCAAGTGATTTTTATTTAGCAATTTAAGTCAGTTATTTAGCTAGATTAATGTGTGAATCAACCATCTTTTTTTATTGATTCATTTAAGGCACTAAATCAATAGCATTAAGTGCACTTGAAATTTCTTAATTTTATTATGAAACTTATTAATATTGAGTGTTCCAGTCATTTAATTCATTATCAATCTTATCGATAGCATAAGGCAAAGCTAAATTGCATGCTTAGAGCCATAAATTATCATATTAAGGTGAGAGATCATATACTTGATCCTCTAATTTAACTTTATTGTATTTAATATTGAGAGTATCATGAAGCAATGCTCCATATGTGTTTGAATGCATTATTAAAGTATTTAGATCGATGTCTCTGTCTGGTAATATGATTGCTAGGACAGGGTAATCTGAATTGATTTCAAACTGTTTGAGTTTTTCAATTAATTCTCTTGCAATTTGTTCAATTTTAGAATTCTTTTGGAAGATGATCAATGGTTAGACTTTAAGAGCAATAATAATAGAAAACAATCCATTTACAACTTGATTTTCTAGATTAAACAAATTATGATTAAGAGCAACAAAGTCAAGATTGTGCTCATATACTTTTTATATTTTTTAGACAGCTCCACTAATTTTGCTAAGTTCTTTGGCCATATATTCTAATACAGTGTTTTCTACAGGAGATGAGAAATTAATGTAAACTTCGGAATAGAGATCTCTATTAAAATCTTCAACCATCTTTTCTATACTGGATTATATTGGTTGTATAAAATAAATTGCTGTGACTCCATACGATCTCTCTCGAATTTGATCAAGATTAAAATGAAGAGTAATGCACATTTCCCTCAGATCTCCTACTCTGTAAATAGTGGACAATCTTTTTTCACAGTAGGAATCATAACAGAGTATTTTCCAAGGAATTCTTATGTCTGGCTTTAGGATTGGATTTAAGGCTTCTCTTTAGGCTTGAATAAGTGACGTGTTTATTTGCATTTATAATTAATTTATTATATATATAACCACATTTATAATAATTATTCATTCAAATGATTACATGTTTGATTTGTGCGTACTATGAGTGATGATATCTTATTAATAGTGTGTGAGTAAAGCGAAAACAGAATTAAAAAATTATTAAAATTAATATTTCTAATGAAAGCAGCCTATATTGTTTCCGCAGCTAGAACACCAATCGGTTGTTTCCTAGGCAAATTGAGCAAGGTTAAGGCAACTGAACTTGGAGCTACAGCAATCAAAGGTGCTCTCTCCTAGGTCTCAATACCATAAGATGCCATAGATGAAGCTATTTTAGGAAATGTTTGTTCAGCTGGAATTGGCTAAGTATTTATTGATTATTTATGATAGGCTCCTGCAAGATAAGCAGTGATCAAAGCTGGATTACCATCAACTACTCCCTGCACTACAATAAATAAAGTTTGCTCCTCCGGTATGAAATCAGTTACCTTCGGCTCTTAAAGCATTCAATTGGGCTAGTCCAATATAGTCATAACTGGTGGTTTTGAGTCAATGTCCAATATTCCTCATTACATCAATGCAAGACAACCACTTAAATACGGAGATGGCAAATTGTTAGATGGTTTAGCCACTGATGGTTTGTCTGATGCTTACAGCAATGTTGCTATGGGAGTCTGTGCTGAGAAGACTGTCAACGATCTTAAATTAACTAGACAATTATAAGATGACTTCACAATCACTAGTTATGAAAGAGCACTTGAATCCATCAAAACTGGAAGATGGGCACATGAAATCACACCAGTCTAAGTCTCAGAAAAGGAAATAGTCACTGAAGATGAGGAAGTCAAAAGATATTAAAAAGAGAAAATCCCACTTCTGAAACCAGTCTTTGCCAAAAATGGAAGTGTAACAGCTGCCAATTCAAGCAAAATCAATGATGGAGCTTGTGCCATCATTTTAGCATCTGAAGAAGCCTTGAAAAAATACAAATTGACACCATTGGCTAGAATTGTTTCATATGCTGATGCCGAACTCGACCCAATGGATTTCTGCATTGCCCCAGCTAAATCATCAGCCAAGGCACTCTAAAGAGCAGGGTATTACTATTCTCCCTATCTATTAGACTCAAATTAGCCAATATTGATTACCATGAAATTAATGAAGCTTTCGCTGCTACAGTCTTAGCCAACATGAAATTATTAGATTTACCATTAGATAGAATCAATGTCAATGGTGGTGCAGTTGCTTTGGGTCATCCTATTGGTATGAGTGGTGCAAGAATCATTTTGTCCTTGCTCACTGTATTAAAATAAAATTAAGGTAAATTTGGATTAGCAGGAATATGCAACGGTGGTGGAGGTGCTACATCAATTATTATTGAAAACTTGAATTGAGATTTAGAATCCAATAATATAATCATTTATTAATATAAATATATAGATATCACAAATCTATCTAATAGCATTCAATTTAACATTAATCTAATTTGATTATAAATACCTCTTTCTTATACAATAAATATATATATTTATTATAAATATAAGTCAATCATAAGATGAAATTATGTACTCTTATTTTAAAATGGAGATACATTTTACTAAAATTACAAGTAGTAAACTAAATATTAATAAATTTATCTTATAAGTTTATTTTCAGAATCAATTATATACTCATTATCATTATTAATATATATGCATATCACTTCTCACAATCATCTTATTCACATTCTCAATATCAATTCTTTAATGATCAGAATCACAATTTATACTGTACCACTTTCGCTCCCTGTTTTTTAAAACCTCTCTTACTGCTAAAGGTGCCAATTAACCTCCATTCTCTCCAATATCTCCTGAATTATATTTGAATCCTATTTCCTCCTTAGGGAATACCAATGGAATATAATCATTCACTTATATTCTCTTATAAATTGGATCCAATTCTATGAGAGATCCTCCTAGTTTCACACCAGCCTGATATAAAAAATCTGGAGTGTTTTTCATAAAACTTTGATAGATTTTGAGCTTGTTAATATCGAATGTAAATGATTTGGCTATATCAAGAGACTTCTTATAGTATTTCAAAGCAGTCTCTATATTATCTTATGCTATTTACTGTCTCTCTTATTAATAATACAAAAGATCTTTTTATTCTTTTATTTTGTAGGCTAAGTTTTAAGCATCTTGAATTCCTGTGTTCATTCCAAATCCACCAGCAGGAGGCATTCCATGACATGCATCTCCAACTAGAACACAATTATTCATATAATATTATTCTGCGTAGACAGCACCCATTCTCCAAAAACCAACAGACTTTATTTCGATATCATTTACTTAATTAAGTAATGTTTTATTTATAAGATTTTTAATTAATACATGATCTTACTTAATGTGTTAAACTTATTATATGTCTGTTTATCCAGTCAATAGATCTAGTGGTATTTGAATGGCAAAGGTGCCATCTTCAATTCTATGTTTGATTATGACTGCTGTAATATCTGAATTATATATGAATGACAACATTGAGTTGTATTATTCCAGTCTATTTACTAATTACTTGGATGTGAAGTGAATATTTAAAAATCTTTAAAGATCTCGATTGCCTATCAATTTGATTTTTAGATAATCCCTAACAAATCCATTCAATCCATCACATCCATATAGGTAATCACATGTTATATTATCATTAACTTTGATAATTTTATCCTTGAATTCAATTTTCTTAATTTCTGTGTTTAATTAAATTTTATCTCTTATCCCCTATTAGACATGTTAGACAAATAGACTTTATGGTAAATGAGCATAACTGGTATATGAATATTGTTTATAATCTATTAATTAACGTGTACTATTCAATGGTTATTCTCCAATTCTACGCAAATAAACATAATTAGAGAAATGTTGGATATTTTCTAATGGTAATTGGATGTTTAATTCATCTAGAATCTACATATCAACTAGATAGTAGTACTTCCATTGTTCTCATATTTAGATAATGAGCTGATGGATGTGCAGATAAAAAGGATTGCTTTTCGAATATTTGAAAAGGAATGTTAAATCTCTTAAAATAATGTCCCAAAATGAGACCAACTCTATAAAGTTTATAATGTATTACGGTCCAGCACCAACAATCAAATGAGGAATATGCACCATGTTTATAATATATTATTAATAATCATCTATATTTAAATCCGTATTTCTTATTATCATAAATCAAATCTGTTTTAGCCAATCCCAAATTCACTATTTTTGGACACCCATCTCTATCTGACATACGAATCACATATCATGCATTGGTAATCGCATTTCTCACATAATCTACCAATTGCAATACCTGAATATTTATGATACATGATCAAATCGGATGATGCTTTGCCTTTAGTTATTTAATATTTATAAGTATATATTCATTTCTATGTAATCCAAATCTTTACCTTCTTGTCTGCTGAACAACTAATTAAGTATGTACTGAATTGCAAATCAGTGATCTGATCATTATGAGCATCTAATTCAATAAGAGATTCAATCAACACTGTAACTTTCCACTTCTAGATTTCTAATAATTCATTAGATAATTACTTCCTGACACATCCCCCGTATAAAATGTATCTAGTTCTTTCCCTTCTACAGATGCTGTAAATGGACTTCTATGTTTTATCGTAGTAACCAATTGTAATGCACTATCCCATAGCCTAATCACTCCATCAGTTCCAATTGTAATAACTCTGCTGTCATGCATTGGTATTATGCCAACTACTTCATTGTTACTTGATTGTATTACATTGTCAACATGAAACACATTCCCTAATTTCCATTAATAGAGTCTTCCCCCTAAATCTGCTGAAAATAGTTTATTCTCAAATATTGCAAAACTACAACAATCATATTTGTGCATGTAAACTTGCGGAGTCAAATTGATAAATAAGTATTCAATTGGTTAATCAGCTATTATTTGTTATTTCAATTTATAAACAATTAATTGAGTTTAAACTAAAATCAAGAATAGATCATTGATCAAACCAATCTTATTAATCACTCCAATATTAGGTGTTATAAACTCACCTTTGGGTATCCACTTATCCTTCCTCTTCTCGTACATCAACACTTATGTCTAAGTTAACAATGCTATAAGACTTTGGGTTATTTCAACTACTTATTTTATGTTTTAATTATTGCCCAATTATTAAATTAATTTCAAACTAGGATACTCAAAAAAAGAAACTATTTTTGAACATGAAACAATTTATCCATTCTTCATTCTTATACATGATATCACATAACTTAAATGATCAATTACTCCGTACAATTAAAAACTTTCTGTTTTCTCAAATTATAATTAAGAATTATCAAATTTAGTTGGCCTTGCAAGTAATGAAGTGTAATCAATTGATTAAACATACTCCTATTATTTATCTGGATATAAACTATCCACAAATTCTTAGTATGTTCCATATGGCTTGGATATGTGATACTCCTTTGGATTTGATAGATGAATTGCACTTTGAAACAATCTATCTTCACTTGATTTAAGAGTATTCTCTAATTTTAATGCATTTTCTAACTTGATCTACTATTGATCTAACTAATACTAATTTCCTATATAGAATAACCCATCTAAAACTGTTTTAACTTAATTAATTTATTCTCTCACTTTAGTAACTATTCTAATTTTATCTTTTTCATATTTATTAATTACATCTTAAGATCCCTATTACAATATTGGCAATACTAATTATAATCCTTCTTCGTACACCTTACCATCCTTCATCATTTCAATATGATCAATGATATTCTTTAATTATTTGCTATGTATCCATTGATTATCAATAAGTGAAATCAATTTCTATTCCCTCTAATTAAGAATCTGATTAGTCTTATCTTTTAAGTATTAAAATTCTTTTTTAATGTGCTAGATTATGTCTTCCTTGAAATAAATTCGTTTCAATCTTTCAACTTCTGATCTTGGTTAATAGATATAAGTACCTTTGAAATTCGTATAACATCCTATCAACAAACTTCGAAAGGGGAGTTACATTTGTATCGACATGGCCAATATGCTGTTAGTTAACGCACGAATTACATGCCAACTTATATTTGCAATCAAGTTTATTGCAAATATGAGTGGTTTGTGAATTATGTTAATAACAATTCATTAAATTGTGCATATTAATTATTATTAATAATAAATATATCGTTTTATGAGAAAGAGATTTCATTTGAATAAATGGTACCATTCATTGTATTATTGCCTCTTGTTGATAAGTAAGAAAGAAAATAACGTGTTATAGTCTCTTGGTATAAGGTGTCCTACCTTTCAATTATAAATTGGATCTTCTATTGTATATTCACATATTATTTGGGATACAAATGTAAAATTATATTATATTTTTTACTAGTTTTTAGTGAGGAGATACTTAAATAGTTCAAGTTAATAATGAAATGCCACCTTATAATCTCATTGACAATAAGTGTATATTTTGTAATAGGATTGTTTCTTAGTTTATTAAATAGTGAAATGCAATTGGTAATGATAGAAAGGTTGAATTTCAACAGTGAAATCTACATATTTGGATATGAGAGTGTATTTGCTTTGATGCTATGTTAATTATTATTGTATTTGGCAATGGTAGTATTTTTATTGTTTATCTATTGGAATGCTCAGATGCCATAATACGAGTACGTAGAACAGAATGAGAATTACACATTCCAATAGAGAAAGACTAGTTATTTGAGATAATAGAGTATAATGGATTATATAATAATGCTGATAATAGTTTAGTTGTGTTTGAATGATGGATTGATTACATTGTTTTTGGTTCTATGTATGCTAGTGTGGTTGGCAATTCACTTTCACATTTTGAATAAAAGAAGTCGATTTCGATATTGTCAAATAGTGATCAAGAGTATCATAGTATGTTCATTTGTGGCATTGCTGATGTTAATTCTATCAGGATAATAGAACTATAGTTTCAGCACTTTAAATGGAACTCTGAACATTTATAGAATATTCAGGATATTCGGAATTTTGATAATGACTACCATCTTAATATTGAGTATGAGAGCATACCACTATTAGATGATAATAGGAGATGAAGAGGAAATCGAGGATTTAGAAAAGGAAATCTAGAAGGATATGAGATTAAAGATTTCATCAGTAGAAATACTTTTAGGAGAGAATTACTTTGGAGTTATTATGATATTGAGTGTATTTTGGATATCAAAATAATTTAGTATATTGAGAGGATTAGTTTATTTAATTCTATTGGTTGGATAATTAAAGAGGAAACACTATAAAGCGACAAGACGTTGGTAGTGTGCAATTGCCATATTGTATTTAGCATTTGCTTAGTTTTTCTTATTGAAATTGTTTAATATCCCCTAATTTAAGGTGAGTGCGTACTTTTAGTATTTGGGAGTGTATGAGTAACCACAATTCAATCCAAATGAATTATTTGCAATTTGGAATTACTTCTATAATAGGTTCAACATTATAATGATTGACTTATTCTACATTCTAATTGTCAGTTGGCTTGTCTATTCATAATAGACAATTGATGATAGAAGACGTTAAAAGAAGATCAATGATTTGGATAGTAAAGATCGTCCTAATAGAGAATAGAAACCAAGTTGTTGGAGTAATTTCAAATCTAATTTATCGAGTTTCAGTTATCAAATATAAAAGAGTTTCTTAATCCACTTTGATGAAATAGTCATTATATATTGTTTGATTACTGCTTTAAGTCATGCAGACATATTTAGAGGAGTGTTTTTGATATTCTTTATACTTTATGCTTTTGCTTAACTAGAAAGACGAAGGAAGTTTATGAGAAATCATTTAAGCATTGGTTACATTATATTGTTCATATTATACTCTATGCAATTGATGTTTTTAGGATCATTACAAACACTCAATTTTATATTTAAATTTGGTGGTTTGGATGAAGTAACTTAACAATTCAAATTCTCTTTCTATTTTATCTACAAATACTATGATATAATTATTGGATGTGTCTTATTAACATTTTAGATTTAAGTAATCCAAAAAAGTGACCATTACTAAGAATATAAGAAGAAATTGAATGATTACAATCTAGATTATTTAAGGTAAATATTGCAAACTAATGGATTGATTTTCTGTTAAATCATTGCTTTGATAGTGGCCTTTATTCCACCTGCCAATTTACTGTCACTTATATTCATCTTCTTTTTCTAATTGTTTCTCTATTTGTATTATATACATGGATAACTAAATATCATTATGGACAGATTATATCAATATTGGCCACTCATGATCACTCTAACATTGATAATTCTGATTGTCAGATACACATACACAATTAAATTCTTTTACTATTTTGTAGAATTGTACTTCTAATAACCCACTCTTTTAAGTGATTTTGGATTGGATCCAAATTTTAACACTCTCAAATTAGCAGGAACTGGCATTGCATTGTTAGTCTTATGTGCCTATAAGCGAGCTTATTTGGCACCATTAATAGAATAATAGAAATAGCAGAAATAGATCTACAAAAAAGACACTCTTGCATATTACATTTATTGCATTCATATCAAACTATGTGTGTACAGTGTTTATCATATACAAAAAGTGGCTTTCATGTTTTCATTCTTCATATCAGTCTACTAATAAAGTTACATAGGCTTCATATTCGGCATTATGATTTTCTTAATCATGCTCAATGAAATGAATAACAACTGGTAAAACACATCTATACCTTTTTTGGTTATCATATTTGTTCAGATTCTCATATAATATATATTCCAAGCAGAATTACTCAGAAATGCTTAGGGTTAGGAAACTATCTCCTGGATTGGAATTGAGAACTAATATCAGAACAAGTATTGGTATTTGCTCATTATGTTTCATCTGTCAGAGATGCTCTAGGTTCTGAATGTAATGTTTAAATAATAAGTAAATGATTATCTTTAATTGTTCCTTATATCTACAGACAGAGAAATCAGTAATCTTAATTTACTTTAACAGTTATTACATTCATTATAAGAAAATATTATATAAGAGTAGAATAGCCTTGAATCAGATGCCTCCTAATAATAGCAAATAGAAATGTAAGCAAGAGATGAAAAGTCACAAGAATCTATTTTTTATGATGAATTGGACGAACAAAATGAAAGGTTTGCA